TCCCATCCAATCCCCGTGTAAGCGAGTAGACTGTTTTCCAGACAACATCGCTCTTGAGGATTGTGGAAGCAATCAGTGCTTTTTCTTGAAAAAAGGAAATAACTTCCTTCATCTGAGGTCTAGTGCTAAAGCTGTATAGAAAATCTGTGGGTTCCTAAACCACAGGACAGTGATTTTCTGCATTGCCAAGCTGCACCAGCTACCTGTCTTTCCATGTTATGGATCAAAACTGGGGATCGCCCAAGACTGTATGATTTCCTAGCCTCTTCCCATTTTTATATTCCAAGTGGCTTTACCAAAGGAGACGTCAAAGGAGCAGCTTTTCCATCTTGCATCTTAGTACCTCGCTGGACAAAATGTAGGTTATATAATGAAGAACTTAAAACTAAGGAGTCTCCTAACTTCCACCAAGTTCCAACAATGTGATCTTTCTATATTCCCAAAAAAGTCATCAACTCCATTAAAAATATATTCATGGTTTACAGCCCGACAATTGCACTAACCCATGGAGACGTTTCTCCCATCAGCAAAGCCATTTCCCCAGGTCAATGAATAACTGACTTGGATAGTTTCATTGTTTTTCTTTGTTCCAGTATTGGTGAACAAGTCTTGTTACACATGCAAAGCTAAATTGAAAATACAATCTATAATATTTAATAAAGTATAGACAGAATGTGGTCTTTGGAAAGCAAGATAAAGAGGGATCTTTTCAACAAAAACATTCTAATTTAGTCCACCAAATTACTCCAAGACTTGTAAATCTTATTCTGTTCTCAAACAAGATTTTTTAATCTGATTTACTAGGCTTTAGATTGTTAGTGCTTATACTGAGGTGTTGGTGGAGGAAAAAATGACCTCATCATAAATAACCTCCAGACTGCCATTGTAGACACCTTAAACATATTTATAACAGACTTGAATTGCAGATATAACAACCTTTCTGTGCCAATGTAACCATTAAAATAGAGATTGAGTCAGTATACTGCGATAGAATTCAGAATAGTTTGTTGTAAACCTGTTAATAGCATTCAGATGCAAAGATGAATAGTTTTGGCTTGTCTAGAATGGAGTGCTCCAGTTATGCTGACAATTGGAAAGCAAACAACTCTATTCTTGCATGCAAAACTATACCATTCTGGCTGTTCTAGATATCAGAGACCTACCTTGATTGTGGAGTCCTGTAGCTCAGTGGTTAGAGCTCTCATCTCGCAAATGAGAGACCTGGGTTCAATTCCCGGCAAGGTGAAACGTTGGGCAAGTTTCCTTACTCCACACCCCTCTGTTTATGTAGCAGTGAGTAGGAACCCAGTTGTTAGTCGTATGGCCAATTGCTTTTCCAGGGGTAATGATTCCTTCAAAAATAATAAATAAATTGGTCATTCAATCCACGATCATTTGTGGGACACTGCTGTGGTTAATGGGCTGCTATGTTTCGCCCACAAAACATATAGTCGATTCACTTCACAGTATATTCTGTGAAGCGCTTTGAGACATCTCAAAAACATGATAAGGCGCTATATCAAAATGCAAGGATTATTATTAGTATTGTCGCTCCAATTCTGAAACTACAGTAGTTGTAATTGCCTGCTGGCCAGTTTCTTCCTGTCTGAATGCAATGTTACTGGGATAGTTGGTGCAATGATGTAATGGTGCCATGATTGTTTCTGCAACTCCACTATCTACAAATGAATGTTCATTGGTGAGATCTCTTACTGAATTTGAAAAGGGAAAGAGTTTTGAAAGCAAGTTGAATATGGCAGTGGGAGGTAACTTGAGTGATTGTAGTTTACTCTATGCCAACCCTAATACTGTGTTGGTTTGATATACCTTTTGCCATGTCACCAAAGTATTCAAACTACTGAGTGTAGAGTATTGCTGTTGTCATAGATGCTATTTAAGATCCACTCTGATATTACTATATTTCACTTAAAATCAAAAACTCTCAAGAAAATCATTCGTATTAACTACAATGTCATGTAGTGTACTTAAGTCTAGTCATATAAAATCAACTCATGCTCAAGGCCAGATTGTTGAGATCAATATTTTAGACTGTAGAATTTAGAATCAAATTTCTGTTTCCTTCCTAAGGCACAATCACCTGGATAAACCTCCTGACAGGTCATTGCTGCCTGGACATGTTTCTGCCTACAGTACATTCACCTACCTATTACTCTGGGTGTTTTGAACTAGCTGCAAATAATTCCCGACTAAGATATTCAATTAAATGCCTGGCATTATTCTAGGGGTGTGCTGACCATCCCTTGTAACCAGTAAGGAAAGGATGAGGTGTCTTTATCAGTCATAATGCAATCAGCATTTTGTTTTATTGAAAACTCCCTTGAGATATTTGAAGCTCTGCTGTTCTGTGGACTGAATTCTATGTAGGAGAAGTAATGAGGCTGTTTGAAAACGAAACATTCCCATTTAAGCCATGAAAAACTATGCAATGTTAGCTGATTAAACTACTAAACTTCAGCAATATCCCAACGCACACTCTGGAGTCCCCAAGTCTTGGCTCTTGCCAGACTGCATCTAATCATTTTTGGAATTAGGTAAATAGAGTGCAACCCTCCAGAGTGAGATTGTGTTCCAGACTCTGGGAAATTTCCATGCATAGTTGACATAGATATGTGGAACTCTCCATCTAGTTTCTAAGCATGGTGATGGGTTTCCACACGTGTCGGACACCTGGCTGGCTAAAGAAAAAAAATGGAAAAGGAGGAGACTGATTGTGAAAGAACACAGTTTAGAATAGTAATGGATTCATATCTATTGCTGGAATAACGATAGAATTTCAGAATCAAAGGTCGTTGCAGTTAACACAAGTCTGCTGAACCTCACATTTGACTACTGTTGTTCCAATGTTCTTCTAAAGTCTGCCAGAACATAGGCTTTATGTATTCTAAATATGAGCCGCTGAGGTTAATCCAAATCCGTGTTTAATGAACTCAAAGTGTATTTTAATATTATTGTGTTTTCAAATATCCAGTGTAAGCCAAGCTACCCTAAGGGCATACAACTACACCATAAATTGCCAGCATGTTTTTTTTAAAAAAGCTTCACCTATATGGTTTATTAAAAATATTTTATAACCTGCATGGAATGTGCTCTGTCTACCCCCAGTAGTAAACTGTAGGTGATAGATTCCGGGCACATCAACCCAACACCCTAAGTTTAAGCATCAAGGTTAATAATAATAAGTAATCCTTGTATTTGATACAGTGCCTTATCACCTCTTCGAGATGTCTCAAAGTGCTTCACAGAATATACTGTAAAGTGAATTGACTGTATTTTGTGGACGAAATGGTTGGGAGTGGTCAGAAGGAACACATTGTTATTTTCTGGCCTGATACCTTCCTAAGTAAGCCTCTACATTGACCTGCTTCATCACTTTGTCTGTTACAATAATTCTGGCTTTCTGCCAGTACGGGTTTGGCAGTAACCACTTTGATGGCTTCAGTAACATTTTTAAATCTATAGACCCTTTCTGTTCCTGTGCTCTGTGAGTAGTGGACTTGCATAGAACAGTCATCAGAAATATATATTTTTTACATCATGGAGCAACAATAACAACAACAAGATTACATTTGTATAGCTCCTTTCATGTTGGGAGGATGTCCCAAGGAGCATCATGTAAAATAAATAATTATTTTACATAGCAGTTAATTTTAAGTGTATTGTACTTAAATATTGCTGAGCAGCTTTGAGAAAAGAATGTGGAATGGAAGGCAAAGACATGCAGAGCTGTTGAAGTGTTTTCTGTTATAACAAGTGGAGTCAAATTCATTTATGATGTACGCAAACCTTTAACTCCTGACAGTTTAGTTCCCTGAGGCATGAAAATCTTTAGTAAATTCTGATTTTAATCCCGATTTATCTATAGGTGCCTTGGGCGTCCTCCCGATGTGAAAGGCGCAATACAAATGTAATCTTGTTGTTGTTGTAGGTGGACTTGGCAAAAAAGTTTGCATGTGAACCATATCAGCTCCTTAAAGGAACTGTTGTTTCTTCTTGTGGGAAAGAATATATTTTGAGTATTTTTTTTTACCAGCCTGAAAGATTCGAAGGTGATATTAAATCTGACTTCTGTAATTGAAAACAAGAACCTTAATCTGCTTCCATTTGCTCCTGTATCTTGGTGTGGTCTTTCTGCCTTCTCTATTTGAATAATTGATTGTTAAACTAGTTTCTAAATAGGGAATCCTGCTCTTGCATGTAATGACCATGCCTCAAGTGCTGATGGCCAACCTGTAAAATTAGAGAGTGAAATCCACATACAGGAAGTCTTTAGGTTTGCCCTGTGGGAAACATGAAATTAATATACGTAATGAATTATGTGGGGGTTGCTCTGCTGGGTGCATGATAGCTTTATAGTGCTGACCACCTCCACTGTTACCGATGTTTAGTCTGGACAATGTCTCACACACATCAGGGGATCATCAATAGTCCAGCCAATTTTCCAGACTCCTCTACGCTAACTTCCTTTAATAATTCTGTTTGTGATTACTGTGTGTGGTAAAGTGTGTCTGGGAAAGAGGTAGTGAGGCATGCATTTTACAAAAGAGTTTTCAAAAACATAAAGTATTGGATGCATTAAACTATTTTATCTTAAAATAGATTATTAAACTAATAATGAAATTGACCTGAATGGAAGTAAAATTCTGCTCAGAGAATCTAATGGCCAATTTATTTATGTGAAATAAACACCGTATAAAGTAGTGAGCATTCCCTTTTCTCTGGAAGGCTCATTTCACCTGAGGTTTTACAGGTATCTGCATTCCGATCTGGCTATCCCTTGGTTCCTCCACTTCTTTGGTTGAATAGTTGGCTGTGTGTATGGTACATTACATACGATTTTAGACAGGTGGAAGCATTTTGCAAACTTCAAGGTTTGCCGCCATACAATTTTCCTTGATTTAATCCATTTTACTTGGAGTACAGTGCAATAAAACTGCAAATAAAATCGTTACCTGATGTTTTTATTCTTTTTATTATTCCAGGTATAGACATTCTCCAGAGACTTGGTTTCACAGAAAACAACGGACAGCGCCTGTCCTCATCGCCCACGCAACCATGGCCATCACTTTCATTACCTCAGGGGGTCCTGATGACAGAATTGGGCATCATGCTGTCAAGCGAAGCCCACATTGAGACTCAAGCAGAAAGCATCGTACCACTAGATATTGGAAGTGAATTCACAATAATAGCTAGCCTCCGCTCTCATAGAGTTAATAACGCCTTTCTTTTTAGTATTAGAAATAAAAACAGAATACAGTTTGGTGTACAGATTTTACCAAGAAAGTTAGTCGTGTATATCGCAGAAAAGCCGTCTGTATATTTTGATTACAATGCTCACGATGGACAATGGCATTCATTTGCTATTGAAATTAAAGGTAAAACTGCTTCCTTTTCTGCTGACTGTGGTAAAAAACATTTCAGTAAAGAGCTCCTTAAAAAGCCACAGAAATTTGTTTCGAATAGCAAACTCGTTTTAGGAAGAATGAACTTCAAATCTGCTCCGTTTGAAGGTGTTATTTGCCAGCTAGATATTTATCCTAATGCTCAAGCTTCTACAAACTATTGCAATTATGTGAAGAAACAATGTCGTCGGGCGGACACATATCGATCTCAGTCACCTTCATTAACTACTGCTTCTTATAAAGATACCAGCTCCAGATCTCAGTTAACGTCCTCGCCATTCAGTGAAGGAACACAACCAACCAGCTCATCATTAATCTCACTTTATGTCAATCCTGAAGAACAGCAAAAGATTCAGGACACTACCATGTATTTAAATCAATCATTGACAAGCACCACAGAGCCCAATGCAGTAACAAGCTCTCCTGAACCAAGAATTTCTTTTACATCAGCTCCGACTACAACATTGCCAACTCCTAACATCACTGATCCCATGCAGTTACATCAGACCTTGAACACTGACATTGAATCTCGGGTTGTGGGGGCTGTGACTGGGCAGCCAAATGTCAGCTTTAATCTTGGGAATGCAGAGGAATCACCCGTAGAGCAGAAAACAAAGGAAAATCAATCCGACAATGCTACCGAGGGTGACAGAGGAGGCAAATTGCTGTCTGTGGTTAGAGAGCTGCCTCCTCTAACTTCGCTTGTGAAACAAAGTAAGATAACAGAAAGTCTCAACAAAAGAAACCAGTCCGGAATTATTAAACAAAAATCAGATGAGCTCATGGAAATACAGATGATAAATGCAACCTTGTATAGATCGTCACAGGAAACCTCTTCAAAAAATCAATTTGATTTATGGGATGAAAACATTCACTCTAATGAGGATACAGAACACAACATGGAAAAGCCATACGACATTGATATTGAAAGCTACGACTATGATTATGAAGACTTCACTGACCTTTTTGATTACGAAGATTTAAAAGGGTCAAAAGGGGAGCCAGGACCACCAGTAAGTCTTTTAAATATAATTACTTAAAGGTGCATGTTTTAAGTTACCAATGCAAGGAAGCATTCAACAGGAATACATGCAAATTTAGTTAGTTTTGGCAAACCTTCTTACTGTGTCTTGTGCTACTTGCTAGTGAAACATTAGAATTGGAATTAATTCATATTATTTAAGCCAATTTGTAAAATGCCAAAAGATATGCATGACAGGAACATAAGAGCTATCAACAGCAATATAAAGAGAATTAGAGTTTCTGTAACTTCTACAGTGCTTTTACTGGAAGTGGATTTCGGCCTTCTGCCAAAGTGTTCAAAATGTTTCTGTCTTTGGCTTTTGACACTGATATTTAAGTTTGTTCTTCGAGGAGCATGGTAGACAAGCCAGATGTCTTAACAGTATGTGGTTGTAAATGTCATTGCTGCTCACTTGGAACAAAACCGTGCCAGTTAATTTTATTAGGCAATATCTGAAACACTGTGATTAAAACAAGGCATTTCATATATTTATTTGAAGTGTTTTAATTGAAATGTGAATATAAGGCTGCTCAAGATTTGCTTGGTTTATTTTGTTTCTCTTTCTTCAGACTGTTTAAACCACTACCTTTTTTCCCCCATTACTTGCCTGGAATAGCTGAGAACTTGAATGTCCTAGAATACAAGTATACATAAGATGTTGAGATGTCTATTCAGGGTCTAGATTGGTTTTTTTTGGTCAGCGGGTGTTTGACACAACTCCACATAGCTCACCATTGAAGGCACTGTCTGGCAAGTTTCCCGTTGCTTGTCCAGCTGGGACCACCCTATCCATTAGGTCTTCGGCTTTCTAGGTTAACAGGAACTGAGTGGGATGTATCCATGCCCCCAGTGAGGTTGGGAACCAATGAAATGCTTGCTGAAACAAACATAAATTGTGTTTGGAATGCAAAATATAACTCTACGATTCCTTGCTTCACTTTATAAATAGAATTGAGTAAAACTTTTTGGCCCAACTTGAATCTGTTCGAGAATAGGTTTATGCAAGTAGTGCGTTTGTGACATTTTTGAGCAATGTCATACAATTGCATTATGGAAGCAGACGTCATCACTTGTGAATTATGATCATAGAAAATATCAATGTATGATAACTGGAGTAACACAATCTCAGTGTAGAAAAAGTAACACAAAATCTCTGTTTTTATAGATTGACCTGTGTTAGACTCAAATATGTTTTAGAGCTTTTTATGTATATTTTGTCATTACACTATTCATAAATGCTGCATTCTATTGTGATTTGGTATTGCACTGTGTATCTGGGAAACTTTGCTGAACACCTCTTACGATGGCAGTGTTCCAGTAAAGGAATTAATTCACGTGAAATATTATTCATTGGAAGGCCACTGCAAGATTGGTTGTAATAATATTCAATCGTGACATCCAAGCTGGCAAAGTCAATTGTAGATGGGAAGAGGAAGCAATGCTGTGATCTCAATAAAGTCCAAAACAGGAAGAACTTGAACTGGTTTAAAGGGCAAGATGGATCAACTGACACATATCTTTTATAAGGTTTTGGTTCTGATCCAACTACTATATGAAAGATCTTTCTTGGCATTGCTGTTTGTTTGGCTGCTATCTGGTGCTGGATACTGTAACCAGTTTAGTGACCTTGCACATCAATATATACTCATCTCTGACAGTGTTAAAAGTGCAAAGTAATATTCGAATAAAATGATAAACTAACCACCATTAATCATTTTCTGTCTAGTTTTATTGCTTAGACTGATGCACAGGGAAAATAATTATATTGCATTTCAGTACTCATTTCCCTAAAGGTTTTATGTATCTTGGCAGAATCTGTGCTATTTACATCACCATCGGAGTACACTGCAGAATTTTAACAAAATCTGTGAGTGCGACATAGTCCTTGACTCTTCCCCAGAACAGTAGGATTTTTAGATCCATAATTCCACAGACTAGTTGTATTTGTGGTTGCATAATAGGACTGACTTGAAAACTGGTTGACTGTCTGAAAGATAGGTGGAAAATTACAGATAAATCTGGATGGGATGAATGTTCAATTACATTTCAAATATGTGATTGTGCAAAGGATAGTACATCTGTAGATGGATTAAGCACTAAAATGACAAGAAACAAATACTAATTTGGTCTCTCGTGGATTGGGAGTTTTTTGGAATTTCACCAAGGAATGCAGCTTAATTTCTGTGTGCAAAGCACAATAAACAAAGCAAATACTGCAAGAAAGAATTATGGAATACTTATTGTAGTTTCATCTCGTATATGCTTTGTCACATGTGAGACCTCCAGTTAGTATTCCTGAAATTAAAAATAATTTGTGCACTGACTCAACAGGATGAGCAGTGCAGCAGCGAATTCAAGGCTTCTTCATATGCAATAATATAGTCTTAGCTTTTCCACAGTGTTGTTGTGGAATCCACCTCATCTATTATTGCAGGCAAATTTCTAGAGCTACAAGAAAATAACTATGCATGCGCAAGCCTGTGCATGCTTTGTTGTTTCAAAGGCTTAATTCACAACTTATTTGTGGTGCTAGGCCTTTATATAGCTGAGGAGGGTTTACACAGGCCAGCTAGCGTTAAAAGTACCACATTGCTGTTTTGTAGGAGCTTCCCAAACCGACAGGCAGCCAGAAAGGATGACTGGTGATTATATTTGTCACTTTGCTACTTCAGAAACAGCAGTAAAAAATGCCTCTTTAAGTCTTAGCACTCCAAAAGCAGCACCTCTGTCTTGCTTACTTTGCAGCACCACCACTGAAGTCTGGGCTGCCATAGACAGCTAAGCTGGGAAGTTAATGGGGCATTATATTGCTAGCCATACTCCATACAGTCATTCACATTACTTTGAAAATGGCCCACACAGATGGCACGCAGTGTTTTCTAATGGATTTCTGTTAAACATTTGTTGTCCAATTGAGGCTCTGAGGAAATTTTGGTATTTTTAGTCCAGCAATTTAGAATCTCATCTAAACTTCTGGTTTGGATACCGGCTTGTTTGTGCACTCTCATTCTTTAATATTTTGCCAAAGCAGTTTCTAGCCTCTTAACACATGGATCCCTGATATACCAAGGCTGAAGTTCAATGCGTGTGTGTGTGTATAATACAGTGTATCAAAACAAGTTTGAACTTTGGCATAAATACAATGGGCCAAATGTTTTTGTGCTTGAAAGTTTCTATGTTTTTAGGTAACTTCTGGGATCCCTTGATCACTCTAAATAATAGGTTAACCGAGACATATTGGAAACATAATTTGGTCATTTCCTTTTTTTTGTTTATATTTTTATTTCTCCTGTGATTTGCTTTTAAGATCTTTCAAAGAGTCCTTGAGGGTTAAATGTCACATAAAGCTGATGGAAGAGACACAGATATCTGCAGCTAATGCACCACAGTCAGGTTCAGTTGTTTGCTGCTTCTACAGATCTAGAAACAGTTTGATGAATTTAGCAGCTGTTTGAATGGGGTACAAATCTCTCCTGGCAGGGTGGGCAATTATGTTATTGTGGGCAGTCACTGGACATCAAATCCACTTAGTTTATCATCTAAATTTGAAGTGATGAAGTGATCCCAGAAGTTACATAAAAAACAGAACATTGTAGAACAAAAGGGGATAATTTGTTCCCATTTCTTCTGCAGTTGGGCTATAATGCCACATGCTCAACTGATGATAGTATCGTGGCTGTGAATGAAATTGTTTTCATGCACATTATGGATGGAAATCGTCCAAATCTGGTTAATTTCACCTGATTGATTTCCACCTTCCAAAATGGTTGGTAGCAAAACTGGAATTAGTACATCCATAAGTGTCAACTTTATTTCTATGGATTCGCACCATAATTCTGGCATGAGGTTTAATTTTTCCGCCTATTTTAACCGGTTCTACTTCTCCGTTCCAGATTAGCATTCTTATCTAGGATTTATGGCTCGTGCTCCATTTTAAGTAGATGCCATAAATTAGTTCACAATGGCTTGATAAAGCTGTAATACCTTAACTAACCAAACATACAAATGTTTAATGACACGGTGATATGACCATAAATTAAAACCCTGTTCAATAGAAAGAGCTATAACAAAGCGTTATTTATAGCTTTGCTGAAGCAGTATAAATTGAGAGGTATGACTTAACGTTTTAAAATGCTCAATAACATGTTTTATCAATTAATAAAATATATTGGCCATAGAACTTCACAGTGATCAACTGCAGATTATGATGCCTGCATGAATCTGCAGTACCAAATGCTAATAGACACCGAGGACTGGACAGAAAGTGACAAGATTCCACTGCTGGTACATACCTGATCCAAGCCAGAACAAGACCCACATCACATTAAAACAGTCCATAACTGCAACTGTAACCATTTGAGCCTCAACTCTCACACTTTATGTGGTGCCTTTGATTAGATTATGGTTTTGTAATTACTTCCAGATATTGATTGCACTTTACGAAAGCTTACGCCTGTTATAAAATATTGTTAAATTTGTGTATATGTGTTTGAAGAAATGTGTATTCAATTTCTGGTCTTATTTGATTGTATGTTTGTCCTTGAGCTCCTAATATTTATTCGAATTTTATAAAACGGGATTTTGTTTCTTATCAACAGATTTTTTTAATCTAATTAATTATTTTTCTCTCTCCTACAAGGGACCTCCAGGCCCACCTGGTCTACCTGGTCCCACTGGAAGAAGAGGACCAAGGGTGAGTACAAAGGCAGCATGTGATGCCAATCTTACAGTCTATGCACCATTCTCATCCCACCAACTTTCTTATCAGATTCTGTACAGTACAGGCTGTTGTAATCTTTGCACTACAATGTTGTGTATGTCGAAGTTGCAGAATCAGTAATCCTTGTAATGTTCTATGACATAAAAGTTGAATGAAGTTTGTAGTTGTATAAGCAACTTCCAAGAATGATGCCGTTTTGGTGGAACAACCATCCCATTGACTATGGCTAATTCTAGCACGAGAATTTTCACAGCTGCTATTAAACACATTTCTTTTGTGTTCTACGTAAAGAAGTTCAACTCAACAATCATTTTGGGGGAATTCCTCAGATGCCGCAGACTGATAACAATGAGTGTAATATCAGCTGCCATAGATCATTTATTAGATGGTTTCCCAAATTAATAGTGGCAAGCCATAGGACATAATATGATTAGACGTCCAAAAGGCTTTTGATAAAATATCACACAACAGATTGCTTTAAAAGGGTATCAAGGTTAGGACATGGATAAATCATTATGTAAAGGAAGGGCAGTATAGTGTGGTCATACATGGAGTTAGGTCACAGTGGGGATGAAGTATTTATGCTGTGATGCTTCTTTTTCCTTGTACACAAAATCACCTGGATTTGAAGAGCTTGTGCAAGGGAGAAGCTAGGAGATTTTTTATATGCCGAGGGTTTGTACGTTTGTCAAGGTTCTGTGGTAATTAAATTGGTGCCCTCAAGCTACTGTACTTGGAATGAAAGAAACCAACAAAGATCTAACAAAAAGAGATTGATAGGTTTTACACGTGGGCTAACCACTGGTAAATTATGTTCCTTATGGATAAATGCTAGGTACTGCATTTTGGTAGTAAAAATAGGAGGAATACATACTCCACAGCTGGAATAGAACTTGCCAAAAGGGAATTTAAAACAGGCCTAGGGTTGTTAGTTGGCTTTTTGCTCATCTTTCCCAAACAGTGTGAGGCAGCAACAAATTTAGTAAACAGAATGTTGAGTTACATTGTCAAATCCTCATACAGTATTTTACCATTCTGGTTATTGCAATATAAGGGGGGCACCCAGGCCCTGGAGGAGGTGCAGAGGAAAACAATGAGCTGCAGTAATAATTAACTCATTTGAATTAAAATATGGGAAATACATATTTGATTCAAAACCTCTAACTAAATATCTGGACTTGGTTAAGAAGAGGATTGTTGAGGTAATTGGAAAATGATAGTTAGCATTCTGGAAAGATATCAAATAGACCAAACCCCTCGTTTGATCTCGTGACAAGTTGAAGTCGATTATTATTGCAGCCAACAGTCCAGTGGTTTTGTCTTCAGTGAGCTGAGTGGGTGGACACAAGGATACACCATCACCTAATTAATTTATTAAAAAAACTTTTTTTTAGAAAATATAGAAAATATACTTTATCATTGTTAAACTAATCACCAAAACACATGTTGTAGGTAAAAGTACAACTCTGATGATACAGTACAACCATTTGTAGGGTTTGAAATAGTCTGTTGCTCAGCAAGCCTATTTTCTCTCTGGGTATCATTTGTTTGTATGTAGCCTTCATTAGATTATTTTTTGACTGGGCTGTCAGTTTATAACACTCACTTTCAAATGATTTCAAGTTTGCAGCAAATAAACCACAGAAGGTGTTTCAAACCCCATTAGATTTTTCAGAGTACGTACTTTTGGCTCATCCTCCCTTTGATTTGGGGCTTCAGCTCAATCGTAATTTTCCTGACGTTGGCTGAAGAGTTGCAGAACCAGTCACGATATGAAGTAAGAGTAAGCACTTTAGCCTGAGCACTTAGTGATGGAAACCAAGAGCATCCAGTCAATCAGTCTGTCACTCAGGATACTCTAACTCCAAATTCATCAAACCCCATCAAATTGTAACAAAGCTAGGAGACTGATGTTAATGCACTAGTCAACAACAAACTCCCTGTTCAAATACTCTTGCTGATCATTGGTGAACTATTCCAAAGTATTCGCAAGCTGGCTGAACTTACTTTGCAAGTGCTTTGATGGCCCAAGAAATGCAATACCCCTTTGTATTTCATTCTATAGAGGCAACTTTTTTTTTACATGTAGTCAAGTCCTTCAATGTAAAATTGTCTCACTTGTTTGAAGAAATTGTTGCATGCATTAGAAGTATCTTGGAAGTTTCCTGTTTCAATTTTGGCTCTGAATCTCACAAACGTGACTTTGTTGCCTTTCTGAGCATCTCCAATGTGATTGTCAAAGCTATGAATCTCACTCTTAGACTTTCCAGCCAACAATTCACGATTGACCAGGTTTTGCAAGTACATCTTTGTACAACTTTGAGTTCTGGATATATAATATGAGACAGGAGCATCACAGTCTGCAGGGAGATTGGTAGCTGAACGCCTAAGAATAAGAGGTAGTTATAATAATATTAATCTTTTAATTTGATATAGCGCCTTATCACGTCATTGAAACATTTCAAAGTACTTCACAGGATATACTGTAAAGTGGACTGACTGTATATTTTGTAGGCGAAATGAGGCAGCCAGTTGCACACAGCAAAGTCCCAAAAACAACCGAGGAGTGAGTGACCAATTTTATTTGAGGGTTTGTTGGCCAGGACACCAGGAGAAATCCCCTTCTCTTTTCGAACAGTGCCATGGCATCTTTAACGTCCACCTGAACAGGCAGACGGTACCTCAATTTAATGTCTCAAGCATTTCTTAGGTGATTATAAGGAAGCATTGCTGTAGACCAAACCCTCAGCTTTCTCTTTATAGCTCAAAGCTTTCACCAGAAAAGAATAAAATGGTATTCTTGGGAGTTGGGTAGGAGCTTGTGCACTTTTTTGTGAACAACAACAACCACAAAATAACATTTATAGCGCGCCTTTCACGTCGGGAGGTCGTCCCAAAGCCCTGGACAAAGTCATATGAATGCTTTTTGTATTAGTAACTCGGAGAATATTCTGAATCTTTATACAAATGATAATAGGTGGTCATCTTTTGAAAAATATTGCAAATGAAGCCGGTTACCTAACAAACTAACATGAGCTGGATGAGTCCATTCAGCCATTTCCACCAGTTCATTAGATTTTGGCAGCTCTTTTAATCTCAGGGCCTGGCTATAGTGTTCGTGCTTCCCAATGGTAGTGTGCATTTTGCTTCATTTACCAGCAAGAGTTTAATTGGCAATTCAACAATGTACATTGATATATTCCTAGGTGATATGGCATGGCTTTTTGTTACATTTTGTTTCAAGGGGTGGAAGTTTTAGGAACAAGTTAGTCACTTAAAATACAATTGTATTGTGATATATTTTAAAAATATAAAAGTGCTGAACGCAAATTAATTGTTTCCATACTTTTTTAAAAATCGAATAAATTCCATTAAACATCTCTTTAAGTGGACTGTCCTAATGCTACATTTCCAACGTTCCTGTCAAAAGATTGCAACGATTTCTCTGGTATGACCTTTATAGCATGGCACCCAACAGAGAAAAATAGTATTTAATCCATTGCTGACAGATGGCTAAGTAGTTAGTCTAACCCAGTTATAGGGGTTGAAAATCACTCCTCAGGAAAGCGGTAATATTAACTGGGACTTCACTGCCAGAAAAAACACCTCCCGACATTAAAAAAATATAATTCTGGATCTCACAGCTTCTCCTGAGGTGATGTTGAGCCAGGTTTGAGGTGTTCACAGATCAGCATGACATATTTCCAGATTCTTTAATTAAGAAAGCTGATTTTAGATTCTGTTGTTGGCCTGTATTTTTACAACACCTGCGTGTCTGGAAAGCAGTAAGGAATACCCAGAACTCAAAGAGTTAAGCCACTCTAGCTTGTGACTGTGGGGTTTTAATGTCAGTAGAGTTCGTTAGGAATACTCTAAGCTCGCCTTAAATGTCAACTGGACAATGATTCGGATTGTTTTGGAAACAAACAGCAGAAGTACTAGCCAGTACATTTTATACATTAAAGGTCGCTCCAGGCTATTTCTATGGGCGGAGACAGTTCGTAGTAACTGAGGAGTTCTGTAAGACAACACTCAAGTCTTGTACAAATGAATGGCAGGGCACCTTTAATGGACTCGGAACATTTTTCCACCCACACCCACAAAGGTCATCTGTATAATACTCACTACTATCGTACACGTGTATGATGTCTCAGAATGTCAGCATTCATTACCAATTATAAGGACCCCATGCTTTTCACTCGCTTAGTTCTTAGGTTCCACCAGCTGTTTGCATTGACACCATTTTCAGACAACACAACAGCGGGTCACGTCAAGGGCAGAGTTCAAGAGTGTGGCATCAGCTCTCTACTCCCAAATCCAGCGATATTAAGATCGTTTTGTGAAGTTTTTACTTACTGCCCAAGCTGAGGTCAACTAACCCATCACAGAGTGGTGTGGAAACTGTTTGGCTCAGCTCCAAGCAGAGGAGCCACCAGATGAGCTGAGTACAAATTATCCGATGATGAAATCATTAAAATGAACCCTCGGGATTGTTAAGAATTTAACATGAAGGGGGGAGATGGATAATTTTAAGTCAACCTGACATCGTTCTCCCTGCAGATTTCTGTTACGTAACTCCCCCCAAATATTCTGCAGGCCCCTATGTCTTAAGCAATGAGATGCATGGTGTGCAGATGTTATTGTACTGTGTAATCCTGGAGGAGATCTTCAATTACCAAACACAGCCTGAAAAGCCGAGTTACTGTCAGATTTACATTTGAGGTAGACCGAGACCCAAAGTTTCTATGGTTTGGTGTATCATTAATTAATATAGTCATGCTGGGGAAAGATAATGATGCGATGCTGCTACTCAGTGTAAACTTCCTGTTCTCATTTCTCTAGGGGATGTCAGGACCACATGGGAATCCAGGATTGCCAGGATTCCCTGGCCCAAAGGTACGTTTAACTTCCAGGCAATTAATCTGTGTCACTAACCAACCCTGTTTCCATATGTAGGCAATCTTTGAAGTATTCAAGAAGTCCTTGGCCTTTAAATCATTTGGCTTTGATTGTCTGGGCCATATGTGAATTAAACGTGAGATGTCACCATTGAACACTGTCTTCCTCAAATATTATTGCTAAACCCATGAGAGAAATGAAAGTAAACAAACTGCCAAAAAGATACAAAGGTTTAAAATGACCTCATACAAAATTGTAAAATTAACCACTAGGTTTGAATGACTGATTTCTAGAAATGAAACAATTAATTGAAATAACATGTTTGTTCAAGTATACCTCATACTTGGTATAAGGCAAAAATCATTATTTCTAATCATCGTTGTGTCTTGTTATGTAATACTGTATATTATTACTTTATTATTAGAGAAACCTAATTCTTTAGATGTGAAATTTTGCATTGCCTTGAAATTGTTGGTTCCTGGTCAAACATATTGTATAAATTTATTTGATGACAGCAAGAGTTGTATTAGTAATCACCATTTGTAAAACAAATTCTCTGCCAATTGGAATCATTTTGTTATAATTGAACTATTACAATAACATTTTGCAATTTATATAGCGCATCAGGGGTATACTGCAAAGTGCTTCACCTGGTTGACTGGAAGCCTGAGCTAGGTAACTAAGAGGGGGAGGAGGGGGAAGTTGCCAAAAGGGCAGTCACTGTCATTCGAACATTTGGAATGATGAGGTCCATCAAAATAAATCAGCGTTTACTGAAAATGTTCAGAATTCTGACCCCAAACTGTAACCGTTCTTGAGGGAAGAATAGTGAGAGCACGGCTTGTCTTCACACGCAGAACTATAAGCTTGTCATTTCAATTGGATGCACTGGTGATAATACTCCATATGCAGCTCCAACCCTCCTATTCTTACCCCTCTTCAAGAGTAAAAGGGAAAACTAATCTAACCGCATTAAATAGTTTTCTGATTTGCGGAAAGCTTGACGAGTGACTCTGTTTGAAGTATTCATCTCCAATTCCAGTCATGTCAAATGTTTGCGTTACAAGCCATTTGTATGGTGCTGTTGCATTGCTTTTTGACATTTCCTATAATGTCTGCTATGTATTCTTTACATGACTTACTTCAAATTGATGTTTAAATCGTTTGCATTGCCCAATTCAATCACAAAAATGACTTTGGAGTATTGCGTTAATTTAATACAATATCTTAAACCATTAAAATTGAATAATTTAAACAACATCTGGATAAAGGAGTAGTTGTTTGCAGGATCTGAGCACTGTTTATGATGTGCAAGTTTACTGTCAATTAATGTGTGACAGCAAAAGTGCTTTTATGGAAATTTAGTTAAATAACCCATTAGTCAAGCATCACAAATTCTGGTGAACTTTGAGCTGAATCTATCATCCAGAACCTAAGATGCCATGAAAACACTCCTTTCACTTCTACATGCACATGAAACTTGGAGGTATTTGTGAAATGTATTTTCCTGTGGTCCTGGATTGGTTTTGTAGATTGGCGACAATACATGGAACAAGTGTTCGCACTACATGGTAGTTAAATATATTTTGCAGTTATTCTGAGAGCGATGGTAATTTGTTCACCAGAATGATATGAAAATCCTCAGAGTGCTGCCATTCTTACTTTTAAATATCACTTCTAAAGTTATTTTAGTTGTTCAGGTCATCGTAAAATCTACAAAGTTATCTTTTTTATTAACTCTCCTTAATTGTACACATGTTCTTGATATGGACAAGCTTAAATCTTATTTTTGATTGTAACTTCACCTATGGCACTTTACAGTTCCTGACATTTCACCCTTGGTGTGATCAACATGATGTTTATGGTATCCTACTTTGTCTTGAGAGCAATTTAAAATCCTTACCTCTGCGCCTGAGGGCAATTGTTCTGGTCCCATCTGTTTCACTGTTAAATGCTACACAAGGCGTTTGATCCTAATACTTGGTGTTTTTCTTTAAACAATCGCACTCGTACTTCTGACGATCTGGACATTTCATCATAATCTTTATAATGTTTTGTTACAAAAAAGCCTGGGTTGAAATTCTTGGTTTAGGCAAAAGTGTGTACAACCTTTTTATCTATGCCAATCAGTTACCAAAATGATAAATGCCGCCATTGCCTGTCTTACTTGTCTTTATTGCTGAGACATGACCAGGTTTAACACAAGTCGACATCCAAATGACAGCGTCTAGCAACATGTCAGGCTGAATAACCTTTGTCAATCCTGAAATACTGCTTTGTTGATGCTGTCATTGAAGACAATTGAATTGGGTGAAATAGACATAGTTGGGTTTTATTTCGGGCAGTTTTTGCAATGTGAGCTTGCAGCAGACCGGATTAAAGCTGGAGGTCTTAGCTAAGCTATTTCCTTCACAGGTTTATTCTGAAAAAGGCCATTTACAGTCCCCTTTTCTGTTTGTTCTTGCTCTGTTGTCCACCTTGAAAGGTAGAAATGCGTTTTTTTATTGATGTTTCTCTTCCCTTGACAAGTGGCTTTGCCAGAAAGTTTTGCAGCCAATGTAAAAAGGAAAAGAAGGGAGCTTGAATCATCCATGGTGCTTTAAGAGTTACAATTTGAAAAAGAAGTACTAAAAGAGTGGGAGGAATGAGTGTTTATATGACCGGGTCTGCAAAGGCCACCAAAAGCGAGGAGTAGATATTCTCTCTTTACTGTTTCTCTGTCTGGTTGATTGTCCTCGGGTTACCATTGAACAAAAAAATGGTGCAAGCAAATTGCAATGTCAGTGAGAGAGGGGCAAATGAAGATTACAAGTGATCAATAATGTACGATCGTAAAGCTATAAATATATAGGAATGAGAATGTGTCAATCAACTGCCACTATTTCTGTTTGTGACTAGTTAGTGATATGTATATATAAACCTGTTTTTCAATTTAGTTATAAATAGTTTAATTATCTCACAGTGAATTCAGTGTCTCACGTTACTTTATAAATGTATTCATATAAATGGAGTTGTAGCCTTAAACCGTACATCCCAGTGCCAGCTGCTTATTTGTATTTATAAGATGCGGGTATTGAACTGCAGCTGGTATTTGAGCTACAGGAATAGATTCTTTCTCTTCACCATCCTTTGCATACTGGCAAGTTCATGCAGTCCCCATGTACATTATTTCAAAGGCATAATGACTCCAAAAGAATTCCTTTAAACAGAAATCTGATTTTTGATCAAAATTTACAAGGGAATTGTTTTCAGAATGTCCACACACACAACCCAAAGGTTAAGTGGAGATAAGGCTGTAGCTAATGATGTGTCTCTGTGTACAGATACAAACGTATTTGATGCAGTGCCTTTTACGTCGGGAGGACGTCTCAAAGTACTTCACGAGATTTACTCTAAAATGTAGTGACTGTGTATTTTGTAGGAAATTAGAACAATACAAATATGGGTCATTTGTCTCTCTCCTACCTACACAACGCTTTCCACTCCCATCTCTCACCCTTCTCAGGCTCCAATCTACCCTATCTTTACAGACAAAAGACTCTTTAATGTTGCAGGCTTTACTTTTGTGTTTTGCACTAGCAGGCAGCTCAGGAGATTTCTTTTTAAGAACATACCTTCAGTTCACTGCAATGGATGTCAACATATCGAGTTTATCTTGTGAGACTCTGGTCGGGAAAGGTGGGTCAGTACAAATTTTCGAAAATGAAGATCAAATTTCACATTGATGTTTTGTTTAAATGGCAGTAGAAATTTTTGTGTAAACAAAACTCTGTATAAATGGATAAAAGCTACGGCTTTTTCCACTCCTTAAAATAAAAAATGATTGGTTGTAGTTCATGCAGCATAGTTTGAGTGCAAAGTGAAATCTGAACTGTTTGCAGAATTATGAATTGGAGCTGCATAAGTTTCTTAGAACATTTGCAAAATTAAGAACATTGTCAAATCAATATTGCAGAGTAGCAGCTGATTTAGAATAGTATCATCATCTGGTTCACTCATTGGAAATATATTAACTGTACCCAGGAAAAGGGTTGTTTCTCTCAATATGAATTCTAGCTTAAAACATGAAACTGTGCTCCCAGATCTTCAGCAATATTGAACCCGTGAATCGTGCAGGCCAAACATATTGACAAGGAAAGAGTTAAATCTCTGGGTTCCTACATACACAAATACGAGTTATTAAAGAAAACGATGCACTGGGCATTATAAATAGCTTTACATGATTCACCATATCAACAAATAGGAGATCTAAGAATCTAGTCCTGGGGAAACTCCAGGGGAAAATGATGGAAAATGCATGCAATGTGTTGATAAAGTATTGTGGGTCAATACTTTGGAGGTTAAATCCTTAGGCATTCTGTCAGTAAGAGGCTTAACAATAATCTAATCAGAAATGTGCCTGTGAACAAAAGTGTACCAGTACCACTGAAATAGTGAATTCCAGGTTAGGTACACTCTTCACAACTGTCACATCTCAATGATCTTTTATTTGGGTGTAATTTCAGTTTTTAACAACAGCTTTATGCTCTCAGATCAGGATCAAGCTTTTCATTTTCTTGAATGTATTCAGCATTTCTTTAGTGATTTGGTTTTTGCATAAACACACAAAGAGAAACGTGATGTTCAAGCATTCCCCTTCTGCCATACACTTGTGCCATTTTGATCCTGAAAGTGCAGGGTTAGTCATTTCACACCTGCAGTCTTGCATTAATTGTGATTTCAGGGCCATCGTGACGTCACAGAGCACGTGATAAAATGGTGAAATTTGGGGCATTGTGTTGCAAAGCGTTTGTGTCTTAATGTTATTGTGCAGGCCAAAGTGCATAGATTGTTGAATCTATTCCAGCTAAGAGATGGAAGTGTGGAGCATAATTCTGATTTAATTACGCGTGGAGATCCCTAAGGTATAAAAAGGCATTAAACTGTTACAGAGTTTGATTCCAGTTGCATGTCTATAGAAAGAAGAAACATAAAGGGAACACAGTGAAACTTTGAAGTGTGTAGAACAAGTGCATATATCTTTTAATTTTGTTTGCCTTTTGTAATACTTAATTTTCTTTTTCTGTTCCTTTGACTGAATGCATTTTATTTGCTCTTTTAATCTATCCTAGCCCCTTGGTTGTTCTCTCTTGTTGGCTTTTATTTCTTTCTGTTTCCCTGTCTTTCCTATTTTTTTCCCTTTTCTGTCTTCTCCCCTGAAGGTACTGAATTTTACTGGATACAGCAGGAATCCTCCAGTATAACTCACGTATAACTTCTTCATGTGTGAGCTCAGGCAGTGAGTTTTGGAAGTTACCACAGCTGAACTTAATTCTGTTCTCACCTAAGCATAGATTTTATCCAGGAGAGTCACTGGATATCAATCAGCAACAGCAAAATTACATTTATAGAGCGCCTTTCACGTCGGGAGGACATCCCAAATTGCTGAAGAACAGGACCTTAGTTGATTCCTTCCCCATCCCCACTTGCATAGCCCCAGCTGTGATCAGCTGGCCTGGTATAGTTTCTTTGCTGCTTCTCTACCGTGCCTCACTTTTCTCATTCTGCTCTCCTCCCGTTTCACACCTAACTTCCAGGTCTATCTCGTATTGGTTCTGGCTGCAGTCGGCAGAACAATTATGGTCAGTGAGATCCGAAATATCCCCTGTTATTCTTGACTGCTGCTGTGAAGTGATAGGATGCATAGCAATGGAAAGCCCTGTAGAATAGCACCATTTGCCATTGTCCCACTAGTATGTAGATTCAAATTGCGGGCCTCATTAAATGCTACAATCTGTGTAGAGCTGGGAGTGCTGGCATGCCAAGGAGGCTTTGCTTTTCCAGCTGTCAACCATTTAACTTGTAAACCAAATAATAACTTTTATTTATTTGTGGGTTAAATACACTTTCTTGGAAATGCTTCAAATGCTTATTGTAATAGCTACATTGTTTTTCCAAGGTATTTTTAATAACACCTTTTTTCTAGTTTGTCAGAGGCCCATGTAGGGCATAAGAAAGGCTTCTGTTTTTTGGTATTAATTAATTTTGTTTTTCAGGATTCATTTTTAGCAATTTTCGAGTTCTATGTAGATGTCCAAAAATCTGGGTTTGAGGGTCTTTTGCCTTTTCCGTGCTGTAATGAGAAGATTTTATCGGGCATGCTTCTCCAGATGTCCCAGAAGCGAGAGAGAGGTGCCCTTATGCACGCAAAGTGACTCCCTCCTCTCACATACACATCCTTCACCAGATGCTCCTGCACACAGTGTGGCAGAGAGCGAAGTAAGACATGTGCAGTTGGCACACCAGGGTATCCACTGAGAATGAGAGAGAGAAAGAAAGAGAGAATCTCACTGATGAGTATCTTTGAGCAACCATTTCCGATGTTTAATGGATAAACGCCTATTTCATTTTTTTTATATTGGGAGTATTTTATTGCTATTTTTCTGTTAAAACTAAAAATCAGAAGCCCTGGGTATAGGTCTTGCATCTGCAACAAGGCCATATTTTGCATAATGCGCAATAGACCTTCATTACTTGTCGTGTACATTCTGAGGTCATTTGTTCAATTTAAAATGAAGTATTTTTTATCATATTCACATATGTGAACAATATAACCATGGTTACAAATGGTTTAGATGTAACGCACAATGAACTTTATTGACTGGATGTTTCCATTGTATGAAATTGCTTTCCACTTTGAAGTCAACCTCTGTGATAGTTTGGTTCCTCAGCTCAATGCTCCAGGGCACTGCTCATGACAGACCTGCTGAGCTGGTTTATTGGCAGGATTTGGAGAGGCAGACTAGGTACAGGGTTTCTTTCCATTGGCTGCTGTTAACTCGATGCCGAAGCCCTAATGGGTAGTTGAACAAGCAGGGAAGCTTGCCAGACAGTGCTCTCAATGGAAAGGTTTTTAGCTGGTTAAAATTCAGTAGTACCCTAAACACCCACTATGCGGTCCCCAAACCTTTACTCTTGCCAACCATGGTCGGAATCAGGTAAGCAGGGTGCGTCCATCGAGTAAGACAGTCCACATTCAATTCCAGACGCAGGGAAATTTCAATGTGTAGGTGTCAAACATATGTGGACCTCTCTGTAGGATTTAGATACTCTTAAATGTGGTTTCTGCATGTATCAGACACATGCTGATCAAAACAAAAAATCTTTCTACTTGTAAATCGGACTATAATTCACTAGTAATACATATGCAGGAATCATACCCAGCATTCTCAATAAATACGGTGGTAAATGTTTAACCAATATGACTGTATTTAATAGTTAGCAAGTGCAATTCTGTAATGCATAATAGCTGAATTGCATTTCCTCCAATAATTGAGAGAAGTCATTGTTGAGTACCGTGTTGGATGAACCATGCTGTTTAGAAATGTTTATAAATCAGGGAGTGTTCGACAATCTCTTGACTGTATTCTATTGATTACATGTGGTGCATGCATAATTCCTATATTAGGGTTCAAAAGGAGATCCAGGCTTAACACCTAGTAAAGCACCACCTGGAGAAAAGGTAAATTGAACTGGGAAGTCATTCTCCTCATCACTGTATGTTTCACTCACAATCCTTTGTGCTAAACTGTCTTTGCTGCCATTCATTCATTCCCATCATTGTCACACCTGCATGGTTCACCATTATCATCATTTTTGGCTCTTACCTCTTTGGAGGAATGTTTGTGAAGAAGGCTGCTCACCACGAACAGCGTGCATGATAGAATGGGGTGACGGTATATCCTTTCTGGTTTGCGATGCATGTGATCAATGTTGGTTCATTGTTTTTGTGCTCCATCTCTGCATTTCATCTGTGTTTTACATTGATGTGAATTTCCATGACAGTCGCTGTAATCCATCAGTTTGATTGTTTTTATTGCATGTGGTGTTGGATCCTACTGTTAGTATTTGAATAAGGGTGAGTTTATTTGAGAGCAACATTTCCACTTTTAAAATGGGCCGGTGCTACCAATTCACAGCCACAATTAAATGCAATTCAAGTAGCCAGTTGTTGGCAACACTTTAATGCTCTGTGCAATACCGACTTGGGTACTGAGGTTCAAATCCCATTCTTGGCTGAGATGCACAATCCAATGTATGACAAATGCTCTATTGCACCTTCCTCCATTCAAGTTGCCAGTCTTGGCAGGGTACAAATGATGTCCTAAATAAAAGGAGGGCTGGTTCATCCTCACCACAGTATAACTTAGCATCTGAACCACAACTAAGCATTAACATGAATTGGACCTAATTACCCTGGTCAGGTAGTAGCACCTGAGTGTAGGAAGTATCATTGGGAGAGAGAAATATGAGGAAAGCTCTCAAATAAGCCCACCAGGGAATGTAACTGTTAAACTGTGACTGAAGTGACGTTTTATAAATTTAAAATGGAAATTGTACAAAAGTCAAATGTATCTAACAATTTATGGGAACCAGATATTATTTTACTTGTAATAGCCACTGGAATGTAACAGTACATCAGCTAATTCCTGAAGAATTCAGAACTGTTCACAGAAAGCTTGGCATTTTCCAAGCTCATACACGTGGAAGTGGCTAGATAATAATGATAATCCTTGCATTGATACAGCGACTTATCATGCTTTTGAGACTTCTCAAAGCACTTCACAGAATATACTGTAAAGTGAATTGACTGTATATTTTGTGGGAGTTGCAGTGTTACGTAAACTTTTTCTTCCTTTTGTTATTAAAAATATTTCATCGCGGTACATATTCAAACTGAAAATTATTTGAATGTGGGCTAGTTTCAAAACAAATGTTGTGTCNAAAAAAATGCAAAAATATTACCCATAACAAAATATTGTCTTGTCACAAGCTCAGGGTTACTTTCAAGACACAGCCCATTACTAAATCACTAATGTCCACAAAGACCATTGCAATCTAAATCTGTCACTCCACTACCATCCTGATATTTTTCAACTGGCAGGAATATTTTGAAGAATTTGTCATCATAATACTCACTCTGAGAACAAATGCCCTCCTGGCTACAAAGCTCAGTCAGTGCCCAGCACTGTCATTTATTCTGCCACCTTCTGCCTTAAATATTATGTTGTTATTCCATGCAGTACCACAGCTCATGTATCAATGATTTCCTACACAGGGGGATGAAGGTCCAATTGGTCCAACGGGTCCTCCAGGTCCCCGAGGTCAGAAGGTAAAGTATTTTTCTTTTTGCTGCTGAATTGGTCTCATCTGAGCAAATTTATTTTCTTAAATATTTGTGAGGGCTAAAAGAAATCAAAGTGCTGTCACATTTGAGCTATCAATTATTTGCCTATACTTCCTGTTTTGATTTAGAACTCTGAATGTTGTGAAAGACAGACATGTACCAGTTTTAAGGTGACCAACAGTAGGATGATCCGAGTCCACATAGTTCAAATTCAAGTCAAGTGATGTATTAATACTCTGCAAATTCGGCACTGAATGGGACTGTGATATCAACTTGGTACGGACACCAAACAGATCAACCAAATATTTATTTCATTTCTGAGTTTGAAATGGGATCATGTCTTAGTTCTGTGTGCAGTTATAAATTTAATTTTCAATGAATAAAACCTTTGAACTTTTTTCTATCCCTAAAAGTGTTAACAATCAAAAAGAGCAAGAATGTGATGGTTAAATCCTCCAATTTAATATGTTCTGTCCAAACATGACCAATAATGCTGATCTGTATCCTACTGCATTCACAGCCAAGTATGATTGTATCAGATGTGAGTCTGATAGATTTCCATAAGTTACTGTATTCTCTTTGAGCTTATCTTAAAATTTTGCATAACATTATAAAACATTTCTGAATTAGGCATTGTTTTGCCCTTGAGTATCTTATACCTTGTGTAATTCTTATATTTTCTATTGTATGTCTTTAAAAATGTAGACAATTCAACAATTGTACTGACGAAATTACCCAGTAAACCATATAGAGAATAAAGGATCAGTGTACAAGTTAAAACAAAAGATATATAGTAAGCACCAAAATAATATACTGGGCTGTCAAGTCGCAGTTCAGTGACAGTAATTTATGTACATATAAAAATTGTAGTGTTCAACTGCAAAGCTTATTAGGAGAATCACATAATGGGATCCTGAGGCTTTATTTTCCTTGCATGTAGAGGCTGATGGTGTTTGCTGAGTTACAGGGGATGATCAGCAATACGCTGCTTCAGTTACCTCCTTAATATAGCCATGCACACTTCAGCCAGCTGACTTTTGTGTGACCGTTATTTGTACTGATAGTGTTGTCCGAGTGCTGGACTGTTCCCACAGGCCTCCAGTGGAACAGATGACACACCTCAGTGGCAACCTCCCTGTTAAATTTTAGCCTCTCATGTATTATCTTCATCATGCAGAGATACTGTAATAAATTCAGATCAGTAAGAAAATCAAAATGCTCCACACTGATGTTGCCTCAGGATTGGCGCCTGGCTGTTGGTTGGGCTCGTTCTCAGACCAAGTGAGGTCCTTTGAAATATTGTGCTGGAGGAAACAAAGATGTACAATTATTCTGCTTGATTCTCTCTCCAGCTTGGATGTAATTGTACGTGCCTTTTTTGAAATAGACATTATTTTAATCGTTTCTGCATTTGTTGCCTCAGCATGCTTCATCAAGTTTGTCTTGGTCTGTGCGTAATGACACTGAAATGTCTGCATAGACTGTAATGGAATTTAGTAGCTTCTGTCTGGACTTTACCGATTTCCTGGTAAAGTTCTGGATTGATTCATTTATACTGTATAATACCATGGTTAGATCAGTAAGCGTTTTTACTAACTCAAACATGTATCTTGTCACTTACAATTAAAACGCATGGCTGCTTCACCTCAATTAGAGGGCCCTTTATATCATACTTGCTAATCTGTCCTCAAAAGTAAAGATTTTTTTTTATCCTAGACACTTAAAAAAGCTCTTCTAAATCACAATCCTTGGCTGGACCGCTTTCTTTTGCTTGCTCAGGAGAGAAATACTCTCACCGTGGAATTGCATTTTGTTTGCAACAGTAACGTGTTCCTCTTGCTTATCATCCTCTACAGTCTTGTCTACTTGCTTTTCTAAAATGCTGTAGTATAGTTTTCCATGATTGATGTAGTTCCCAAATTGGATGAATTCTGGCCTGTCAGGTTTTCTCCGTTTGCCCAGTTTGAATCAACTTGGCTTCAGATGGCACACGGTGGCCAAATCAGGTCAGTGCAGTTTCAGGCTCATCAGCACGGGCGCTGCAGTTAAAATAAACACTGACGCTCGGCTGAAAATGTGCGGAGTGGCTATTCCCTTCACAAGACTAACATAAAACCCAGTGTCACTGTGGTTCAAATCAGAAGAGCTGATCGCTGGAGCAATCCATCAGTTGCAGTGTACCATGGCACCTGGCAACAGAATAAAACTTTATCACAGAAATAGGAATAAATGTTGTGGTATTTCTTAAGAAATATGAGTGAAGGTGTCATACACGGCACTCTGACCTGCTGGAGCTTTACTTTGAAAATGGAGAGTTGAAAGGGCAGTTCCTGTGAGTCAGAATCATGGCCTTCCAAGTTTCCCAATTAGGAAATCTGTCAAGAAATACCGTAAAGTTGCCCCTTTTAAAATTTGTAATTTGGACGATTGAAACTGCTCATATCCAGACCTGACCACAATATAAAAAAGAAAGACAATCCCTGGGATTCACATTTTTCTAATTAGGAACTTTTCTTTTGATCCTCTATAAATTATGCCAACTTTGCATAGTATCATACCAAAGTAGACAATTGTTTACAACTAGCAAGCATAAGGTCTATATTTTCAAATCGACCAAAGCATTCATTCTTAAGCAAAATTTCAGACCTTTCCATTTATATGTATAATATATATATATTTGCACATCTGTACATTTCTGTGTATTTTCTGCTTGAGACATTTTTACTGGTTTTGAATTATTTTCACAGTCTTCTCTTTCAATACCATTTTGCAATGCTTACATTTCTCGTCAAATATTGAAACCACAACTGCAATTTTCCAGTCTTCGGGAATTTTTTTCTCCTTACCAAGCAGTTTTGGAGATAGTTATTTTGTGATTGCTAGATACCAGCCCCATTGTACATGGTAGAATATTCTGTCTAATCACGTCTGTAACTGGATTGCAGCCATTTTTCAAAATTCCACTTCACCCTTGAGGTTATGTTCACTTCATGTAAACCATTAAACTAAATAAATCAATCCTTTTTAAAAAAAACTAACTTTATATTCTTTTCTTCACCGTCTTCAATGTTCTGATACCATGCAACATTGCTTGCCTGCGAACTGTTCCTTGGCCTTTACTAGCTTTATAACCAGTCTTAGGAGGTACTGAAGAATACCCAGAATAATTCAAGCTGTCTTCCTGACTCAGGAGAAGGTGCCTCACTTATTCTCCTGATCATTCCTGATCATTCCATTCGAACAGCCACATGAACGTTTTTGGAGGTTAAAATTAATAAACAGCTATATAAACTATTTGAATTTGGAAGCCAAGTGCCTGCTTGCATCTGTTGTTGACTGATTGTGCAATGACAGCAGTGTCTGTGTGCATGTCTGCACACCAGGTTGTACACCAATACAGTGGACTGCCTTAACTTACTTTCTTTAGTTGCTTGATATATCAATCGTGAATTTTGTTGTCTCAATTTAAAGGTCATTTGTTGTCTCTTCATACAACCAATCCTTTCCTTCACCAATTTTCGTCAGCTAGCAGCAGTGCTCTGAATAGGTTCCCTTCTACACTTCCATAAGGGTTATTTTCCCAAATATTGCCTTTGAGGTGTTACAGGTTTTTAATTCTTACACGATGAAGGAGTTGAAGGCTAAATAATTCTAACCAAAGGCAGTGATCAAAGTGATCAAATTGCTATTTACTGTATTTGTTCTTAAGCCTTGCTAAATTTGTATTTAGCCATCTTAATATTTTCAGTGAATTGCTTATAGCAGACTTGGATTAACTGTTTAGCCCAAGTCTAAATTTGGGCTAATCAGTTAATCCAAGTTTAGATTAATGGTTAAACTTGTTAATCTCACTCAGGAGAGAGTGTTTATTACTGCATCTATAATAATAATAATAATAATAATCCTTGCATTTGATATAGCGCTTTTCACGTCGGGAGGACGTCCCAAAGCGCTTCACAGAACACACTGTAAAGTGAATTGATTGTATATTTGTGGGCGAACGCGGCAGCCAATTGCGCACAGCAATGTCCCACAAACAGTCGTAGATTGAAAATGACCAATTTATTATTGTTTTGGGTTTTGGAGGGATTATTATTAGGCGTGTGGAGTAAGGAAACTTGCCCAAGGTTTCGCCTTGCCTGGAATTGAACTCAGGTCTCTCACTTGCAAAGCGAGTGCTCTAACCACTGAGCTACAGGACTCCACAAAAAAAAAATTATTTAAAGATAAAAGAATTGTGTACATTCTTTTGAGGTGTATGAAATGTATTTGAAATATTTCATTTTAAGAATCTAGGCAATGAATCGAAAGTAACCAAATGTCACAAAAATTGATCTCTGAAGGCAACTGTTGCTCAGATTCGTTTTCAGTTGAGTAATCTTGAGGTCAGTAACAGCATGCCAAAGCCGTAAATCATTTTTTATTGTACAAAGTAAGTTTTAAGCTAGAATTTACCTGAATGAACATGCAGTATTTTCATTGGTATTCTAAGTAGTGGGAATGCCTAGAAGTCTGAATAAAGAATTTAATTCTCTCAATATTGTATACTTAAGGTGCATAAGAACATAAGAACATAAGAATTAGGAGCAGGAGTAGGCTATTCGGCCCCTCGAACCTCCCCGCCATTCAGTAAGATCATGGCTGATCTATTCTAACTCCACCTATCCACCTTATCCCCATATCCTTTAATCCCTTTATTGGGGATTAAGGGATATGGGGATAGTCCATATTGGGGACAAATTTGCACTATTTATTAACAGGTTTCTTGATAAAAAAATTGTAATTATTGAATTTTTAAAATATCAAATATAATGAAGAATAAAATTATAGTTAATATTTATAGCTATTCTATAGGAACAGTCAGCATGCTGACTACATGTAGATTTATGATATATTCTTAATATAAAAACGTCTTTAGGTTCCATTAAATTGTTTGGGGAATGAGTTCTCCATCTCGTAAAAGCTGATGTATTGTGTATTTGAATTGGACAAACTGAATTTTAATTCATGTTAGATATGGTTTTATCTGGTTTCAGCATTGGGACAACTCCACTAACAATTATAGCCAAATATAAGAATAGATTTTCATCATTGGGGGGAGAATTTGTTACAGGTTATATCGGACCAGACTTATTATTTATTTATGCATTTATTAGTGAGGTACGTTTTAGACAATTAGAAGTTTTAAAATTGTATAGGGGCTGGACTAGTTGGCTCCAGATTCCTGATCCAAGTATAATGTTGATTTTAGCGAAGATTTTCAATGTACAATCCACTGCCACTTGGTTACTTTAAACAGACATTATGATCCTAGTACAGCATTTCAATATAAAATTCCAGGCAACTCAGAAAATGCCCTAAACCTTGGAATAATTCATGTGCAACAATCTTAAATCAAATCCATCCACAGTTATCTGTGCTCTGGAAATCATAGTGTAGTTTATAAGTCGATTCACTTTTGTCTTAAAAGTGCAGAACACAAAAGAGGAATGAACATAATAGGCCCTTTAGCTCATTTGATATCATCCTTCCAGAATAGCCTTCCTACTTTATCCCATTATAGTATCTAGCTATTATAAAAAGCCAATGACTGGCCTCAACCACTCTTCTAAATAAACAGTTCCAGCTGCTGATTGTCTTTCTTGCTGTCTGTCTTAAAATTGTCCTTCGCAACCCTGAGCATGAAGTCTCCTGTTTTGCTGCACATCTGAAATAATTATTCAGGGATTGTTATTTTTGATTAGATTGAGTTGCTGAATGAGCAACTCCATGACAGTGGTTTCTGATCCAAATATTTATCAACCAATTGTTTTGTCTGTAGTTCAATGAAAGTGATCACAATTCCATACACAGTTACTACACTTTGCAGTATATCGGTGAGGCGGTTGAGATGTCTCAATGCTGTACATCAAATGTAATGATTATTATAAGACAGCTTGTCACAACTCATTGTGCTAAATATACTTCACAAATATGGTTTAATCAATATTTTAGGGCTTAAAAGACTATTTTTCCATAATAACAAATAGAGATGTAATGTTTAAGAACTTACATGATTTCCCGCTAGACAATTTCCAATTCTGTTTTTAATTTTGTTTCCGTTATTAGCTTGAGTTTGTCACAAACATAGCTCGTACATGTGCAACAGGACTGTATCTGCTTCATACCATTTAGTTGGGAATCACAGTCTGTATCATCAAAGGAATAATTCAAGCCCTCTGTAGACTTGCACGCTCTCCTTGATTGCAACAACTTGCGCGTATGTGTGCTGTTAGTGCACATATGTATGCCGTTATTAATGACTAGAATGATAAATTGCCTTCTTCCACATCGAGTAACATATTGAGCTATAACTTTACAATGAAAATCTGTGAACAATTAAAATGGAATGAATTCAACAAACTGCACAAAGGGGTATCATATCTACCAGTCCACGTGCATAAAATATGCAGCAGGGATGTTTAAAACTTCAAACACAACTGGTATGGTTTTAGCTGTACTTAATACAACATGTGAAATCTCTTTTTTTGCAGACTCTGCTGTTTTCTATTTGATTATATTTCATTGATAATTTTAAATAAATCTGAATTTCTATTCTATTTCTATTCCACAGTGTACCCCCATACTCCTTTACATTTGATCAAAAAGGGTATCTATTTGTTGCTGACCATGACAACATGTATCCTCTTTTGATCACATTGCTGTTTTCTAATATTCTATAGCTGAAGTGCGAAGTCATCCACCTAGGTAGCAAAAACAGTAGAGCGGGTTATTTTTTAGAAGGGGAGAGATTGGAATGTGTTAGCGTCCAGAGGGACTTGGGTGACCTTGTACACCAATCACAGAAAGTTAGTCTGCAGGTGCAGCAAGTAATTAGGAAGGCGAACGGTATGTTAGCATTCATTATGAAAGGGTTAGAGTATAAGAGTAGAGAAGTCTTGCTGCAACTGTATAGGGCCCTGGTGAGACCACACCTGGAATACTGTGTGCAGTTTTGGTCTCCTTATTTAAGGAAGGATGTACTTGCCTTGGAGGGGGTGCAGCGCAGATTTACTAGGTTAGTACCAGGGATGAAGGGGATGAGTTACCAGGATAGGCTGACCAATTTGGGTCTATATTCTCTAGAATATAGAAGAATTAGAGGGGATCTTATGGAAACCTATAAGATCATGAAAGGGCATGATAGAGTAGATAGTGGGAGATTATTTCCCCTGGTTGGAGAAACTAAAACCAGGGGTCACAACCTTAAAACTAGAGGCCAGCCCTTTCACAGTTGAGTTGAGAAAAAACTTCTTCACTCAAAGGGTGGTGAATGTATGGAACTCACTACCCCAAAGGGCTGTTGACAATCAATCCTTGAACATATTCAAGACTGAGATAGATAGATTTCTTATTGCAAAAGGGATTAAGGGATATGGGGATAAGGCAGGGTTAGGATATTAGCTGGAGTTAGATTAGAAGATCAGTCATGATTGAATGACGGGGCAGGCTCGAAGGGCCGAATGGCCTACTCCTGCTCCTACATGTTATGTTATGATACACGCCATATCTTCTGTACTAGAAACATTTGCCTCTTATTGGGACCATTGTAATAATAACTTTGTCACTCAATCCACAACTGTTTGTGGGACACTGCTGTGTGCAATTGGCTGTCACGTTTCGCCCACAAAATATACAGTCAATTCACTTTACATTATATTCTGTGAAGCACTTTGAGACGTCTCGAAGACGTGATAAAGCGCTATCTGAAATGCAAGGATTATCTATTATTTATTATTGTCCAAATCAACTAAATATTTCTCCAGAGTTTTGATTGCAATCATATAAAGTGTTTTTATAAGGTTATGATGTTTGATTCTCCAGCTTTTGGGACCATGTAACCCATGGCATCCCATGGCTCAGGTCTCCAAGACAATTGGGCTCCTAGTGGATCCACTGATAAGATTTAATATCATCATGTAGTAAAATGTAGAGGCCCCAAACCTTTGCAAAGCAACCTGTCTGCCACCGATGCCTGCTCTCCTGATGTGGAGGAATTGTCTGGGAACAGAATGCTCACTTCCACTGCTGCGAAGGTTTCAGGCCAAGGGAACATTTCAGAGAGAAAGTTGAAAATTTACCAAAAATAATCCCTACAAAAAAAACGAATTGGAAGATTTACATTGAAAAGATCTTGCTAATCTTGCTCGACTTACATAAGTAACAATGTAAGTTACTTATATAAATCTTTCTGAAATCAAAAAAAATTTCCATTCTTCTTCAAAGTGCCATTATATAGAAAGAAGTAGCTGGACACTTTGGTGTAGTACTCATCTCATAATTATATTTGGCTCAATTGTATTTCTTAGATAGCAGCCGCTAGCATATGAATTGGGAATGAGTAAATTGGTTGGACTGTCTCCAGCCTTTTGAAAGAATAATTGCGAACAGCAGGTTGCTCTGGGCACTTTGCCTTCATGTTCTTGGTTACTGAAGCTCTCTCTTTCCAGTATTATCATTAATAGGCTGAACAATAAATGATTCATGGCAGAAGCGCTGTCTTGTTCGATGGTAAGCCAGATGAGCAAACCAGGCTTGTGTCATTTTCAGTAACTGCATAACCCAGAAGCAATGGAATGATATCTTTATCGTGCGGTGACATGTTTTGACACAATTTACTTTTATCTAATCAAAGCATTTGTCAAACATGTGTCGTTGTGAAGATGGTGCTCCTTTCAGCAAAAGCACATTTATAATCCACAAAATAATTGAATTTATACTCAACGCATATTCAGAAAAAGGAGCTAAATTAAATTAATTGTCATCTTCAAAAACTCTTTGCTTCCAGTTACGTTTAAAGCAAAGCAAATTGCCTGATTCATTTAAAATGTCAGCACCTTAAGAACTGACTAGTTACTAAGTACTTGGAAGTTGTCTAAAACGAGCACCTGTTGACTTTTTCTGTTTCAGGGTCCCAAAGGATATCAGGGACCACCAGGTCTGCTGGGAGAGCAGGTATGTGCTCTTGAATTCCTTTTCTCTGCATTTGTTGATGTTTGCATTGTAATCGACATGAGATTTGAGAAAGTGTTGTGCAAGGCACATAGGTAAGTTTCACAGAAACAGCACATCAACTGTTATGAATGAATAGAAAGTTGTACGTTGACAAGGAGGAATTATCATGTGCTGATTTGTTAGAAATTGTGGTTTCTTCATCACTTGTTTACAATGGGATTTAACATTTCCTGTTGCTGGCAAACAGCAAATGTGAGAGGCCTCAGGAATTTACTGAAAATTAACTATTTCATTGTGGCTTTATATTAATCAATGAGAGGCCTGTAATAAAAAATAAGTCAGAGGAAGTTGCTGAAAAAAAATCTTTGCCTAATCTTCTAATTAAGGTTTCTGCATCTGCTGGATGTTTTTTTGGTTTTGGATGAAGCATGGTCACTATTTCCATTGGGAGATCGAGATCAAAATCAAAGACACAGTGCTGGAATCAGCCTTGAAAATGAGCCACAAATGCTTAATGTCCCTTGATCGCCTTAACTCTCTAGATACTCAGTGTGCTGTAACTGATAAGAGTTGAAATGTTGGAGAAACAAATCTTGAGCGTTTCTTGTGACAGGTACCAGTGATTAGAATTAGAAATGGGGCACCATTCTGTTTAGTGTCAGCAATCAGACATAACAAAGGAACTACAGGTATCACCCAAAAGCTAAAAGAACCTGCTAATGTGACTTTCGAGATGTACTGCTCGCATTTGTACTTTTGTATTTTGCATGACATCTTTTTATGATAATCTCTGATTTTAAATATCCTGTTCCCAACAAACCTTAGCTTGGACTTGTTGAAAGTTTAATTGGCCTGCGTACTGGAATTGAAACCTCAATCAATGGAACCCCACGATGGAAGGAACAGATCCCTTATCGTAATAAGAGATTGTAGTTTAAATGAAATAGTTTATGCTCAGCAGGATTTAATATTTTTCAACATTAATATTTAATATCAATGTTAACGTCTAATTCTTTCCTCCACAGGGAATTACAGGGCCAATTGGCAGTCCTGGCAAAGCTGGTTACCCTGGCAGGCAGGTGCAGTAACTATACTTTGGATTTTTGAGGGGTTCCGTATTTGACACTGTTTTGTACAGTTTTCAAATATTTGCTATATTGACATTATCGCTTGACATGTGTTTGAAATAATATTTGGTGTCCAAGACATGTTTAACATGTTTTTAAATAATTGATCGGTTGGAAGTTCACCAATCATTACTCTCATGTCCTATTACCATCAAGTGTAGGATTCACAAATTAATATCCATGGGTGTACAGTTAGACAGCCGTGGATTGAGTGACAAATTTATTATTACAATGGTCCTAGTAAGAGGCAAATGTTTCTATTATAGAGGATATGGCGTGTATCAGCTATAGAATATTAGAAAGCAGCAATGCGATCAAAAGAAGATACATGTTGTGGGCAATTGTTTCTCCTTTTATCTCCTCTCCCCACTATAGCTGATATTAAGTGCTCTCCCTGTGGAGAGCTATGCTCATGAATCTATTTCCTATCGGCTATGCTGTTCAGAGAGCCAGCTATCAGCCAGCTTTCTGCCACCACTCACCACGTGGAACATCAATCCACCTGCTCTGTTGAATAGTTTATTGACGTAACATTGAATGGGCAGTATAGTGGTGTGAAACATATTCTAAGGTTAAAACGTAGGCCAATTCCATGGAAATCTGTCATAAAGCCTACCTTGAAAGAGAGAGCCTTCCTCTCAATGGTACTCACCTAATCTCAGACCCAAACCATATTCACAACCTCGTTTAGAGATCGCTGTCTCTCTACAAACCAACTGAAGACCTTGGCAAAGGTGACTGCTCTAAACAGAATGCCTGTTGTAAAAGATAAGTGGATGTTTCTGAGGGTTTACATTGCCCGAGTTTCTCAAATAGTAACAGATTCATTGTGTTTCTCTAGCAGTTGTTCATGCTTCACGCCTAGCATTCTGTCAGTGATTCTGCAAATGAAACATCAATCATGTGGAACATGCCTGTGTTTTGTCCAACCTTTATTTTGTTAAGAGCAAGACCAATGCTGAGATGAATCATGAAAGATTAAATTGTATTTAAAACTTGGCAGCTGCTATGGTGATGAATAAAATAGTGCATTTGGTATGAATATATCTCATTCATAGTTTCATAATTTATCATTCAACGACAAAATTATGAATGCCTACTAAGTATCAAGTTTATTTTGTATGGGATAAAATACTGAATTAATAGGATCACGAATTCTACCACTTTTTTAATGTTGCCTACTAACATGTTTTATGCTTATTGCAGGGTTTAGCTGGACCAGAAGGTAACCCAGGTCCCAAAGGTGTAAGGGTGAGTAAGGTCTTAAGGATGTTTCAAATAATTATAAGGCTAGTAAGGACAGTAAGGTTTAAAGACAATTCATTCTGTGTCGCTGCCTGTTTTTAGAGCTACGTTCTATACCTTCAGTTGTCAGTTCATTTGTATCATTCCTTTCATGCATTGGAGCACATTGTCTGAGTACATATGTATCCTCAACTTTTTGGGGAGGGGGCTTAAACCTAGAACAGGAATAAACAGTTGAGTAATTTGTGCTGGAGAATGTGTTGAGGAGAAAGTGCTGTCAACATCTGTGTGCCTCCGTGTTCTGCCTTAATCTTTTTCTAAAGAATTCAGTCCAAACATATCACATGTTAAAAGCCACTGGCCTGGGTTATTGCTTCATTTCGCACAATGGGAATAACGCAATCCCAGCACCCAATGCTTATTTATGCCTATCATACAGCTGGTGAAGCCCTGATTCTGCAAATTCATAGTAAACAATCAATAATAAAAATAATCCTTGCATTTGATATAGCGCAGCATTATCAAGTCTTCTCAACACATTTCACAGAATATACTGCAAAGTGAATTGCCTGTATATTTTGTGGGCGAAACACGGCAGCCAATTGCACACAGCAGTGTCCCACGAATAGTCGTGGATTGAAGTGCTCAATTTATTATTTTTTTGGAAGGAATTATTACCCCCGGAAAAGCAACTCACCAATCGACTAACAACTACTTATTGCTAGGTAAACAGAGGCGTGTTGAGTAAGGAAACTTGCCCAACATTTCGCCCTGCCGGGAATTGAACCCAGGTCTCTCGCTTGCGAGGCAAGTGCTCTAACCACTGAGCTACAGGATTCCCAGCCATTCAATTTGCTTTAACCTGCTAACCATTGATGACAATGCTACAGCATTTGCTCACCGCCACCAAGCACAAAATTACATTTGTATAGCAACCTTCAATCACTACAAACAATGAAATGACTCTGTAACGATGGTTGTGTTTGTCATGCTGGTTTTGCTTTCCGTGCATCAGAGATGGACAAATGTATCTTCAGAGAATACAGGTAAACTTCTGCATAAAGCACAACATTAACAAACAGTCTTCACCAATAAGTTCATGAGTTTAATCAAGAGTAGCTGAGCAACACAGAGCAGAAAGGTTTGTTCCCTGATCTTTGCTAAGTTAGCCGTTCTGAGCTTTGATAGAAGTGGATTGTGTGCAAAGAGGATCAGGATTTCAGTTTAGGGAGGAAAATTGTCCAAGCTCCTGGGCTTTGGTGCTGTGCAAAATTTCTGCTGGTGGCTTTAGAGACTAATTTATGACTGAAACAGGTTGCCAGAAAGGATTGCTGAGGCCAGGATATTGGACTTTTAAAAAAAAAAAAAATAGCTTGATGTTGTGATGATGGGAGGGTGGGTGTTCTCGGAGGATGAAAGAAGGGCTTTCTTCATCCAAACAGATCTTGTCATCCTTCAGGGAACAAAATAGGTACAGGAATTTAGCAAGGTTTTTTCTATGGCAGCTTGGGTACAAAGGGCGCTAATCCAGCTTTTTGAAGGTCAAAGGATTTTCAAGAGGAGATTTTCATCACGTGAACAGCAAGAATGATCAGTTGTAATTGTTATCAACATATTGGGTGTTAACGTGTACTGTATGCTGACAAATCCGAAACAAAATATTCACTAGCATCAGTGTTGGGTGCAAAACAACAATATTTTTCAAGAACAATTTTAGATTTGTGCATGCATTTTTCAGCTTTCAGAGTTGTGAGTTGAAAATTACTAATGTGAGGTCTTGCTCCTGATCACTGTTCAGTGAAATCTGGTAGAACTCCATTTACTAATACCTAACAACCCAGTAAACCCTGCAACCCCAGAAAGTCACGTGATACAATATCATGTGTTTGCTGAGATAACACTCCTTTATAATAAGCACTTTGTTGTAAAACAACATTTTTGCACAACATCCCTCCAGTCTAATATCTTGTTGAATGTTCCAAAGCACTGTTTTATCAGATTCTGAAAATAGAATTTTATTTTTCTCCTGAAGTAGGAGTGAAGAACAAGCAGTAATTTAGGCTGGGCTTCAGATGACTTATTCTAACCACTCCAGTTTTGATTTTTTTAGTATAATGTCGGCTCTCGCCAATGCTTACTGCAGTATGACTTCCTCTGTCTATCATACCAAGAGATAGCATAAGAACTATTAGTATTATTTTTTGTGTGGACATTAAATGCATTTCAGCTTAACAAAACAGAACAGCAAGGATTCAACTCTGAAACTTCCAAATGAGCTGGATTCAGTCATTCTTAATTCATTAATACTGGTCACTATTGTTGAACAAAGACCTTCACTTTCACATTCATAGTAGAATAGCAGTTTGTCTTGTTTCCAGAGTGCAATTGATAATTCTAATTTTCTGATTACAACTACACACATCTAAGCTGGTCACAAAAAATCAGTATTCTTTGCTCTTAAAATAATAGATTTATAGTGGATAATTACGAATTAGCTGAGTTCTGTTTTACAATTTTTTAAAAATCGAAATATAATTGCCCTATGGATGGCTTAATGTTCTATCATTTTTACATTGTTCATTTAAGTGGCCTATTAAACTGCACTCAAAGTCCTATTTATGTACTGGGATCATACATTCGAGCACAGCATTTACAATTACAACAAATGATCCATTCATATTCTTACTGTACAGATGATTCAGACCTGTGCATTTTACCCAGGATGTTTTAAATTATAACCTATCAATAAATGTCATTGCAGTAAGCAGACTATTAGATGTTTTTTGGCTCAACTGTAATAGGTGATTGTTGCCACTTGTAGTAGCTACGTGAACACCTTGGAATTTTAGGATTCTGTGGGCAATACTCCAGTTCTGTCGGGTGAGTAATTACAACTTCAATTTCCACTTCAATTCATCAGAGGGTTTAAACCCTCCAGCAACACCTCAGTGAGCATTTCGCCAGCTGGACAGTCAAACCTTTTCCTCTATCTAATTATTGTTGTCAAAACAAGTCAAGTCTGCAGTAGGAACTGAACCCACAGACAGACTTGTGATTACAGATCTGGTTTGCTTCTTACTGAGTTAATCTGGCAGCTGAAACATTTGTGCCTTCATCCAAAATATATTACAATTCTCAGTTTGGAGGCAAGATTGATTCATATTTAGAATACTGTTGAGCCTTTTTTTAATATTATGTTGCAACTCTTCATACAACATCGGAATATTTTTCCTTAGCTTTTCTTTAATATTTCCAATTTTCTGATCACGGAAGGAGCAGGCGTTCACAGTGCAGAAATCTAACACGGTTAGCAGAGTAAGAGAGAAGATTAGATAAATATCTATGAATGAGATTTAATTTCAACATCGTATTGTGTAATGCAGGTAGGATGGGGAGCATGTATGGTGGTGTATTATCAAGTTTGGATATGTCAGCACATGATGTATATATCTCCCTGCATAAGATATGTGATTTCAGTACATGAAACATGTGTGCACAGATTGTTAATTCAAGAAGTGCCTTGCTATCCCCCTGGTGGTTGTTTTACAAGAAGCTAAATTCTTAAGTCACTTGCCTGCAAATCTGTGATCACAGGGAAAGGAGGTCAGACAGCTTTGTGGAAAAGTACCACTGAAATTTAAAGCACTATCGTTGTGACATATAACCATCTTTCCAAACCGTTCAAATTGAAATACATTTCTAAAGACTTCTGAAAGAGCCTCTCACTACAGAGTCCTGGATGGACAAATGTGTAATCCCCAAACACTGAGATAACACCACAGAACAAATTTGCTTACTATTCGATTGCATTTTGGACCCGAGTGCAGACATCCTGCACACTTCCTGCCTGTCGATGGCTTTTCACATGAATATGAATGACTCTCAGTTCATTAGGGCATAATTAACGGAACTTCTTGCTTTGATGCATCCTTAGGAACCTAATGACATCCAGGTTAAAGCAGGAACATCATGTCCCACTTTGCTCATGCAAAGTAAGTGACTTGATGGTGACCCGAAGACCCAGAAATGTTTTATTTTGTCGCGCAAAACAAGCTGTCGTGCGAAAAATAAGCATCTCAGCTACGCACGAGCACAGACATACCTTACTGTTACGCGGATGTATCCCAAACACAGCCTTGGTACAGGATTACCCTGGATTACATTACATAAAACACATGGGCACTTATCAGGCTAATGTATACTTTTTTATCAGAGTGAACATTACAATATAAATATGGAATTTTCATTGCAGTACTGTTTACGTTACTGAATGTTGGAATAACACTTTTAAAAAATTTAGAGAATTCCACAGGATTGCAACCAGCAGCAGAAACAGCGATTAAAACACTCAAGCCTCTATTACTGGAGCTCAAATTGCCTAATTGGACTGAGAAAAAGGTCTAGTTAATTCCTATTGAGACAAATATTTTAACCACATGATTGCACACCTCAATCAGTATCAAAATGCTAAGCTTTCTTAACAGCAATAAATAGTATGGAGAATAATTGATAATTGAAAGTGTTACAAATCTTTAAACTTTTAACCAGTTTGTGTGGCAAAGCAGAGGTCCTGTGTGTAATTTAGATACAACAAATTGCATTTATTTAGTGCCTTTCATGTAGGGAGGGCATCCCAAGGCGCTGGACAGTCGAAGGTTTCCACCTGAGCTGGAAGTTGGATTCAAGAGGGGGTGGGAAAGATTTATTCTTTTACCCCATTCCCCCTAAACTTTAGGCGACAGGAAGCTGCTGTCTTCAGGCAGTGGTTTGTAAACTTTACTTTGTTTGTGGAAGGAGGACAATCTGATCAGCCACAGTGAGATTAAGTGTGACATTGTATTGCAACATGATTTACTATCATTATGTCACATGTTTGTGTTTAGGCGACACAGATTTTCCCATGCCTGTTTTGTTGAAAATTATACTTCTTTCAACGCTCAGCTCTGTTAAGATGGATGTTTAGCCAACAGCTTTGCTGAGCGGGTTCCCATGGAATTCTGTTTCGTTGTCTCCTGTTACTGTCATAAGTTTTTACCATTCATTTCTGTGTCGATCTAAATCATCCTCTAAGGTTTGTACCACCAATATTTTGCTGGGAGATAGCAAGTGATAGGAGGAGATAGTTTTTGCAAAGAAGAAAGGATTTTCTTAGTTTGCAATATCTTTACACAGAAGGATAGTTCTCAGGTTCCACTTTAAATTACTTGACTCACTGAATGTCATTTGGACCTATTTCTTATTTGCTCTTAATTTAATAGAACTATTTTTTCTCATCTCAACAACAGTCTGAAAAGCTCTGTTTTTTTTAATTGTCATATGTTATCATACAAAGGTTCAAATCAGGATGTTTCTGTTCCCAATTCAACTCTTCCTTTGTTCTGTGCTGCATGCTTCTCTTGCATGATGTTGCCTGATCAGATCAAAGGCAGCAAAATAACAACTTTACAAGTCATATACAGTATTTGCCCTGTTCAGTTATTCTCTGCCACTATATCAGACTGCAATGTACAGTGCAGAACATCCATTTTAAAAGAGCAGTCAGGCTAATGTACATGATATTAACTGGTAAGTGCTCACTGTTTTCCTATTACATTTTAGCAGGAAGCTGCAATTGTGATTTTTTTTTAAAACTGCATTTTACTTTGGGGAAATCCCACATGTTCCCTTGCCCAGCATTCTTTCATCCTGACAAACTCAGCCTGGTGTCGTGAGAGCAATATAATATCTGTACGATTATATTCTACTGTTCTGGCTAACGTATCCAAGTTCTACATTCGGTTTTCTAACTGCTTCACTGCATTGTCAACAACAAATTACATTTTGTGTAGTGCCTTTCAAGTAGAGACCCTGAACTGACTCGCCAGTCACTTCTCTATTCACTATGCAGAGTAAAGTGTCAACATTTTTAAAGTTTTCAATAAGTTCCCCCTTAAATCAGAAAATCAGATCCTTTTGTCTTAAAATTTAAAACTGTGTATCGTCGTTGAAAATTCTTTAAATAAGTCGGAATTTGGTAGCGAGTCTTCTGCAATTCTTAAAAAGAAACATCTTCCAGATGAAGGCTGGATTTTGTAATTTTTCCACAATTTTGCATGACTTTAAATTTTAAGACAAAGTGGCCTAACAGGTTTAAACTATATGGCGCTTAATTTGTAGAAGTAGCTTATCATAAGCTGACAATAGTTGCATGGTATTATTGACTCGCAGTCAGACATAGTTATGTAGAAATGCAATAATAATAATATTAACCTTTGCATTAGATATACAAGCCTGGTCATGTCGTTGAGACATCTCAAAGAGCTTCACAGGATTGACTGTGTACTTTCTAAGTGAAACACAGCAGCCAGTTGCACACTGTAACACAGCAATGTCCCACAAACAACCATGAAATGAATTATTACATTTTCTATTTGGGGAATTGTTGGCCAGGATACCGGGAGAGAGAAACTCCCTTCTCTTTTCAAATAGTGCCATGGGATCTTTAATATCCACCCGAACCTCGATTTAACATCTCATCCGAAGAACGGCTGATTAATGTTAATGATTTTCTGCTGCATTAAGTTCCAGTCTGATTTTCATCCAAATTCTGTCCCTAGGGTTTTATCGGTTCTCCGGGGACAATGGGACCACCTGGACCTGAAGGAAAACGAGTAAGTTTGTGACAGGCCACACGCTACAATAATGATCCTTCCATTTTACACAGACTTCCATGTCAGTTGAATGTCTCGAAGTGCTTCACAAAATTTACTGTAAAGTGCTGCGTATGTTGTAGCTTATGATATGATCAGCTCTAAATATAATTGCCTCTCAAATGCTGTGAACATTTTAATCACTCACAAAAAAACAACAAAGAAACCTGGAAAATAACTGCATTACTTAAATTAGCTTTTTTTTTTGCTTTTTTCATTTTAAAACAACTTTTGCGTTTAAACAAAAAAAGTCTCCTGCAAAACCCATATCCATCATAGGTCAACAGCCCTCAAAAATCTACTACAGTGACTAGTACAGATGACAGACTGTAGTGGACTGTTCAATTGTTTTAAAAGACCATGACATTTAAATGTTATGTGGTGTAATAACAATGACCTTTTCTTCACAGGGTGTGATTGGTCCCAGTGGAAAAAGAGGTCCAAAGGGCAGACAGGTAAATTCTATTCCTGTGAAATAACATAATTCCAGCTTAGAACTGTTAGTTTTATTTTGACATTTTTGATTTTAAGATAAAAATTAACTTCTGGGCCTGCAACTTTGTTCTTCTGGTACTCTGGAAACTTTGTACACACTGAAACAGGTTAATTATGTTGGGGTTTGTACATACGAAGTTTGTCATGCTGACGCATGGGAGCTCTGATCTGATGGTAGACCGTGGGCGAGCGCGTTCCCACTATTTGTTGTGCTAAACTTCACTGAACCAAAAAGCATTTTTTCCATAAGAATGCAACTTGTTCCATTTACCAGGAAGTCTTACAAAAGAATTTGCAATGTTGGAAAACAGTGTTCATCAATGCTATTCCATGCACTGACCTTAAAAGATTATTCATTATCGTTTTTTTTTCTGTGCCGCTTTGTAAAGTTGATGATGCCAGATTTAGCTCCATGATTATTTTTAGAAGTGATAATAAGAGCCTTTACTAATTGTGAATCTTAAAACTGTACTGTTACTTACTTGAATCCAACCAGTCACTAGACTTGAGCTTGATTTGGCAAAGCAACTGGAGCTAAAGTGAATGCTACAGTGTTGCTTCATATTGGATGGGACCACATGATCTTATGTTATTGATCTGCAATAAACAAAAAGGCAGATTATTCTTCATTGAACTGGTCAGATTGTGGTACTTTAAGTGCACCTTTTGTTTGATTTTTCTTTGAACATTGAAAGTGGTATTTCCCAGGGGAAAAGTACATTTTTTTTGCCCATGGCAAACTTTTATCACCAACAGTTCTTGTAACCCAACCAAGAGGACTGAAAATTCAGGTAGAGGACGATGAGTAAGATGTTACTGTTTTCGCCCCCTTGAGATCGAAGATCTTGACCTCACACTCGCTCCAACATCCTAAACTCATTCAACTGACGCAAATGAGTTCACACATTTGGCAGACTGCAGTTTGAAGCTGCAGTGAAACAAAACATTTTAAAACGTATCAGCAAGAAACAAAACTTAAATACTTCCAGGCTTCTCAACACTAGACACTTGGCATGGAACCACAGTACTGAGCAAGGCGAGCGATTCCTCCTGCTTTAGTTACAGCACCTCCTGCTGGCATATTATTGTTCAAGGTTGACAGGAAATCTACTAATCCCTGTTGTCTTCTCTTGTCTTCTCTTGGGTGGAAATGGATATCTAATTACGATAGTAACTTAGAGAGAAATAGAAGTTGGATGTTTTTGATTGTTTTTAGAATAAGCAAACTAAATGAGGTCACAATAAAATGAGCAAATACGCAATGGTTAACACTAGTAAAATAGTAATGTTAAATTGATAACCCACACTTCAAAGCAATAAACATGCTAAGAATGACTGCACATCAAAAGTTTGTTCGCTTTAAGTTTCACAGCTCTGTCATTCGCAGGACACTTCTTTGGAAATATTGTATGATTGGCATTAAGTATAAGAAGGTTCTCTTTTTATAACACAATATTTAATGCACTATGATTATTATTCTTTAATCCATTTGTTATAAAATATCAGTTCTCACTGTGTCTAAAGAGCAGATAACTTAAAAACATTGTCTTCTGATCCCAAATCCTGCTCGAGTTACTACCTCAGAAATTGAAATAATCACAATTATTTGGAGTCAAGTAAAATTAATTAAAATATAAAAGCAGTAAATACAATAATGAGCCTTTGGTCCATTTATATAGTCGCTCCAACCGACCATTTCATTTTTTGAGGGTGGTTGTAATTTCTTTACAGTCATTTTATTCTGATAGGTCTTCATTAGCATGAAAAATAACATCACTTTGCAGGACTGTGCATCTGCTAATTGTGTATGTGCAGAACCTGCTTTAGTGATGAGTGAGACTGCTTAGGATCAAGCAATATTTTCAAGTTACAGCTGGTAGCCAAATTATAGCTCTTTCAGCAAAGCCCAAAGCCTTACCAAAGGTTGATAGTCCTGCTTTTTCCAGCTTTGATACTAATTAAGTTCTGCGCCAGATAAAACCACATTTGTTGTGATGAGCCCTGGAGCCAGTAACATTAAGGAAATGAAATTTTAGGAGCTTGGAAAAATGTACGAGTTTCCAGTTTCCAGTCAAATTTCCACTTCTCCCACCCAACATTGAGCTCTTTTATACAAGATTGTAAAGAGCAAACAATTGGGGAAGTAGAGATCGAATCACTTTGAGACTGGAAAAAATGAACAAACAATGATTGTTTAGAAGGGAGGGAGAGGGCTATGTCAGACAGTGCTATCAGCCACTGGAATGTGTTTACACTTGCTGCAATCAGACAGGGAACACACATCAGGAACCAGTGGTTTATGACAGGCTCATTAACCCACAAGTGCCACAGATGTGGAGAGCTTATGAAGCTAGTATGTGTTTTGTTTACTTCTTGGGTCTGGTTTGTGGCGCATAATGTACTGTCTCGAGCTAGAATGGAATCTCACTGCAACTTGAAGTCAACAAACCTTAGAAACTCCTCCTTATAAAACTGCCTTTTGCAGTAATCTTTTCTTTGAATGTCTCCCAAAGTCATTGTCCTAACAAACGTACACTGTGTTTCTCATTGGGAAATGGGATTGCCAGGAATCAATCCCTGTTGACATAACTCATTGCATAAAAGCCAACACTCCTGAACAAATTCACTCACTACAATGTAATACTGTAGTTGCATTATCTACCTTGGGAATGATTAGAATGAATGATGCATTGTGCTTTATGCTGGAATAAGGTGAATTAAAAAGACTTGGTTTATGTTTTAATCAGTTGTCTGTTGACTATTCCAACCTAAACCTACTGGCAAACATTTTATTAAAACCAAATAGTTCTTACTTAAAAAAAATGCTTACTTTATTTTCCTAAATGAAGCTGTCGGGTGAAACTGATAAATATGTCTAGTGTCAAAGAATTTTCAATCTGTCCCGTCCAATATACTGCAGTATATAAATTCTGTGCATAACAGTCATCTGACATTTTTTGCCTATTTATAGCACACACATTTTTATCATAAGCATTGGGTTTGTCTGACTCATAAGACTACTGGGAGCAGGTTTTATCCCATAACTTACAAAGCCATCCTCATTGGATCGTACATCTGGTGCAAGTTAATGGAACTGAAATAAACCAGTGAGTGAAGAGACGTCCACAAGTTGAGTGAGTAACATCCAGATGAATAAGTGATAGTTTGGATGAGCTTTGTGCAATCACACAATCAGCACAAACAGGAGATAAAATTGGGGAGGTAAAACAGATTTGAGATTGAATTAATCTATATGACGTCCAGGACACGTAAATAACATTAGAAATATGGAAATTTCTGGACAGTGCATAGTTTCCTAATTAACTATTAAAACAATTTCTTTTACTTAAGGTGGGGCGCTCTTTTCCTTGGGCAAGATTAATTTTTTGCAAGATTAAATGCAATCTTGTTTTAGATCGTGCATCCAAGCTACCAACAAACAATACCATATAAATCCTCTGATGTTGCATTGCTTATGCCTGCTTAGCCACAAGGAGGCATCAGATGCTATGTTACCTGCATTGAACTATTCTAATTCAAACCGACCATGAGAGGAACTATAGTATATTCTAATATTGCTGTCTGGAGATAGTATTCTTCTGATTGGCAGCAAAGTACTTTATTTTACAACATATTAGCAGCTGAATGAAAATGTTAATTTTAATAACAGAATATTTTTGGGATGTCTGAAATCTCTTTCAAACTCACAAAAGTTACATGTAAAGCAGTGGCTTTTTTTTTGCATTGGCAAGTTTCGGCGAAGCCTCTGTTGAACGATTGCTTTTGGTTTAAATTAGAATGAATATTTCAGTGGTGGTGGCAGGAGATTGTGAAGGAGATATAAGTGGACTCACATGTCCTTTCTCTTATGACGCTTTTGGTGAGAATATTCATCTGAAACTCTTCCTTATTTTAATAGGGTTTTGTAGGCGATTTTGGAGCAAGAGGTCCTCCTGGTTCAGATGGCAACCCTGTGAGTTACCCGAATGCCAGTGTCTTCTGTCCATTATCAGTGCTATCAGAGCCTTCTGTCTTGAAGGGGGACTGTCTTGATTGCATGGAAGCAGCAACGTCACAGATCATTTTTATTGCAATGACATAACATGAAAGCAATGCAAAGATATTTTTACAGCATGATGTGTTTTGATGTGATTTATGTCATTGCTTTGTGTGCTTGGCAAACAATTTTTTAAAAAAGTTGACAAAGCACTTTTTCATGGAGCTGTTACTTGTAAAATGTGACATTTAACCTTTGAAATCTTATTGTTGCCTAATACAGAAAACAGCCCGATAATTTGAAATTGTCTAGGAATTGTTGTCATCGTCATTAAGTTCTCTAGAATCCAGCTTGAGTTTATTGAAATCATCTATGTCAAACAGGATTATATTACATGCAGTTTTACACGTAAAGTGCATAACATTCAAGCTGTAACTATCATGGAGTACATCACAAACCATCATACTTCACGATTGACTTACAAGGGGAGAAGATATTATTCAAGATATTCTTGTAAAAGGCCTTTAAATTCCAAGGTCTTGTAGATGTAATGCAAAATTCAAAATCATGGTATTGTTTACCCAGACTGCCCTTATTATTATAGTGTGTGAAATAGGTAATATTCTGCTTTATACTGTTGCCTTCTGTGGCAGCTTACTTTTAAATGTTTAACGCATAATGTACATGCAGCAACAGCAGGCAGAATGGCTGTGTTTGTAGCATTTCGGAAGGAGTGAATGTGCTGACAGCACGGGGAACTTGTCTATCATAATTGGCCTCAAGTCTGTCCCTAGATTGCACTGCTGTACATCTAAATCAGCCTCAGTGTGAAATGTTCCCCAAAGGTGGAATTGATTCAGAATTTATAAATCAACCTGCATTGCAAATCGGAAGCTGGATTCCAGTTATTTTTTATCTGATCTGTTATTTGAAACGTAGAACAACGCAGCATTTATTCAAGATCATTCTGAAAAAAAACTAGTAATTTCTATTGTAGTTAGTCGAATATGATTTTGGTTCTGATTAAAATCACTGTGTCAATAGATCTTTGCGAAGGGAAATGAACACAGGAATTGCGATGATGTATGATGTGCTATTAAATACAATACAGTATTATTGTATTGTATTTTATGTGCTGTTAAATACACACAAATAGAAGTGTTGTTAACATTTAATATTACTTGCATGAAGTCCAAGTTACAGACAAACTGTATAAGTTGTATAAAATCCTATTTAATCATTAATCTGCAATCGTAATTCAATACAGCTGGTAAGCACAGGAGTAATAGAGGATAAGGATACAGTGTTACGATTAATACGACTTGTACAATGAAATCCAAGTGTTTTGGTAGAAAGCTGAATTGGACTCGACTTATAAAGATACGAATTATGCAAGTTTTACTGTCGCATTTTTTTGAAGTCTAAGAAAACTTAAGTATTAATATAGAATTGTTTTATTTTAGGGGATTGTGGGTGGTGTTGGCCCTTCTGGATTTCCTGGTCTCAGAGTAAGTAGAACACATTCAGAAGTGTGGCAAATGAATACTGATTACCAATTTCAATATTCCCTGTATATTTAATATTACTACATAGTTACACTCATTATTTTATTTGATGTAACTCGTATTTTACTTGTCAATTTAGTTAAACTATGTCCAGCCCAAAATATTAGCTATCTTCTGCTCTTAAAACATTGTGTATGGGGTATATTTGGTGCATGCTTTGCAATATGTATATAGCAGACACATTACAGGATGTACTGGATGAATAACAGTACTTCATTTTGACTTTTGTATCAGCATATTTCCCAATGATTAAGTTTCAATGTGGATAAAATGAATTTTGTTTGCTATGGACTTTCGGTTGAATGGAACATTTAATAAACCATTTCTTTTTATGAATTTAACAGATCCAAACATGAGTTCTGACAGCACATTGAAATAATATAAATAAATAACATATGTTCCTGTCATAGTGAAAGGTCTGGCGTACAAGTCAAATATGGTGTTGATGTCTATTTCACAGGACTGTTTGTTTAGAGATTCATTTTATGGACTAGCAGGGTTTATATAATATGCTGTGAGCCAGAAGCTATAATATAAGTTTACCAGTGATAAACTTAGTAAACTTATGAAACAAATGTAGATATAATAGCATAACCAATTGCAGTTTAATTAGTTTATTGTAGTTTAACATTCTGGGGTATTGGCTTTGTAAATATAAACATGGCAATAAAGCCTTCAGTTGTGACAAACGTCTAAAAATATCCTGCCAATATGTTGTCCATTTCAAGTGCAGTTTTGCATTATTAAATCAAAGCTTACAAGTATTTTTCAAAAATTGGACAAGATCTTCTTATAGATTTTTGGTAACATTCAATTGAAGGGTGTTTTCTAGTCCCAGATCCAAGAACTTACAGTTGTAAGTATATCCAAGAGCTGTGTTGAAGACAAGTTCATCTCTGTGCTTCATATTGGAAACTGGCCAGTTTGCAATTAGATAGATAGATATTTTTAATTAAAAAGCATTAATGAAAGATTACCAATCTGATTTGAAATCCATAAAATTTGAAAGCCAGGTGATGTCAAAATGGCATTTGTTAACAAGAATCCTGCACCATACTATAAATTAGTGTGGTATTAAATTCATAGGCTATTCAAAGATGGGTTTCCAGGGCTTCCAGTTCAAAGCATATGATATAAGTTGACCTGTCATGTGTTCAAAGACCGCAACAATAAAATCTCCTGAGAAATTATGTCCTGGAAGTTGGGAAAGCAGGGTTCAACTCCAAACACCCCCTCACCCCGCTTCAACTTGATACTTGATTCATGTTCAGCCCTGACTTCCTCTGGATTACAACTCTCAGAAGCTTCAGTCAGGTTGTGGTTGAGGTGGGAGGAGTGAGGGAGAGGGGTTGGCCTATTCCTGTGTTGCAACATGGGGATCTTTCCAGTAGGTAGACCAAAATGCATTAACGCATACTGGGCTCAACCTCTCTGTTGTATTTCACCCAATTGGCTAACCTGGTGTTTGCAGTCGTTTATGAATGGGATGGATTCATTCTTCACCTGATGTCAATACATGTGCACTTTCCAACAGAGGTTGCTGGATAATAATCAAGAGCAAGAACAAAGGATGAAATGTTTGCACCCTATCCTTTGTAAGAATGTTTAATTCCTTTTTTTTATAGGGTAATTTGGGTCCTGTGGGATTGCGTGGACTCCAAGGAATTTCAGGACCTCAGGTATCTGTTTTTGTCCTCTAAGGCACTGATTTTCTATTTGCTGAATTTCTACAATTATCCTATTGTGACATGTGATTCATATCTTCCAGATGTAACAAAACCTCTCCTCTGCTTTCAATGTTTTTTTCTCCCCCACAGGGCTTGGTGGGAAATGTCGGGCAACCTGGATTGAAAGGTGATAAGGTGATCTAAATATTTCTGTTATTGTAATCTTTAAACACTATGGTGTAAACACGCAATTCTCTAGATTTCCATATTGTGTTGAACACACAATAGCCTGACTTTAATTTAAAAGGCTGTAGTTGTGGAAGGTTTTCTTCTGTTCAGAGTCTTTTGAAGTCAAAGAAAACTGCAGGGGGGTGGGGGGAAGAAAGCATATGTGAAATCCGTTTTTGCAGAAAGTTTTAATCACTGGTTATAAATTCACACAAATCAATATCACATTCAGCCTTTGTTGTAAATGTGAGCAGTGCCCTGCGATTTGTGCCCCTTGTTGTAATGATTACTGCAATGAACAAAACTATTATTTAATTTCAGAAAATAAAACGTTAAACCTAAAATACTAACATATTGTATTTGGTGAGTAGATAGCACCATCAAACGATGATAACATTTGGAGATCTTATTTTAAACAAAAGCACAACAATAAATTGCATTTATATAGCACCTTTCATGTCAGGAGGATGTCCCAAGGTGCTAGTTAGCCGGGTATTTGCACTCGAGAGGGGGCGTTAGATTCGGGAGGGTGTGGGGGTAGTGGGATGGAGATGACCGAAGGTTCAGTCAAAAAGGTAAGCCTTGAGACGGATCTTGAAGGAGGTGAAGGAAGGGGCGAGGCGAAGGAACTCCGGAATGGAATTCCAGAAAATGGGGACAGATCAGCTGAAAGCTGGTCCACTGATGGTAGGGCAGCACGGGTGGGGGGGACGTGAAGAAGGCTTGTAGTTGGCATAGTCAAGCCTGGAAGTGAGGAAAACAAAACAAAGATCAGAATCCTATAGATTCTATGGAACATATTGTTTTGTGCGAATTTAAAGTTTGCAGTATATTTTTAAGATGAAATATTTAGCTAAGTTTCTTTATGATATCATTTTAAACGTTGCTTTGATTTGAGAAAATATAAAGCAATTGTATTTAAATTCAATCTCTGCTTGTGTAATTTTTCCGTATGGCTGAACGGAGATAAAATAAACCTCACAGGCTGTGGGAACTAGTAAAAGTGCTCTCTGCACATGTAGACTTCATCAATTTCAAAGAAAAGAATTTTAAAATTTCCTGATGCTGCATATATATTTAATATGTTTTACTGGGTTAAGTGTGTCTAATGATCAAGGGAAAAACTGTCCACATAGAATCAATTTCATGTGGTGATGAAAGCATTTGTTGCTGTGGTTTCTATAATGTTGGGAGGTGCTTCCATGTAGGTAGGCAAATTTGGAAGGCAAATTGAAGCATTCCTCTGCCATCTGCTGAGCATGAGTTTGCATAGGTCTGGGATTAAGTGATAAACGGGAGAAAACAGGCCGACTCTGTAGATCAGAAAGGAGGGGCAACATCAATCATAAGAGTGTTCAACTGATTTCTTTGTTATATTCTAATCAACCATTGATTACTCGTCATTTAATAAATTCTTCATTGTTAATTCACGAGAACAGAATAAAACCAAGCTGAAAACCAATAAGAAATAAGAAATTAATGATACTTTTTAACATTTTATTAGCTGATATTGATGATGTATCCTTTTACGGGATAGGACAGTGTTTGTTGGTTTGTCTACACTGGTACAGATAGTGAAACAACACTGTTTTACATATTCTATGTACCATATCCATATTGTTTTTCTCGTCTTATGGGAGTAATACATCACTTGTACAGAAACTGTACACTGTTTAAACATCTGCTTATCTGAGAAAAAAAGCTAAATTAATTCCAGCTAATTCATTTAATGCTTTTGAATGTCAACCTCTCTTCATTGATGGGAATACATCTGCAAGCTTTAACACTGAAATGGAAAAGAAGCATATGGCACCAGATGTGAATCTATGCCAATTGTTCGCTAGTATACGCTGCTGTTCAAGCACGAGTTAGTGGCAGTTACTGATTCTAAATAAATGAGGATGATCCCAGTGTTAGAGAAATGAACTATTAGGAAATGAGCTATCAACAGGTAATGATTGGAATGAAAAATGTACCATAAGCTTTACTGTATTTTCAAAATGGTGGTGCAGAAGTATTTCCACAATCATTAAAGGCTTTCAACTACAGTACTTGCGTGATTTGGGGACTTTAGGTTGTATTGCTTCACTCAGTCCTCTTGGACCACAAAATCTAATGTGAAGCATTACCCTTATTGTTGCAGAGAAATCCTCAGGAGCAACACTTCAGTTGCAAAGATAATAACAGTGATTAATATGTGAAACATTCATTTTCCATTTGCCTTTGGGTAACTATCAAAGCTAATCAACTTGTGCAAATTATTTAACACAGGTGTTTTCTTACATGAAATGTGAAGCTTAAACAATGCTGTTTTGTTCATGTGAAAATTGGCTGTGATCATTGTGTATCTATATATGGCAATGTGATGTCTAGGGTGAGCATGGTCTAGTGGGAGCATCTGGAGAAAGAGGATATCCAGGAGACCGGGTAAGATTTAAAGTCCATTTGAAGTGGGTGTTTGGTTTTAAATGTATTGCATGACAAAAAACAGTATAAATAAATTGACCGAACTAACCCTTAAGAAAGTATCTGTGGAAAAGGTCACAGATTATTTGAGCAATCTGGCTGTCCTGTCCATCAAATGCGAAACCAAATAGAAGAACCTGAATTTTTGTAGCTCCTTTTGATGTTGAAACATCTCAAAACATTTTGCAGGTAATTACTAAAGTATAGTGACTGTAAATGCAGGCAAATGTGACAGCCATTTATGCCAGTAAGGTTCTACAGAGGCTCAGGAAGTGAATGATCAATTCATTTGAAGATAACTGGTCATCTTAACACTGTTGCACCCTGATTCTGGGTAAAAGCCTGATATCTGGAGCTAATAGTCTAGGCTGACACTGATGTTATAGGAGAGAAAGTTTCTGAGCCTTGATAAATCATCAAGAAAACTACTGTTCTTGGAGTAGTTCCGTCCTGTCATTCATGCTATATGGAAACTACTGCTAGTGTGATTGCACTGCTGTGAGTGCACTACCAAAGATGCCAAGTTTGCTTGCATTACTAAGCTGAGAGGGATTGGCAGAGAAAATCCAAGAGTTGTAAATCCTACTCATGTTATCAGCTCCCATATTATTCTCATTTTATTGAGGCATGAACATGGCCAGCCAAAGTAGAAAATGCTTGTCTAGTTAACCCAATTAAGTCACTTAAACAGCAACATTTATTTACAGCTGAAATGTAACTGACAGTATTACATCTTTAGGCAGGAGTCTGAAATATTGTGGCAAGCAATTTTATAAAATAAGTAGTTGAATAGCATTCAAATATCAGTAAAAAATCATCTAGTTTCCAGCCATTATGAGCGATCTGTATCACATCAGGATCAAACCCACCTCTTTAAATATCAGGTCAAGAAGAATATCTTGAAATATTGGGGTCATTTCTATTTCTTATGCATCAGGAACAATGCAAACATACATTTGGGGCAGCACAATCCTTCAAAGCTCTAGGAATGACACAATCTTGGCATGGTTCCATTGGCTACTAACTTTGACTACTGAGCTCCTGCATCAAAATCTGCTACTTAAATAAGGTTGTGGAAGGTGACTGCTTCTTGTGGAGTCATATCCCAATTTGAGTCAGTGCCCATTGCGGAGTAGAGGAGAAAACAACATTAGTGTCAATTTCTGTCTCAGAACATCTGTCCGACAGAATTCTTTGAACATAAGAGGCTCTTTATACATCTGGGGCAGTGGGCTTTCAAAGAAAGGAATGGGGAACACAGTCACTTTATATAGACTTGTTTCACATCAGCAATTGCTTTAATGCCAGACCAACACAATCTCTTTAAACATCAAGGAAAATAATCCAACTTCTTTCTGCACAGACAAACACAATTATTAATAGTAACCACGCTACACAACACAATCACTAAACATCAGAGAGAACATAGGCTTGTTACATGCCCAGGCTAATAGCAATTTATTTTCACATAAAAGAGTGAGCAAATCCCCGTATACATGCTCACCAACCCATACAATTCAACCTCTGTATTTCTTTTATTCTGCTTTATATTTAAAGCCAAGCATATTAAGAAGTTACGGCATATGACATATTTATTGTCTTTATTTGTGTCTGCAATAATTATTCAACCTCATGTGTGTATAGTGAGTTAATGCAAGTTGCTACTGTCTATTTTAATTTGTTTAAATTTAAAATAGCTCCATTACTTTTAATAACATTTTGCATTAGGATAATAATGTATAATTCAAAGACTCCCAAACTCAGTTGTTATTGCCTGTAATGGTAGACTACGGTTGTTTGCATTAATAGCCTTCTATAATTTGTATTTGCTTATTCCAAATGTATTCTTGTTCACTTTTTAAGGGCACAATTGGTTTACCGGGGCCACCAGGAGTTAAAGGAAAACAAGGACCACTGGTATGTTAAATGTTCCATCAGCTTGTTTCATTCATTGTTTTTGTCATGATGAATATACTCCAATTGACATTTAGATAAGTTACTGTGGCAAATTGCTTGCATTCACTTAAGAATGGATTCAATTCAAATGCCAGATCAACATAATCTATTTAAATATCAGGGGAAACAATACAAGTTCTGTTTTCAAATGCAATTACTAAAATGTACCAATCATTTTTACAGTGGTCCAGGGACTACTATAATGGGAGAGTGTGTGAGATTTTTATCTCATACTTTCATTATTTTTACAAACTTCACAAGTTGAGCTGACTATCACAGTTAGCCTTTGATTTATATTTGCGAAGTATGAATGGTATTTAGCATCACATTTATTGCAGAATTATAATTATTGTGGTTTTAACTACTCAGGAGGTTTATGTTTTGCAAAAGTATTTCAAACTGATTAGATATGTTGACCATGCTTGTAGTTTGAATTTAAATATACAGTGTATTTTCAATAATCAAATGAACCCACAGAACTTCTAAGACTAGCTTTTAATGGTAAATAAATGCAATATATTGGGATGTATCAGATGGTGATTTCAAATAAAATTCTTTAATGAATGAATGAACCCATGTAGGGACTTATTCTAAGAACCAAAACTGTGTCACAATGTTTCACAGATTCTCTCCTTTGAACATATTTCAAATACGAGCTCATATTATGTGAGTAAACTTGACATATATCTAGATTTCTGAATGAAGAAATCCCTTTTAAAATCACCATATTTCACTGCATTAGAGATGTAAGTTCTGTATCAGATCACTAAACGTAGACTGATTCCTATGGCATTTCTCTTTGACCTTAGGGTAAAGTTGGTGATTCTGGGCCGCAGGGTTTGACAGGTTCTGCTGGACCAGAGGTAAGGACTTCAGAGCAATGAATCGTCATTGTTTTCTCTTGTTTTAGTTTGTAACAGAGAAGGTTTTCAAGAGAACTGAACAGGTTGACCAAAATGTAAGCTCTGACCCTTTGGTAATCGCAAAGATATTCAACCAAAATCAATGTCAGAAAGCTTGCATCAGTTCGGGTTGGAGAGGTAGACACGACCACCATTGTCACCTCTTCCGACATAGGAGATAAAAAAGAGAGAAAATGATAAGCAAAGTGAATCTACCGCAGGTGATGTAAGATTAAAGTTGCCAAGTGGGTGCATCCTCATTGTGAATAAGCCCTCCACTTTATCCAGTCAATCAATGAAGTTAAATTACTTTTTACTTTCTTTCCATCCACATCGGTTCCAGTAGTCAGCTCAGATTTAGTGACAGGCGATGGAGCAAGTACACAAGGTTCAAACTTTATGTGAAACAGAAGGCTATTTAAACTCTTCTCATTTTAACAATTTTATTGTCAAAAAATATAGTAATTTTTAAACTAAAAAAAAAAGAAATACAGAATCAGATTTTATATTGTATTGCTGCATGTGAGCGAAAAAGAATTCAGTTGATGAGCAAAATTCCACTTTTAATTGTTAATATGACAATACATACTTACAGTCCTGTACATCTTCACAGTTGGCTTCAATTTTTGGGGGAGGGTGGGAGGATGGGGTCAGCTGTGTGTCTGACACATGCAGAAACCCATCACCCATGCTGAAGGGAATCCAAACCAAACTGAGAATTCAATGTATCCCACCTACACATGGAAATTTCAGAGATAAACTGTTGGACTGCAATGCACACTCTCTCCCTGGAGTGACGCATCCTGGTTACCTAATTCCAGAAAGTATTTAGGACAGGTTGGCAAGAGCCAAGGCTTAGGGACCCCAGAGTATGTGCTGTCTAACCTGCTAAAATTGCACATCGTGCCATTGATAGCAATGTCTGTCAACCTTTCCTGCTGCTTGTACAGCTAGGACCAACCTTACTTTCTAACCCTTAGGGCTTTGTCTTGCGGGTTTATCAGGAGTTGAGTGGGAGGATTCCCTGTCCCCAGTGACTGGTCTGCTCTTCCAGGTCCTGCCAATGAGCTGGGCTGACTGAGCTGTAATCAGCAGTATAGAGTAAGCAAAACCCTGGAGTACAGCAACCTTCCTGGTTGGCTGGATTACATAACCTATCACAATTTCAGTATTAACCTGCAAAGGAAAGTGAGAACCTGTAGGATTCAGTCGCAAAATACTTTTGAATATGTTTGCAAAAAAAAGTCCACAACATATGGGATGCAAATAAGATTAACAAGGCCAAAGTATTCATTTTGGCTTTCAGCTGAAGGAAACAAAATTAAAAATATCTCTTTTAAGAAATCTTATTCCATTGCCAAGAGATTGTACTGGGTTTCCTGCTGAACGTCAGTTTGCCTTGTTTTTATTCTACTGGAGATTCTTTATCTTCTTTGTATCCCAGATTTATATATAAGGAAAATTCCACACTACATAGCTGAAATAATGAATTTAACTGCAGTTACTATTTGCTCATTCAGATCTTCACAGAGTGTGCATTATTGCAGGTGTTACCTGTGATTTTCCTGGATGGTATTGAAGGCAAATACATCAATATTTTTAGGTTTCTGGCACGGGACTGGTGTCTTAAGGAAAGATTTGGTAGGAATTATGCCCCAGTAGATGTTTTTGTTATTGGCTTTGTTTATGTAGGTTGAAAGAACTAAACATGGGCCATGGCTGAAAATCTGCACTGAAGAAATGTCAGGGAAGAAATTTTCACAAATAAGTGAGCTCTGCCAGTGAGCAACAAAAAGCCTAAACATATAGACTTCCAGAAACCCAGAGTTGGGATTTAATCCCACAGGACTTTGTAGACTTTATCCTGATTTAAAGTTTCCACTTTGAAAAAGAATACATGGAGTCTGTGATTCTTCTAGTGATTGTACCGTTGCTATTGGCCCACATTCACTATGTTTTACAATATCTGCTTTCAGCAGCTTCTTGCTTCAACTATTGGTATTGTTATGAGGACATTTGACTTTCCAAATGCTCAAATTTCCAGTTCACTTTACCACACACTCAATGTACATGTGATTGCTATCAGTGAAGCAGTGTTGTTCTCCCGTTTACCCTGAATATTTATCAAGGAAGCAGTTTAAATACTGGGATCTATTTACATTTTTTACACATTGAATAAGAAATACCTGGATGTGTTGGAGCTGGATATGCTCAACACGATTCTCAATGTTGACATTGCATTGGACTTCTGGTTAGAGGGATCCTGGCTTGCATTGGCTAGCAAGGGGTCACTATCCTCCTAACTGGCAGTCAAGCATGAAAGTTGGCTTCACAGACTTTGACGCAAAGATTGGTCCAAGGGGAAGAATCTGCCTCAAGCACATCTGGGGAAATGGTATTTGATATTCTAGGAGTTTCTAAATTTATACCGCATGTTAGATCCCAATGGTTGTATGACTTTGAACGAGGGGCTAGTTGTAAAATCACTTTGCTGAAAATAGAGAAGGCACTTGGAGATTTATGTGCTCTTTCCATATATTATAATTCAAATTCAAACTGGCTACACCACTTATTTACTTACAGCTGTGGGATATTAAAGTTGATATCCTCCTAAGTCGACTCTGAAGCAGTGAGAATTTCTCAAGGTGCATCCAATTAAGGCCCATAGAACTTTTACTCACAAGTGAGTCTAACATTTTAGTCTCCCATTGATAACTGCCTAATATTCCAAGCAATGAATAATAGAACCCATTTTGTCAACGTGTATTCACATGCCCCCATGTGGCTGTTGTGGTCTACTGCAGACTGATTCGCTTGGGAACCATTTTAGCGTATTTTGCTTGAACTTTGCTGAAAGCTTTCGTTTTATTAAAATGCGCAGTGTGACATCTGAAATGGGTTAAATCATTTTTTTTCTACAATTTCATGGTATGGTTATTGTAGTGCAAATCATTGTGTAAGGTTCCATGGAACAATAATCCATTTATACCAGGGGGAAGAAATTCTAGCAACCAAGGGATTAAAGAGTGAAAGGAATTGTACTTTTTTTATTGCTGGTTCAGTAGCATACATAATTTGCTTGGGTAGCACTAAGTGCCCCAAAAATCCAACAAATGGTAAGATTGGTAGCCAATTACTCTGTTTGGCATGCTAGAGATCTGCTGACAAACAGACAAACAGTTAGCAAGGCAGCCTGACTTAACAGCCATGAAAGGGGGAAGGGTTTTGAAAGGTTGAAACACAGATCTATCCCTGAAATTTGGGAAGTTGGCATTTATTAGAGAATGTGTTATGTTCTGTAACTTTCACGCTCCCAGGCTCCCTTATGCTACAAGGCTTTCCTCAGGCATAGCAATGTCCTGTACTACAAAACACCTCCATCCCCTGTCAATTATTGCTAAGTTTGGAAAACTTTACAAACAGTTAGATAGGGTATTTAGGATTTATTGCATAAATAGGTACACAACCAAATACTCCCTACTGCATGGCACAATTCGTTTTTAGAAAAGATAGGTAAACTACATTATGAAGTCATAGATTCGAAGAAAGTACAGCCAAGAAACAGACTATTCAGAGCATCCTGTCCAGCTGGTGCTGATACTGCACATGAGTAGATATGAAGACTTGAAGAATATTCGACACAGTGTTTAATTGAAAAGTGCCATGCCTCATGGTGAAAGCAATGTGTAGTGTATTTAAATACAATGTTCATTGTCAGTTTAGCCAAACTATTACAGCAACAAAGAATGTTTATCGCTAACCATTTATTTATGCATCGCCCGTCTCTGCCAATACCTCTCCCCAAAAGTCGCTGAAACCCTGGTCCATGCCTTTGTCACCTCTCGGCTGGACTACTCTAACGCCCTCCTCACCGGTCTCCCCTCCACTACCATCCATAAAATCCAAATCATTCAAAACTCTGCCGCCCGCATTCTCACCCGCACGAAACTCCCCTCCCCGATCACCCCAGTCCTTGCCAGACTGCATTGGCTGCCTATCCCAGAGAGGGTCAACTTCAAGATCCTCACCCTTGTGTTCAAGTCCCTCCACTCCTCTTTACCCCACGACCTCTCTGACCTCTTCTCTCCTCAAAACAGTGCCTGTTGCCTTCGTTCCTCTGAGTCTGGCCTCTTCCTCGTCCCCCGAGTCCTCCACTCCACCCTCGGTGCCCGTGCCTTCAGCCACTATGCCCTGAGGCTCTGGAATTCCCTTCCTCACTCGCCCCCTCTCTTCCTATTTTCAGGTCTCTGCTGAAGACCTTACTTTTCGACTGCGCCTTTCGTCACCTTCTTACCCCTCCCGCTGGCTCGGTCCCGGGATCTGTTACTGTAAAGCGCTCTGAGACGCCGTGGAGGGCGCTATATAAATCCAAGTTGTTGTTGTTATTATAACCAGTTATAAGTCCATAACTAATCACAAGGGAAAATTTACATTGACCTATTCATAAGGTAATAAAAAGACTTCCTGTTCTATCTATTAATACTTTAGAGAATTGCTTCCTATTTTGTATACTATATTCCACATGCAAATTTACGATTTGTTTATATTAATGATTCCAAACAAAAGAGTTAGAATTTAAATGCTTCTAGATTTTTTCACAAATAGTTTCTCAACATTTAAACACTTCAACAACTTTTTCCTATCCATTCCCTTTTCACTTCACTATTTGAATCCAGTGTGACAGCTACATTAAGATGACACTCCAATTTGTACATGAAGATAAGCCAGTTAAAATAATACCCTGAAGTTGCCTTTGAAAATGTTCAGGGCGTATGTTCTGTCTTTGTGCTGCTCATATCTTTGCAGTGTAAACACAACTATAATCATGCTTGAAGTCAGAATGGTCAAATTAAGTGAAGTGAAGACTCTTAAGTTAAGGACTGCTTGCCTGAAAGGATGAATTCATTCAGAACACAAACATGAACAATGTACTTATTAATACTGATGTTAACAGATTATTACGACATAAAAGTTTAATTTTTTTTGTGTCTTTATAGGGTTTCCCAGGAGACATTGGCTTGCCTGGTCCAAATGGCCCAGAAGGCCCAAAGGTAAGTTGATGTTGAAAGAGATTTAAATCCATTTTTATTTGTGAACCCATAACATTCAGCACCGGTCTCTGTAGTTTCTCGTGTCATGGGACCATAAATAGATCTGATCTGCACTGATGTAAATCATAGTGTTTTATACTCTGTAATGGGCCATTTTTCACAGTTCACGCACCATTGCAGCACGTAGCTCGTAAAGAGTCTTTGATGCAGACCGAGTATATTTAAAACGATTTCTCCTCCTTTTTGGTACGTGTTATTAATAACTCTTATGTTAAACTTTTATTTTGTTCCAGGACTATGCGATGTGCAGCATATAAGTGGATGCGTTCTGATTTCATTATTGTTTTTGATTCATGATTTCTTTTATTTTAAATTCACCCTTTGTTTGTGTTCAGGGAATTTTTGGTGAAAGAGGCCCACCGGGGCCACTTGGTTCAAGAGGACCACAGGTAGGAGAGAAACCTACAGCGAAGGATTCTCAGAAATGTGTAGTTCTTGTCTTTCAGGCAATATATGACATTGGGAATTTCTTAATTCTATTCAGCAGAATTTGACTTTAACTTTATGATCATCTGCGACTAGACCGAAGAATGTATGTCAAGTGTACAAATATCAGTTAGAAATAATGCTAGTGAGCGCTTCATTGTGTTGTTAAAAGAAATCAATTACATTCCTGGAATAAATGAGCCATTCATCTATTCATTCCACTTTAGCAATTGCAGTTCGAATCAAAGACTGCAATATTTCTTGCAACTTTTGGCTCAATAATTGTTATAAATGTGGTTGCATCTTCTGCTTTTTGCAGATGTATGATCTTAGAAGACAGGCACAGATGAACGAAGCCCTTTGCTTTCATTTGATCTCATCCGTCCAGAATACCCAAACTATAATCTTCCTATTACAACAGCAAGCTTTTTCTTAAATGAGTCCAGAATCCTGACTTCAACCACCCATCCAAGTAATCAATTATAGCTGCTGACCATTCCATGAGTAAAAGTACTATTAGACTCTCGTCTCCAAAGGCCATCTTTATTCATTCACCAAACACTTTGGGCTAAGTTGCCCTGGAGGGTTCCTTTTCCACGGAAACCATCAGGCATGCTGACCCTGCCATATGACCACTGTGTAGAATTCTCCCAGAACAACACATAAATGCTGTAACATTTAGTAACAGCCAGAATTATAGGCAGTAGGCAGTCATTCCCTACAATCTTGAACATGCTTGTAATACTATCTTTGTTGAACAGGGCAGTGAAGGGCACTTGGGACCTCTTGGAGGTCGAGGGCTAGTGGTAAGTTTTGACCTTCTATTAATCTAAAAATGTTAATTGCAATACTTCTCATTTAATGCTAATAATCCTACATCATAAGGTGTTATCTACAATTGACATCAACAACAACACAGCAACTTGCGTTTATATAGCGCCTGATCTGAGATAGCATTTCGAAGTGCTTGATCAGCGCTCTATAATACTGCTGTACCCATGAAGTGGAATCAGGTATATTATTATTTTTCCAAGTACTCCTTACATATTTACCACTGTGTGTTTGAGCAACTCTGTGCAGGTATTCTCACATTTAACATGTGAGAGATTCTTTGTTTCAAGTGAGAGATTCTTTGTTTCAAGTGAGAGATTCTTTGTTTCAAGTGAGAGATTCTTTGCTACATGTGAGACATTCTTCTCTTTGACCGTGCCTTCAGCTCCCCTCTCGACTCTCTTCCCCCTCCTCGCTCCCTCCCTTCCCTCCCCTCACCCTGACCATTTCCCCCCAATGCTCGGGTCATGACCCAACTGTGCAGCGCCTTGGGACGTCCTCCTGACGTGAAAGGCGCTTTATAAATGGAATCTTGTTGTTGTTGTTGTTGTTGTTTGTTGCCATTATGAGCATATTGGGACTTGCTACGGAAAGAATACCCGATAATCCAAAAAATATTTATCTTTTATTAAATTGTGTTTTCATAAATGGTGCCAACAATTTTGCTGCAACACGCATGTTGTAACTGTCATAACAGGCTAGAGTAAAGAGTCGTGTGTTTCATAAAAAAATATCTTATTACATTTTATTGACAGTTTGGCTAAATTGCTTGTTGTACCTGTTTTACATAACGGACAGATTGGCACCTTGTCTATTTCTTAGGGAGATTTAGTACTAGTGTGAAACTGAATTGTGTTTTGAATGAACTCCCATGATTTTATTTAATACTGTCATAAAGTTAGGATCAAAAATCCCACTATTGAAAGGCAGATTCTTCAGCTTCATTGTAGTACTTTTCCTAGTATATTGCAATTGACGAACAAGCCTGGTACAGATTTTCCTGTGGTGGTGATAGGTTCAATGACTAGAGTACAAGTTTAATATATGAATTTTTTAAAGTTAAACCTTCTGTTGCACAGTGACAAAGCAATATTTCCCCTAATAATTATATATAAAAAAATATGTGTACAGTTATGTGTTTATTGAAAATGTTTTGCTTTCTTGTCTGTGAACATTTTGTTTCAGGGAAGACAAGGCAGAAAAGGATATCCTGGTCTGCCTGGACCTGAAGGCATTAAGGTGGTAACAAATCACTTCTTTCAGAACAATAGAATGATTATCTGCAAAGTATTGTCTGATAACATTAGCTTTACATTTGTGATCTAACCAATGCTAGTCTACTAATGGGAAATATAAATGTGTGTGATTTCCAAATCCTCAAATGGGCTAGTAACAATACTTTGTTATTCTGATAAAACAGGGAGAACGAGGGGACACGGGGATTATTGGCAAGAATGGCGAGCCGGTAGGTTATTCATTATTTTAAAAATCCACTTTGTATGAGTTTCCGTGTGAATATTGACGATGCTTGTGACTATAAATCAACCAAAGCAATTTGGGTCAGGTTTACAGTTGAAATACTGCATATTCAGTGTAACTTGTTTTGAGCACAATTTTTTTTAATGCAACAAAAGTGAGCACCCCTAACTTGCCCAAACTACAAAGTTTAGGGACTTGGATAATGTGAATCACTGCCACCTTAATATTATAAATATTTTATGAGCGAAATGTTATCAGCTGAATTTCTTTACCTTGAAGTTTTAGTTGGTTGAGAAAAGAAACCACACAATCTATGGCATTTACAATTTTTAAAAAATGGTAAGAATTTTCTATGTATCTATGCCATAGTTTATTTTATTTTAAATACAATAGAACACATTTTATATTTATATAGCGTCTTTCACGGCGGGAGGACATCTCAAAGCGCTTAACAGTGCTGCAGGTGATCTGAGCCAAGGAGTGGGGAATAGAAAATAGAAGGGAAAGATGAGAGCAAACTTAGAGGTGCATTTTGAGATGTGCCTTACTGCTATAATTGAGGAGTAAACTAGAACAGTGGAGAAACTTGTAGCATGTAACTGATTTATATTTCCTGCTCCACATCACACACAGGCTATTGCACATCTGGCAGCTAATTCAGAATGTTGCACATGCACAGAACACCAAACAAGTGTTAATTTTGTTTGAATGTTATAAAGGGCCTTTAAATGTTGTCGATGAACTCTTTAGTCACATTTTAAAAAAAAGTCTATTTAAAAGGAAGAGAACTTTATTGAGAACATTTGTTGAACCATGGGTGGTGAGCACAGTGTTTATACTGCAGCACCTGATTGCATTGACCTGAAACCACCTCCTCCGAATACAATGCTTTCCACATTTATAATATAAAGGTTACAGTGCTCAATCCTGATTTATATTGCTCATTTTTGCAGCAAAATGCCAGCAAACACCGTATAAAAACTTCGTAACGTATCAAAAATGTAATGATTGTATGGTACAATGGGCTGGTTACCTGTTGCATTTAAATATCTGAGGAAGAAACTAGTTTCAACAGAATTATCGTTGCTACGGCTTTAAACGTACTTTTGGAACGTTGACAAAGGCATGTGGTAACTTTTATTTAGTTACTCTTTTACTTTTGCCATTGTTTCCTGTTTCCCATATGTTCTGGATTCGTTGGTTTTTTTTAACAATAACAATCCTTACATTTGGTGCAGCGCCTTTCACATCATGACGTCCCAAAGCCCTTCACAGGATATACTGTAAACACGGGTCAGTGTAGTGGCTATGGAGTGAGGGCACAATCTTTTATTCCAATCCTTCACCTAATGGTTTGTATGAAAGAAATGCAATGCTTTGGACCAGATCCATAATTGGGGTTTCTCACTGAGAACTTGAGGTAAGGGGCAGTCCACATTGGTGTGAAATGAAATGGAACATTGTGGATTATAAGATGCTAAAATAAATACAGTATCTGCAAGCACCAACTTGATCGTTATTCAACCCAAAGCAGCAACAATTCAACAGATATTCATGCAAAATTGTCAAAAAGCAGTTTGTCATTTTAGAAGCCAGTAGATGATAAATTACTTCACATTATACTGTCAAATCAAATTTCATGAAGATCACGCAACATAAAATTATTTACGATTGCTATTAACAAATTGGAGCTAGCAGTCTTTTTTATGGGGAACACGTTAAGGATACTACTGGATATAGAGTACAAGATCTTGATATCTTGGTGCTTTGACCATTTGCTCTTTGTAGTTCTTATTGGACAGATAACCCATGATAACATTCCAATACGTGACAACTAAAGTGCTGTTGAGACTTCTGCTAAATTGCTTGTTCTCTGCTCAGTCAATGAATCATTGAAATGCAAAATGCAATGAGACACCGTTGATGAATTTTATATCAATTGCATCATTCACAATGAAACATATTTTGCGAATATGCTTTTTTTTGCAGAAACAAAAATGTTATTAAGAGTTGGATAAGCAACCGACATTTCAATAACATTACATAAACTCCTGAGATTTCTTGGGGTCAATCTTTTAAGGAACTATTTGTTGAGTTGATGACAAATTGATATTCTGACAAATCCTTCAGGTGGCCAAGTTAAGTGGTTTGTTGCATGAACAGATATGAGACTGTGGCTTAATAACTGATTTATACTGTGTGTTTCACAGTAGTTTGTTATAATCCGCACAGTGAATTGGCATGAAAAATATGAGGACTAAGCACAGCACAGCTTAGTTAACAGTTGAGCTAAATATTGTAGGAAGGTAGCAGGTGGAATTGGAAAGGCCAGCTGCCTCTCCTACATTTGCTCTGTACTCAGGATCTAAGAATGCCCACCAGATGATACTATTTATTTTATTATGAGCTGACTGGATATTAGCCAAATGCACATTGCAATGAATTTTTATTGGAAACGTTCATGTGTATGCATCTCTTTACATTCATGGCAAGTCTAAAAAGTGCAGCTTAGACAAAAGTTTTAAATAAAATTGCTGGCACTGAATGAGGTAATGCTGAGTGATCCAAAATGTTAAAATAGAATCCGAGAAGCTGAAAAAATTGAATGGGGTAAAACGTTTTAGAAATTGTCTGGAAATAAGGTAGAACATAAAGATGGCCAATTGTGCGATTCAGGAAAGTATTCATTGTTTAAGTATGAATAGAGAGCTAATCATGCCCAAAGAAAGGCTCCAAGAATGAACATTTATGAGGAACTTGCACAGTACATTTATAATGATGAAGCAATGAATATTGTGATGTGTGGTGACAAGATGTCACTTTCATTCCAAGTCAGGAAAAATATGTCTAATTTTGCCATTCTGCACTTTAATACTGCTTATTAATGGGTGTTTATATTTTTTTAAGAATCATTATAACGGCAATCATACGATTGAACATCCCAAAGATTGAAGCCTTCAGAGAAATGAGTCCTGTACAATTTACATCTACCATGTGGGTTCATTATGATGTCTGAGATTTAGTTACATGGAAAATGTAGCAGCAAATTGATCTCACATTTGCATTCAATGCCAAAATACCTTATGAACCCAGAGTTAGTCTGCGTGCATGATTTGAGAGATTTTGAAAAATGGAAACATTCAGGGGAGTTTTAGCAGAGTGCAACTCTCTGACTAAGGCTGCTGTGGATTTAAAGTATAAGCAGTTAATGCATTCGTAAAGCTGAAGCATGATGTATGGTTTTAGTATTGCATTGGTTTGACAAACCATGGATACTATTTCATAAAACATCTCACAATTGGAAGATGCTGTGTGTTAGAAGGTTGGCCTTTCTCCTCGGGTAAGTTGGTTTGATTCCAACCCAGACTGATCTTAGGAAAGACCTTTCCGAAAATTCCAGAGGCTCTCAGATAATTCTGTTTAGTTGATCTCATCTCAGTTCCATGTGTTCATCACTCCAGCACAAATCTTCCCATAATTTGGCAATCCCATTCAAAGAGTATCACAAGGATATCTGGTGTTGGAAATCGAAATAGAAGACTACTTAGTAATGTTAAAATTCTGAGGTTGAGGTTAAGACACATTCTTGGGTTACAATAGAGTGGCAAAACAATGCTCATTCTGCGCTGGGATTGTTTGAAGGTGGTCATGGATGCAACAAGGACATTATTCAACTATTTTGAGTTTGAACTTTTTGGTCACCACTCACTAATATTTTAATAGCACTCAGCTACTTGGTCTGCAAACAAATAGGTACAAGGGCTGATTCTCTTTACCAAATCACTGCGATGTGAACCGATTAACCACCTACTCATAGCTGGGAGGAGGCAGGAAACCAGGAATGTTAAGTAGAAAAATAATTTAAAAAGCATTTAAGTTTTTAAAAGAAATTACTGTCAACAAATTGTAAGGAAAAAAAGAATAAGTCAGTGAATGTGAAGAGAGAGGGAGGCCTTATCATGCACATTTTGTAGTAAGTATTCATCAGGACATGCTGGGCTAGTTTCAACTTGATTGTCTACAGGAGAGAGGGAAAATATGCTCCAGTGCACTAACTGGAAGGTTAGCCAAGAGGTGACCCTGGTTTGCGGTGATGCCTGAAAGCCTGCAATTACAAGGGTTTAATATAATAAAAGCACCATAGTTTTGATGCCCCTTTTGTTTACATTGTACATTTATTGATGCTTACAAAATGCAATGTTAACCTTCAGTGAGAGGCTCTAATTTTAATTGATTTCTTTATCTCTTCACAGGGTGCTGTTGGTTTACCTGGGCCTTCTGGTCCCAGTGGAATACTTGGCGAAAAGGTAAATCTATCTTGACATTTTTACTGTTTGAGTAAAACGCTTTTGATTCCTCTTTAAAAGTAAGTTATTTTCCTTGGTTCAGACAGTGTGAGATACACCAGCTGTGAGCAACTATTACTAAGGGAGATGTGCACCTGCGCTTGGAGCAGAATAATGAAACCCATCTGTCTGCCCTTCTCATGGCCCAGAAATAAACAGTGTCACTGACATGTCTAACTGTAGTGTACCTATTCCCCTTTAAGTGTTGTTACAAACTCTCATTCTTATCCCTCAATAATAGCGAATTGCATTTGTATAGCGCCCTTTCACAAGAAAGAATGTTTCAAAGTGCTCAAAAATATTGGATCTTGGGAAATCAATCTTAATTTGGAAATTGGTTTTGCACAGTTAAAATAAAAGAACCATCTTCTCATCCGAAGGATGCTACCTCCAACAATACAGCGCACCCTCAGGACTGCATAGGAGTGTCAGCCTAGACTGTAAGTTCAAAGTTTCGATGTGGTCTTGAACCCATAACCTTCTGACTCAGAGTCGAGAGTGCTACCAACTGATCCAGGCTGAAACGATTATTGAAGATGCCTGGAGTCCATGGTACCTGATGTCAGTTTTCTCCAGACAAGAAAAATCCCTTTACAAAAGAAATCCTATAAATCCTTTGAGCTTATAAGTTATGATTCAAGTATTTTACAACCAGTGACCTGGAGATACCTTTAAATAAATTCAGAATTGTGTCCTTCAAATACAGTACCAGCACAAAAATTCCTTTGCTACATCAAAATTTAGTTTATGCGTAGCCTGGCAATATGTATTGCATGGTTTCTGTTATCTTTCCATATGTTTACTGAGTCACAGCAGGTGGAGGAAAAGCAGCTCATTGATCTTATTCAAGAATGATGAGAGGGAAAGTTATTATTTGTGTAAAGTTGCTAGGTAAATCCACAGGGATTCATTTTAGAAATAGAAATAAGCTTCTGGTGTTCAAATTATTTGCAATTTACGTACTTTAGGCAGATGTTGATTGTATAACTTATCAAAATGTGGCGTGAAACTGCGCCACAGTGACAAATCTAAGGTTTTAATGCCAGTTTCTCTTGGAAACAGATGTACCCATCTCATACTTGAATGTGATCTTTAAAGAATCCAGATAAGTGTACATTAGAAAATCAATATCTCCAGCTGATCTGACATTAGATCCAATCCAGCAGCACCATTTGCTAATTTATTTTCAGGCTGCAGTATGCATTTAATCCATTGACAATTTTTAGTGTTAAAACAGGAAAGCTCATATAGTACAAGACGATTTGCATGAGATTGTCTGCATATCTTGTAGATAGTTTCGACCAAGAAATGAAGTGGCTTAAAATGGTTACATTGTATGAAAGTTGTTTAAATTCCTTAAAAATACAGAAGTGTTAATTCCCTGGCATAATTCTGTTCTGTCTTCATTCCTAATTTAGTACAACCTTAACCAGATGGGTTTAGAAGTTCAATAATGTAATCACCAGGAGAACTGCCAAGTTCACTGGTATGAGACAGAATCAGATCTTATCCTGCAACATTAACCTTTTTAAATGTGGACTTTCTAATTTCAATTTTAATATAAAATATTAGTATGTTATAATATACAAAATATACACTCAATTCATTTACAGTATATTCAGTGAAGCACTTTTAGATGTCTCAAAGACGTGATAAGGCGTTATATCAAATGCAAAGATTATTATTGTTATGTTAATAGTGCTAGTTTGGAAGGATGTTAACATGATCACGCACATTATTACATACACCAAGTCTGCACAAGATGAACTGTCAGAGATCTAGTTAAATTCAATCATATTTTAGTGTTTTTCCACTGAAGTTACCTACAGTAATTTCATAAATTCGATCCTGTTTATCATAGTCAATGTTTTGATTTACTTAGAAAAGCAGCACATTGAATAGACAAATTAAAAAAAAACAAAGTGCAAAAAGTTTCTTAAAGCGTCACACAATTGACGAACACATATTTCTTTGCAAGGTGTTCATGAGGTCATAATCAGTTTACATCTCAGAAAAATTTAATTTTGCACCAAGCATAAGTACACAGCAGAATCACAGTTGTACATCTGTACCCCTTTTCCCCAACCCGAAAATATGATGGACTAAGTTCAGCAAGCTACCTTTACCACATCCGTGTTAAATGATTTCTTCCAACAAATAGCGCCTTTCGATGACATAGAGAACTTGTTCTTCAAGACATTTTTCATGAAGATCAAACACCTTCCACCTTATGTGTGAAGTGGGTTCGCGTCGAAACCAAGAAATATGCAGAAGAAAGCAGACCGCTCTGCACTTTATAACGTTTGGTTTGATTAAAATTGTGATGCAGTTCATGCATTCTACTGTTCAAACTATAAGCAAATGATGGATAGATGATAAGTGTTTGTGCAGAGCTTGGCACCTAGTTGTTTTATGCGTTGTCATTTTTCAGGGTGATCGAGGTGATCCAGGCCCCTTGGGTTCTCCTGGAGAAAAAGGATCCATGGTAAGCAGTAAGTCAGATCTATGTTACTCCAGGTTTCTGTATATCACATCTGAATTGTTTAGCACTATTTTCCATGAGTTTGGCCGTACAACCATAATGCACTTTTATAAAACGGACCTCAGAATCTAACCAGTACTTTCCACGCACCTCCTGACACGATTGAGATTTCAGACAATTGTGGACTTAACCTTTTGAGTGCTGAGTTTTTTTTCAAAAAACGTCTTCAAAACTGTGCCACCACCTCTGTAACGGTTTGGAAGTAAATCATAGAAGCTGCATCCAGTAATTTCCTGAGTGAAAATCATGGAAACTTAGAAAACGCATAAAGTTTCTGAATTATTCAAATAGAGTAAATTGTTTTTTGTTTTTTTTGTTTTGGTCAGATGTGTCATTACACTCCCCCAGATTCATTATGATTCGCTGACATTCATTTACTGTGATTGGCCAAGTGTCCTGGGTCCTTAAATTTGGATCCCAAAGACTCAAGCTGGCTTTGTCTATTAATAACTGTTCAGTAAGATTCAGCAGATTTATTGCTGGAATAGACAATGGCGACCTAATTGAATGATGAGGCACAGCCATTTGGAGATCACTTCAGTCCGATGGTAATAACTTTATGAACAAGGTTAATCGCGTACTCGAAAGTGCAATATTGAACAATCTGACATGTCTTTGGGGGCTGACGGAACACTTAAAGCACAGCCCACCTGTCCCCATTAGCAGGCACTGCCATAGTCCTACAGAAAGCCAGCTGAATCACTTTTTATACTGATACTTTTGATCCGATTTTACGTCTTACCAATGGTGGAGAGATAACTGATATCCACCTGAAACCACAGAATGAGAATTGGATTGAAGTTTCTATTCGTATCTGTTTAGGAGATGTGAGCACCATCTGGTGGTTAACAGAGAGGCTGCAAAATTCAGAGTTCTCTCATGGTTTGATACCATCAATTGTCGCCTGAAATTCTTCATGGTCATAAATTTTTCATTAGCCATAGCCTTAAAATTTAAGATTATATAGAATTTTTGTACAGTTTGAATGTACAGGTTTAATATTTCTGGGATTTCGAACAATATCTGCCAAATCCATAATTCTACAAGGTTCTCTGTACCATCATCTGAAAGTTACAAATTCATGCAAGTTCTGTGACATTACCTGGGACTTGTTCAACTCTGCAGATACCTCCCAATACACAAATATCACTGAGACTTAAGATAAAGAAATATCACAAAAGCTGAAGAACATATTTGCTGGGATTATATTATTAGTATTAACTGCATGAGTCGTCTATCAACTCATGCTCTTGCACTTTCTCTAAATTTCAAACTGGTGTTTTAGGATCCAGTTTATAGATTCTGTGTCCTATATAGATATATAATAATGTATCTGGCAGATTGGCAGGTAAGTGTGGAACAATTTTGCATTGAGTAATTGATCCTTTTCAATTCCAAAGTTATTTTTTTTCTTGAATAAGGTGCCTGGCTGTGTCTGGCAAAATGAGATGGTGCAATAATTCAAGATAATCCTGCAGATCTAGATATGTCCTGATTCATGCAAGCATAAATCTGAGTTTGAAATGTTGCATTGTGCTTGGTTAACCCCTTTACCTTTATCTGATGAGAATGCTCAGTGGTAGGAGATTCTTATTAAATTGAACACTTGCATCAAGTTTTAAGATAATTTTGCTTACGAGTGCTTTATTTGGAGAAAATGTTAACGCATTAAGACAAAAATAGTTTAGTTGGAGCCAGGGAGCAGCAATTAGCTGGTTTGAGAAATAAATGATCACATGAGATGTCACTTCGAGGATGTGATCTAATGGAAAATGCTGTGGATAAATTTAGCCCTGTATTCATTCTGTCTCTCTTTCTTCCACTGTGCTTATTTTTGCAGGGTTATATGGGATCTCCAGGAATCCCTGGTCCAATAGGGCTCCAAGGGCTACCAGTAAGTCAACGTTTTGTAACTTTACCGACGTTAACATTTCTTACGTACATGATCAAATCATTCCAGAATGACGTGATTATCTGATCCAGCCTGCACTTGTGAAAAATAAGTTCCTGTTCTTTGTTAGATTTTTTTTGTGGCATTTGAAAAATTTCCTCACTCTTTTTATACAATAAAAAGACATATCTTTTGTAACTGTAGGGATTGAAACAAAATGCCAAGAGCACAGGTGTACAGCTTATTCTCAGGCTACTGCCAATACCTGTGACATCAGACTTCCCCGGAGGCTGCCTAGATATGACCCATTCAATAACCCTGAACAATAGTTCAATAGTTCAATAGTTGTAGCCTTGATTATCCAATCCAGCTGTAAAATAAAGCTTAAATGTTAAATTGCCTCTTATTTGACATTGCATATCATTTTGTTGTAGGGTCTTCCAGGAGGACGAGGATTACAAGGCCCTCGAGGTCCTAAAGGGAGGAGGGTAAGTGACCTAAATCCTTTTTTATTTTAATCTTCAGCCTTAATTTTAAAGTTCCCTTTTATCAGCTTTCTCTCCATTTTCCAGATGAATTTTTTGGCACTTCTCAGGATTCCAAGTGTGTCACTGGCTGCTCTCTTCCTCTTGGCAGTGATGTATAACAACATAATAATCCTTGCATTTGATATAGCACCTTTGATATAGCATCTTCCAAGACATCTCAAAGCGCTTCACAAAATATACTGTAAAGTGAATTGACTGTATATTTTGTGGGCGAAACTGTATGTGGCAGGAAAATGGGTGTTGTCATTTCAGTTACTTCTGCTACTTTAAGAAAGATTAGAAATATACAACAATAATTGTGTTTGGTTGTAGATGAGCATGTTGGGTGCAAGAGGTTGAAATGTACACAGTAGGATTACAATTGGCTTTGTGCACCGTATTGGTTACTATGTTCACTTCAAGAAATAATGCAGCAAATGTGNAAAAAAATTCTAGAGTTTTGGGGATCAGGGGCAATTTTCACAATTTTAATAGTACTTTCTCATGTTATATTCATAGTAACATGAGACATCCAGTTACTGATTTCTTGATGAGTAGATTGATTGGAGAAATTAATCTATCTTAACTTTGCAGCATTAGACAGTGTTAACATATGCATAATTAACACAATGTTAATTTGGTCTAACTATTGCTTGAACTATCTACTTGAATTAAATGTTTTTTTTAAATACAGCAAGAGGAGGCATACAAGGTGTGAAATTCTGTGGTCTAAAGTTATTATCTATAATGTTGGCAGATGTATTGCACAGTGGAATATTATGACGATATCAAAAAGTAGATGTGACTGAACATCTGCTTCATCATGTTGAAAATCACTAGAGAGAGATGTTAACAGCAATGTGTTAAATGACTCCTGCAGTGTGCAGTGAACCTTTCAATCAGAATAGTTTAGCACAATCTTTGTATTCTGTTAAGACTGAGAATAAGCTTTTCTGTTAAACATTTGCTTATTTATTCTGCAAGCATCCTTTTATTTCAGGAAGTGACTTTTTTTTCTCTATTTTAAGTTAGTTGTACATAGACCAGCTGCTTCTGACTAATTGGGATGATCCACACAAGGTGGAGCTTTTTGGACAAAGAACAATAAGGAAGTGAACATCAAAATTTAAAATAAATTGTGTGATATTTCACAACTGCCACGATTTTATGTTTTTGCACGAATACAATATCTACACATTAGCTTAAAAAAAGCTTTTACGTTTTTTTCAATATTTTTGAAATATAGTTATTCATTCTGGAAAATTCGTGGAAATTTTCTTGTATCTGGAATGGGAAGCGCAGCCTCTCCCTGGAAGGACGCACCCTGATTACCCAGTTCGCAAGAGCCAAGGCTTGGGGGCCCAAAGTCTGTGTGGTGGTAGCCTAATCGGAACATTGGTTTTGAGATAATGTCCAAGATTTTCCACCAAGCAAGAAAATGTGCACGGGAGGCAGACATTATTTACCCGGTGCACCTACATTTTGGATCCAAATTACCCAATAATTTACTAAAATTGTCCAGTACAATTGCGTGTCAAACCACGGACACATTGTGTTGTCACCAAAGGAGCAGTGTCATAACAAGTGCATTTTTATTAGCATTGAGCCCTGTGTAGTGACCTTTTGTACACCTTTTACATTTACTGATTACTTTTAAAAACCCGCGTCATTAAGATGTACCGTAGTACTTACGTAAGAAATTATCCCATAGACGATCTTGGTAACTGTGGTGTTTAACAGCAATGTTGTAACGACTTTCAGGGACCACGAGGTCCAGATGGTCCTTCAGGAGAACCTGGGTCACAAGGTAACAAGGTAAAAGTCAAATTAGTTTTGCTTTTGTTTCCCCGGAACATTTCTGACTGCAATTTCAAGTGACTCATTTAGATTGGAGTTAATAAGTAGAATGGAAAATAATCTGGGCAGGTTTCAGTTTTTAGAGAGAAAAAAAAATTCTGTGTTTCGAACTGAAAATGTCAGCTTTTGTATCAGATAATCAGTGGAGAGATGTGGCAAGCTGCCAGCAAAGCTGACACTCCAGGTATAGCAATGCTTCATTCGTACCAACATGTATTGGCAGAGGCTGCACTGTCAACCACATCTATTTGTGTGTTCTTTGTGGCAATGTTCCAAAACGCTACAATTTGCAAAGCTATTGTTGTAAAAAAATGTTTTGTGTGCAGAGCCAACAAGACAGTTTAATATTAGTACTTAGGGCACTTTAGCTTGCGCCAGTGCTGGTAATGGCATATTACCTTCAGAAGTATTGTATAATTTAAATGAGGGACTTCACCCTGCCTCTGGAGGTAACAGTGCCTGGTACACCTGCTTGTAAGTACAGTGGCTGCTATGTGGTCCAGGCTGGACTGAGCTGAAACCATTCTGCTGAACTTACCCCAGACATTATGAATGTCCAAGACCAGAAAAAACAGTCACAGCTTAGAAGCTGCTGTGCACTGCATGAATTCGCAGTTTCTTCCATGCATTCACAAGTGTTGTGCCCCCACAAAGTAAATTGGCAGAATTCCAAGGCATTGTCTGCCTTAGGCTTTCTTCTATTTGATTCACACTAAATTAAGCATTAATGCAAGTGTTGCATGTCATTTCCTTTACAACCTTCGAGGTCTTCACATCTCGTACATTAACAACATATTTCCTTTCCAGGGAGAAAGAGGCGAACCTGGCCTGAAAGGTGAAAATGGACTTATTGTAAGTATGAAGCAAATCTACCAATAGAGATTGACATTTAAAAATATCCATCAACATCTTTGGAAGTCTATCGCTCTGCCTGACATCATGTAATTTCTCATCAATAGGGCAAAGCAGGAAATCCTGGAGAAAGAGGCATTCAAGGAGCCCCAGTAAGTATAACTTTACCACAAGATATAAGCAGAAAATGCATGAACATATACATAATCAATACCTGAAACAGTAAGTTAGGGTAATTTCAAGGGTCGCCCTTCATTTGGCTGGAACATCTCCTTTAAATTGGGATTGGAATTGCAAATAGGACAGGTCCAAGAATTCAATGTTATCAATGTATTCCAGGTACAATAGAAATGTTAATGCGCACAATGTGCTGACTCCAGCCACTTTTTCTTATCGTTATCCTCTACTTATCCAAAACCTGCTGAGTTAATACACAAGCTCCCATAGGACCAGAGAAGACATTTATGGGCTTCCATAGATTTTATCATAAATTTTGGTTGATGAAGGTTAGGTCAGTCTGAGCAAAGCCTTTGCAGCTCCTATACTCAAATCCAACATGGTCTAAAGAGACTGAAGTCCTTTTATACTACCAAGGATGGATCCAATCTTTATAGGTATCCTTGGCTTATGCCGACTGAGTATGGGAACAAGCAAGGTATTTTAATAATAGCACATAGCAGCCATCAAGAGTGGAGGAACCATCAGCAGCAAAGGGTCAATGGGGAAAATGGTCATCTGGGCTGCATTTTGTTTATGATTCTGCGTATCCATCAACTGTTCATTTATAGGGACAAGGTAAAAAATAATGTTCGATGATTGCAACTTAAAATAAGCAATTATATTTTTCTTAAGATCTTTAGATTAAAATCATTTCAAAAAATTATTCTTGAGTTCTAATTTGTTCTGAGCTTTTGGAGCTCAGAATCTTGACAGAAAATCCTAACTCTGATGTTGTTTTCATGCTTTAATACTTTTGCGTGTTCTGATTCCTAATCTTGCTTCCCGTAGCCTCAATGTTACAGTCTCCTGCTCTAATTTCACACATACAAACCTGATTTCACCTCTTCTGGCCTTTAGCCCTGATTTATTTGTTTTTCGCTTCACCTTTACCCAACCAAGCTTGTTGCATTTGATTCTGAATGTACAGATGTCTGCTTCCTCATCATGAGTCTTTCAAGGCACAAGTCCTTATTACAGTGAACAGAAGAGTATGACAAAGGAAGGGTGCAGCAGATTATTCCTTTAATTATTTCATTGATAATTTTCTTAAGAACAAAATGTTTTTGAAATTTGGACAAAATATAGATTGCTGTTAGCACTCACCGAAACATACCACATTGTACACCACTGTGTTCAGTGGAGAATCAGTAAGGGGGAGAAAATCAAAAGAAGGACAAAGGTAAAGGTTATTTAGAAAAATAGTAAAAACTGACAGACAACACTGTTCTGCATATTCAGGTGGAATCCATTTCCGACAATAACCAATATGACTACTAAATACTACTCATGCACCTAGCACTCTATTTATCATTAGTCAGTAATCCTGAGAAGATCACTGCTTGTGCTCATGAGATCTGTTTGGCCTAGTGATGCAAGTTCACACATTCCAGGGGATAGTAACATTGAGACCCTAGGGAGTAATTTTCTACTTGTTAAATTTCATGGGATTTTCCCATTATAAGCACACACCATCAAAGTCCATGGATTTACCGGCAAATAGAGAATTACTCCCTCGGGTGCTCACACACAAAATCCAGATTTACTACGGCTCAGATGAGAGACGTGATCTGGAATTTTTCATTCATGATCAGTGGAGAAATAGTCCATTTGTGATCTCTGTGCAGAGTGTTTTATTCTAATTCTCAAAAGCAATGTTGGAAATAAAGATTTGGCTGTGGATAGATTCAAAGAGTATTTTCCAAGTGAAATATCCGAAGATATTTCTCCTGTGCAATGCGAAGGGAAAAGTATTAATGATCCAAAATCCCCATCAGCAGTTTTGCTAATCTCTTTTTGTTTGGGTCCGTGTGCACAGTAATGTTTTATGTAACAAGGGTTCAAACCAAGGGCAGCACTTCACTTTTATACTTTTTTTTATTAGAGTCACTCATCAGGCATAAGAATTGGAATACCACATGTGATATATTGGAAAAATAGTGTGTGTGTGTGCGTGGGGGGTGGGGGGTTACAGATGGTATTTCTGTGATCTCACTTTATTTTTAAACAAAATGCAAAATAGTGCACCAGACGTGATCTTGGAGATTATTTCTTGCTGGCCATTGGGATCAAGTTTGGTGTGTGGTCTCAACCAGCTTATTCCTCCTGAGTTCTGTAAGTAAGTTAGAACAAGATTAGGGATGATTTTGGTTGATTTTGCTTGTTTGGAATGTCTATATTTGTTTTCAAATGTGCCAAAGATCATAGATTTGATTGTATCAACAAATGCGAACATTTTTATCAGTAAGAATTAGCATTGCTGAGTACATTCATCCTCCCGCACCGACATCAGAAATATACACAAAAAAACTACAAAATTTAAAAGCGATTTCTTTTTTTTACAAATTGAAATAAGTAAATGATCATCAGGTTTGAAGCTATTGCTTGTGTACTCTTTAATTGGGTGTATGATATGATTTATTTGACAGTTGTTTTTACACAAATTCTTTACACATGTAACTTTAATGCAGCACAGATTTGCAAATCTGATAGGAGAGAAAGGCCATGTTGAACATCCTACTCAAATTTTTAAACACATCACTTGTGGCTGACTTCCGAGGATCATCAAGTACTTGAGAAAATGATAGTCACCACAGCACAGAGCTTAAAGGGGAAAATCAGTAAATTTTAAGGATAGAAAGAAGTAACTCAAACCATCCGGCCTCTCTTTGCCTCTTTTGCCCAAACTAGGTGCCGAGTTTTGTGTCACGGTGATAGGTTTTCAATCTCAATGCTTGACTGTGTCATGTATTTATTAACAATGGAAAGGCATCTCCATGACAGTTTTACAGGACTGTAAAATTAAAATTCAAACAATGGGTTTGTCAAAGCAGCATTTGGAAGGGTTTAATTTTTAAAAAATAGGATCAAATACTTGGAAATGACCGCAGGAACCAGCTTTAAAATAGCGAGGGGTCAGTATATTGAGATACAAGCCTGTTATTTTGGAGGATCTTCAAATATTTAGTTTTCTGGATGTACTTTGGTTTTAGATAAACAGGAGAATTCACCATGTAGAATAACTGCTTAAATGCAGAATGACCTGTGAGACATGACGGAAGCCTTGTTTGTATTTAAAAGGCAGTTTGCTTTAGCAAGAGTTCATCGTTCTTTTGGAAAAAATGGGCATCACATATTACTGTACTTCATAGTGAACATAAAATTTCATTACACAGCAAATAATCTTTCCTGCTGATTAAATGTCACCCATCGGGCAGGTTGAACTCTGGCAGATGGCTTTATTCTTCATTGTGAACAATTTTCAGATTTGGTGCTTTTAAAATGAATATTAATACTTTCCTGCCTTTGTATTCAAGTTAGAAGAGTTCAAAATGGATTTGGAACTGGTTAATTCCACCACCAGGAGCTCAGTCACACTTACAGCTGTTATTTCCATCTGTCTTGAGGAAGCCTCACTGTCTGGTCAGGCGATCGCATCCCACTCACACTTCAAAAGGTCATCATGAAGTCAAGTGTTTACCATGATGTTAACAAAGATGACGGTAATAAAAGTGAACTCCAAGGGAAGCGGTTTTCATTCATAAGATGAATGCTTAATTGCTGAGTTGCATATAAACTTTGGTGCAGGACAGATTTAAAATAGAGGCACGTGTTAACCCTGAGGCTTTCTTTACAGCTTATAAAGTGAACACATCGGTTTTTCCCCCTCCGCCGCTACAGAATTTAATCCTGGGTGTATATTGCACATTTGGTGGTGAATTGCTGTGATTCTTTTGACAGTGATGTTCTGCTAAACATGAAATATAATCTGAGGCTCGAACAGTGCAAATAATGCCGCTGTATATTCAGCCAGTTATGTGATCAGCGCTTTAATAATAGGAAAATATCCTCTGATTTGAACCTATTTGGAACAGCAAGTAAAAATTGGCTTCCCACTTCGTATCACTATAATGCCGAGAGCAAAGAGGCTTTACTGCCAGCAGTCTAAACACAGGAAAATATTCAGCCTCCATTCTCACTAGTTCATCGTTTAATCATCATAACAATCACAGGTGTTCTGTCTCACATTCACCACTAAAAATAGTGAAACTTTCACTGTCCTGACATTTTCAAAGGTTCCCTAGAGTGGATTGTTATTTAAGTACTAATTTGTATTCTTATATTGAAGATCAGTATTAAAATCAGTTTATGCTCTTATGCATATGGTGTCACCACGTGCATTGCCATTTAGCAATGGAATTTGCTTGGCATTATTTCTCTCTTGATTTCCCTGACTCAAGATTGCAGCTATCTTATAATTCATATGTTATTTGCATTCTGGTCATTTACTTGTCCAAGAACATAAAATTGGTTGCAGATGTTCACTTGGTACAGCAGATGGCTCCTAGACCCTCCCTTCTTTTTGATTCCCAGCTTCTCACTGAGACCAATTGGTTGAATGACACATTTACCTAGTGCAAGTTCATTTGTAGCTATATGGAGGGTATGCACTCAAAAGTCCTGCCCACTAGAGTAATTATATTTGTATTAGAAAATCCACCTGTCTCAGTTCAAAGAAATAGTGGCAGATCAGGGCTAAGGATAAACTGCTGGCTCTCTGAATCTGCTGTAATAAAATATTTTAAAATGAATCTATAAATATGATAGCTCATTCAGTTATTAAAAATGCACGGCAATAACCTTGGTAAATTTGATGAACAGAACAAATTTGGTCCATTTAGCAAACGGAGCAGAATACCCCACAGTCTCACACCGCAACTTTTCATAATTGCATTGTTGATCACACTGAAATGGAAATGATCTTGGAGCACATGTGCACTGTAATTAAATGCAAACTGAGTGCATTTCATTTTCAAATATGAACAGAATTTCCTGTAATTTCATGCATTGGAGTTCGTCATATCTGTTTTGATTATGGCACTGGATAAACATTGAGTCTCAATAAAATACATTGCTAAACATTCGGTCTCATCACTTTCATCTCTTTTTAGGGTCTGGCGGGGTTTCCAGGAAGCAGAGGAGATTTGGGACCCGCAGGGCCACCGGTAAGTTCACTTTCCACTTCGGAATGACCGTTGTGAGCTTTGATTCTATGTGCATCGCATGGTCATCTCTCGAGATATTTCCTGTGACCAACATATTTGTTTTTATAGGAAAATAACCTGTACACAAATGTAGAAAGAAAATCTAGAAAACTGAAGCAAATGAAGGAGAAAAACACGAGGAACATTATTGTAAATCGTGACCAATTTTGTGTGGAATAACTCTTGTTGTACATACATATATATATATTACTATTGTGTCAATGGTGATGCTTGTGGATGGCTATATTCTTTTGCGGAAAGTAACTATTATTTTTATGTCTTAAAGTGCTACATTTTGCCCATATCTTTTCTTTGTAGGGCCCTCGAGGACAACAAGGAGATGCCGGGCCCGTCGGAGAAATTGGACTTGAGGTATGTCTATTTTGCCTTAGATTTTATATTCCCAACCTTTGAGGATTTTAAAGCGTTGATCTGTTTTAGTTAGGGATAGGTTTTTTTTCGCCAGAATCATTCAGACTTTGTAATTATCAGATTAAAAGCGCATCACAATATGAATAACGTTTTATTTCGCAGGGAATTTCAGGTGCTACGGGTGATGCTGGTCACACGGGGGATCCTGGGACGAAGGTAAGTGCGATACATTTTACAACCAGTGAATTGACGGGGTGCTGCTTGTGGGAAGATGCAGTGGTGTTCAGAAATGAATTACAATTTCCTGTCAACAGCTGGAAGAACTTTACATTCTGCCACAGATCTGATGCGTCTTTGAATTGAAACTTCATAACCACAGAGTTCAAACCTCCAGCTTCTGGAAATTGTTAGACTTAGCAGCAGAATGATGTGAACTTTTGTATATAACAGTGCATGTGACAAATACAAAAGAAAACCAATTCTCAAAAGCATAAATTGAGGTTGCATGTGTTCCATTTCACAGGACGTTATAAGTTATATTTGTTCAACTCAGGCAAAGAAATATACACCTTTGTAGATATGGACTTATGCCTGATGAAAAGGAAGAAAAAAACACCAAAGAAATGACTTTCCAACAATTAAAATAAATTTCAACAATTAAAATGAATGATTTTTTCCAAGACAGCATCATTTGAAACAAATTACATAATACATCGTAGACACAAATCCTATAGTCCAGTCTTCCATCATTTTGACTTCTGTTCAACTATGTCTGTGCCTCATTTCCTTCAATGTATCCTTCTGCTGGTCTACAGGAAGCCTTCTCTCAGTGCTGGTAACCTGCTTGCTCTGTACAAAACCTCAAACCTATTCAGCCTGGTGACTGAAGCTTGATCTGTTGTCTAGACTTTCACTTCCCCTTCCACCTATCTCTTGGTCCCATCAATCTTTATAAAGTTCAAAATATGGAGGTGATATCTATTGTTTGAAATTATCCCTGGGTGCAATGTATTTCATCTCACTTTGATGATGTGCTTTCAGAATGGGATTTCCCATTTAAACATGCACACTTCAAAAGCCAAGAAACGTGCAGAATACCACCTTCCAATCATCAACAAAATTTGAAATGCTAAGTATTATAAACCATAATAAAAGGAACAAGTGGAAACAAAAAAAGATAATATTCACAGTGCAGAGTAAAGCAAATGATTGAACAAAGGTAGAAAGTAATTTGCCGATCCTGTGAATATTGCACGTATTCTCTTCTTTACGTTGTATTATGAAGCTTTCTTTTGAATAAAACAGGGTGAAGTTGGACCAGCTGGAAATGTCGGAGAACCAGGTCAACTGGGATTAAGAGTGAGTTTGAGTTCCATACAATATCTTGTCTTCATTGTTTCTAACTCTGCTCAAGTGATCTTCATTGCCTTAAAAATTGAAATATTGATGTAATCTGGAGAATCACGACTCAAAGAGTTTACAGTTATGAAACGCTGCTTTGCCATGTGTTAATATTAATTAAGGTACCAAATAATTGTGTCTATTGTCTGCCTATAAAAGTAACCACTTCAGGAGCCAAATGTTAAATCATACTGTACATTGCACCACATAACAATATCCCATTGTTGTGTTTATCATCTCTACTACCAATATCTGACTCTGTAGTATGCTTGAGGGTGGGGTGGATTTTTGTCACAATATGGCACAACATTTACAATATTTTCACACTTTATTAACATTAATTTTTATCAATGTCTTTCTTTCTATGAAGTGAGATTGCAGTTTAATTTGCATTATTTTTGGAAGTCGTTCTCCCCCAAAGGAAGCAAACTTGTGGTATTTGTGTGCGTATCTGAAATTCTACACTTAAAATGCTTCTGCCACTCCGCTGAAGCCTGAATTTGTACTCACACAAATAAAAATAAAACATTGTCTTTGAGATCCTCTTTCTGTCCTATTTTACTCTATCCAGGCATCAGGCATGTTTACCCATCAGAGCACGTGAACGGTATTGATTTCAGTACTCATGTAAAGGAAAGTTTTTTTTCAAACTTCAGACTTTGATCAGTCATTGTGCAGAATCTTCTTTTCTTTTGCTTAAAAATTAAAATTCATTTGCACCAATGATTCTCATAGTGTAAGGCTACATATCAATTGATGCTTGAAGTGTTATTTCCAGTAAGAAAAAATATACAGTGCATTTACTTTTACCCCTCCTAAAACGAGAATCTTTTCTAATCTAGGGGAACCAGGTCCCATAGGAGAAGAAGGTCTTCAAGGAAAAGATGGAATAAAGGTAAATCCACATGCTGAACTTACAGGATCTGGATTTTTGTGTGGGAGTAGGAGACATAGATATACTGCCATAAATAAACAGTTAAATTTATCTCAACAGATAGCTGTGATTGTCAGTGGCAAACGGGTGCTCAAATGCTGTGCAACCTGGCTCGGGGCAGAAATTCTGCACCTTGACATCACTAAGTCACGCATGTGGGAACTATTCCACTATTCAGTGAAATGATTACCTTGAAAAAGAGTCAGGTGAACTACTGCAAAATCAGCTGGTACAGGTACCACCATGCAAAAACACAGACGTGCAGCTTTGTTTAGCAAGTTTGTGCAGATCTTTTTCTTTTGAAGAAAGCTCTGCACAAACTTGCTAAATTTGGTATAAATCCAATGCAAATATAAGATGAACACTGTCCATCATATCCACTGCACCCAGTGCATGTAGTTACAATCCTATTGATCTTCCTATAGGTTTGAGTTGAAACTCATATTTCAGAATTTTAATGTTTGCAATTAGTGCCACAACAATACTTGTGTAACTTTAGAGGGATTATTGAACACTTACAATTACATATCAGGTTTACATTTGTACAGATACTAACTATCAGTACAAGACAAATAGCAGCTTGATGAAATTCACCTGGTAATATGCGATAGCACAGGAAACTTAATACTTGTAATCTGCTGTACTCTCTCTTTGTGCTATTGAATATGAATGTGTATAAGTGGAAGGATTGACACAAGGTTGGTGAGAGTGGGAGAAGTGAGATAATCTGGTCTGATTGAAATCAACTGTCCCTCTTATTTTTTTAAGCACTGCTCAGTGCCAAGTATTGGTGTTATTGATATTATTTCCTTTAGTTCTAACTGCACGCACTGTTGTTATAGGGTGAACCTGGTGATCGAGGTCGTCAAGGTGAGACAGGAGAAAGAGGCAACACTGGAGTTCGAGGAAGTGCAGGTTCAGTTGGAGGATCTGGGATAAATGGCATGCCAGTAAGTGCATTGTTTAGTGACTATGATAAATGATGCGATCAAAAGAATGTTAAATTGTTACAAACTTTATACGCTGATCTATATTTATTTGTTTTCCTACAACAAACATGTTATAGTGTTTATGTTTACTTTGTAGCTTTGTTTAACACTCCATATGCCTATTGCAAAAGCATATTGTGCAATCGCTATGAACACTCATTTTTCATTTTAAGATTTTTAAGATTTGCTGGCTTAAAAAATTAAGCTGTTTCTTGTTACCCTGGTCTGTACCGCTGGAATCAGGGATTCCTGATTCCTACCTAACTGTTCCCAATCTTTCTCATCAGTAGCTGAGGAGAGTCAGGATAGGCAAATCAGTTTTTAATGTTATTAAAAGTATACAGTCGCCCACAAAATATACAGTCAATCTACTTTGCAGTGTATTCTGTGAAACGTTTTGAGACGTCTCGAAGGCTTGAGAAGGCGCTATGTCAAATGCAAGGATTATTATTATTAAAGAGCAAGTTGTCAGCTGTTGGCTCAGCAAAGAACTTTTCAATATCATTTTTGAGCAGAAACTAAATAAACTAAGCACAAGTGAATTGAAAGTCTTGGTTCTCCTCATCCAGGAATAATACGCACACACACATTTCTCACTTTTCATTCACAGGGACCTGAAGGGAAACGTGGAAAGCGAGGACAACGGGGACGACAAGGCAAAAAGGTTCCTGTTTTGTGGTTGTGAATTGACTTTGTTTAAATATTAAGGTTTAATCTCTTTGGGAGTCAGACTCGCTCTTCTAAATTGAATAAATTCCAGTTGTTTAAAAGCTAGTTTTAAAAAAAAAACTAGGAAAAAAAGTTATTCATTTTGCATTTTGCTGTGTTCAGGGTGAAAGGGGCAAACAAGGGCCTTTAGGTGAAGGAGGTGACCCAGGTCGTCCAGGTGACGAAGGAAAACCAGGACCTAAAGGAGCAAGGGGGACACGGGGGCTGATGGTAATTTTTTTTAAGCAATCAAAGTGTGGGAGAATTTGTCTGCCTTAATCCATGGTAACGTGTGTTTGTGGCTCATCAAACACATTAAAATCTGTGAGCCAGGATTTCAGGATTAGATTTTGACACAAATTCCTTTGAAACCGAATGAGTCCCTCTCTATTTCTCCTCAATGCAACAAGACAAATACAATTAACAATTAACAATTTCCACTGTGTTGAGCCAATAATCCTCTCAGGCTTCCCTACTTGCACTGGCAGCAGATATATTGGGTATCCTGGCCCCGATGGAGTTCGTTCACATTTCACTCCACCCGGTTTCTCCTTCAACATCAGACAATAAGATCAGACAAAGTCCCTTTTTTTTAAAAAAAAGTAACAACTGCTACCCATTAGCAAGACAGCAGGAGGTGCTTTATTTATGTTTGTTTAACTTGGGGGGGAAGATGAGTATTTAAATTCTGCACACATGCAAGTGGTTAAAAAATACCCTAGGGAAGCATACTGTACTGTCAAATGCTCATTGTGCATTCAAGCTAGCTCAGCTTGGGTTGGACTATTTGCTTTAACTGAATCTTATTGATTTACTTTTTGGGCAGTCAAACTCCATTGTTACTTACTGTATTATCTCCTGTGTCATAAGTCATTGCCTAAACAAAGCCAGGGAGCTTCTCCTAGGCCTCCAGGGCTTGCACTGAGCTGCTTGTGTGTGAAGGAGTGGTTCAGGGACAACTCTTCTTCCAAATTTCTTTCCTCCCCCTGGGCATGCACTTGGCGTCTGATCAGCACTTGCCTACATCCCATTAGTGCTGAATTATTAAGCCAGCAACTGAAGCAAGCACACAATCCACATCCCACCACTTTTTGCTGATGCATCAAATTGAGATCTTATTTTTAATGTACATTTCCTCTTTATGTGTATAGTAATTATTCATATCGTTGTAGGGATCTTTTGGTTTGATGGGTCCAATGGGAGAACCAGGACTTTTGGGATATGGGGTGAGTGATGACAAAAATGAATTAGACTACACACAGTACTGTAATGCACTTTGGCTGTCTTTGTTCTGCTACCATTAACTTTATTCCCAGTAGGACAGGCTTCAGAAAAGACCATATGTATAAGAGTAGGCAGAGAACAAACCAGATGTGCTTTCAAAAATTTTAGCAAATATTTTTTATTGGTTGAGACTGTCGTGAAAATAGACATACCTTAATCTTGGATCTAATTTGAGACCTTAAGTGCTGTTTCACTTAATTTTGCACTAAACGCTGATTGACGAACTAAGATGTTGGAGTAGCTCCAATTAGAATTTTTGTCTTGCCTCCAAATTGCTGGATTTGAATCTTCACAAGCTTACAGTTTACCAATTTAATATATTGTATTATACGTATATATTTTTCCATTCATCTAGAGTACTCTGTGAAAATCACTGGGGATTTCAAGATGTATCGATTTAGGTTATATGAATTGTTCAAGTATCCAATGCACAAGTTTAAATACTGAAGAATGAACTGAGCAACATTAAAACATATATTAATTTCAGGGTCATCAAGGTCCACAAGGGTCTTCTGGACCACCGGGACCGAAGGGTGAAAAGGTAAAATACAATTGTTTTATTCACGAATTTGTCACTTCCCACCTCAATTTTTCCAATGCCCTCCTCGCCGGTCTCCCTAGATTCACCATTCAGAAAATCTAGCTGGTTCAAAACTCCACTCCCTGCATGCTCACTCAACAAAACTCCATACCCCCATTATTCCAGTCCTTGCCAGGCTCCACTGGCTTGCATTTGATATAGCGCATTTCACGTTGGGAGGACGTCTCAAAGTGCTTCAGAATTTAATGACGGTGTTTCGGAGGCCAGTGTTTATCTTGGAGAAGTTAGTTCTCGATAGCATTGAGCATTTCCAGTTTCATCCAGCGAATAATGCTACAATCTCACTTTACAGAATGTTTTACATTGAAGTCATAATAATAATCCTTGCATTTGATATAGCACCTTATCAAGCCTTCGAGACGTCTTGAAGCGCTTCACGGAATATACTGTATGTTTTGTGGGTGAAAGTAACATGTATCTGAAAATTAATGACAATTTATGTAAAATATTTTCAACGTTGCTCCTGTTAAATTTGTTGCACAGTTTACAGGACAAATACATTTCTTTTACTATTCAGGGCTATCCAGGGGAAGCGAGCAGTGCCACAGGTCTGCCGGGGCCTCCAGGTGAACCAGTAGGTTATACTTTTCACAGTAAATTATTATAAATTTTTTAGACCAATTTAAAAAAAATCTTGGATTCAGAGATGGCTTTCAGCATATGTTCCTTCACATAATCTGCCTTTCAGTGGAAAAATGTACTTCCATAAATTTGATAAACGGAATTTAAAACACTCGAAGGTAGTGCAGAGTTTCACAGAGTAATAGAATATCATGTCAAACACGGTGAGAACGCCAGTGAGAAGCACTTGTTCACTGACGGGTAGAGGAGGGGCGGGTTGGGGGGGATGAGGAGAAATGAAACCCAGTCATTTTCATACATCATCCAGTGGTTCATTATACATTATATTTGCACACCTCTTCCTTGGCAGGAAAATGGTGCATGATCTTGGGAAAGGAAAAAAAATCCCTACCTATTTATGAAATTTAAGAGTGAAATGAAAATTCATTTTAACATAACTGACCTATTACTAATCCTTCAACGTCAATGGCATTGATATTCCTTCCACCACGAAACGGTTGCGTAAAGGAACATTCTGAGGGTTTCATTTACAAACTGATTCTCGAACGCTACACTTAATAAAATTGGCAATAATTCACGACAAGTAGCTCTAATAGCATTGATTCTAATTTGTTTTCTCTTAAGATGTTATAAAAGAGAACTTGGAGGTTACCTATCAAGCTAGCTTCCTATAGACTTACCTCACCAAGGTAAGGTAAGTTCTATGAAAAAGCTCTGCTTGCTGGATAACCTTATTATTCCAGTCCATTCCAACGATTTTTGTGAATGAATTTTTATTTTTCATAGACACACATTCTGTAGTAAAGATGGGTGTAGGTTTCTGCCCACGTTTTTCCATTCTAGGCCTATTAGGAAAGGCATGTGTATCTCAAGTAAAGATGTGTAGTGCCAGTTCTGTCACCTAGCTGTGAACCAATAATACGTAGCAGACATGATTGAGTGTCTCTTCACTGGTGGCACCCAATTCCCTTGTAGCAACATAGTTGCGTGAACTTCCAAATTCTGCGCCTGTCGTGGTGTTCTTGAAGAGGTCACAAGTGCTACAACTCAACTCTGTTAAGCAAAGGTACTTTCATAAGGAAGTACAGAGTGCTTCAAAGAAAGCTGGTGCTGAACAGCTGTATTTTCATATAGGTATACAACAAATAATATCCGTTTGGTAGAGTCACAGACGCCTCCCAGTTTTTGCTGTACTGAGCACTTTGAACGTTCATTTATCATTTGTTCCTCATCATGAACGCTTAGACCAGTTTCATTCTGTAGCAAATTGGTATAATATATTCTGCTTTACGTCATTAAAGGTTTCTTATACCCAGTTTTACTGCAGGAAGTCTGATATATATTTCAGTCTCTGAATTGCTCTCACCAGGAGGTCTCCAGGCAGCACCAATCTCTGGTGCAGTTTGTAATGTTTCTTAGAATGGTTCTTAAAGACTTTGAAAGGACCATCTTCACGTTGGAGGTTGGATTGATTCAAACTGCCTGCATTTGAACTGCAGTGACAAAATTGATATCCTTGTGAAACAACCTACTCAGTGTGGCCTCTGCAGCTGTCACCAGCACAAATCACCGTGATTCAAACCTGATTTATTCTGTTTCAAAACAAAATGAAAATATTAAGACTTAGAAAGCAAGTAAACCTAAAATTGCAGAATCTTGTTAAATTTACCTGCAAACCCTATTTAAAAGCTGGGTGATTTAAATGTAACTAGACATGGAAATTAAAGCCTGCAAAATTTCAATGGCTTATGGTTGGGTGTGACAGACAATTACTTGCATGCTGTATGTTACTGACTGTTCTGTTTCATAGGGTCCCGTAGGTTCTCGTGGAGACCGGGGGGAGCCAGGGGATGATGGCTACATGGTAAGTGAATGAAGATTGGTATGAAATTCTTTCTGTTGCTTTTGAAGATGAATTCTACCAATTGGATTGACATATTATAGGAGAAGTTTCAGTGAGTCAAAGTGAGTTGCGGTGAATTACAAAATAAGAACAGCCCATCATTCAAAAACCATCCAGCTCTAATTCAGTTCTAAACGTTTGTTACCTACACAAGCTAGATGTTTGGATTGTTCTGTGGGTATGAGTATTTTTCTGACGTGCAGAGTTTAGTAGTTGTACAGTATTGACATTTGTTCTGAACTACTCTGGTTTTGACCATTCAGAAGGATTATGTTTAGACTACTTTAAAAATATTAATGTCATAATAATGAGAAAACATTTGCAGGGGCATGGGGAAAGGGCAGGGTAGTGGGACTGATTAGGTAGCTCTTCCAAAGAGCCAGCACAGGCACGGTGGGCCGAATGACCTCTTTCTGTGCGGTAATATTCTGTGATTCTATGATTTGGCAACTATAACATTGAACATTATATAACATTGAAAATCTTTCCAATTACTTCACCAAGTGTCTGAAGTATAGTGACTGTGTACCTATAGGCAAACACAAGTTGACCACAAAGAAAGGAAGTTCTTCCAAGTTGGTGTGATGTACTTCTGGATTCTTAATTAAAGAATTTCATTCGAAATAGACCTCTTGCGTGTGATTTTCCACTTTGTAAATTTACTGACTAGCGGAGAATAACCTTCTGAATCAACACTTATGAGTATTATCATTACCCTCACCCACAGACATACAACCAGACACCCAAGGGAAGGGAAGCTAGCAGGACATTTTCCAGCTTTGTAGACAGATATTCCATGCTCCACAGATAAATTCTTTTGTAAATTGTTTAAGCAATGCAGGTGCTCCAATCAGTCCTTCTAACTGTATCCTATTGACTCTGTTAAACTCCACTCTCCTACACAATCACCAATGCACGCAACAGGAGATACAACTTTTCACCCATATATATTGGATTGTGCTTTATTCTCATTCAGCTAATTATAGCTGTAATTTGAGATTTCATTCATCTCCGTAAAATTACAAAATTTCACACAATTTTATTTGTCATGACTGCACCCAAAACTTAAAGGGCTCAGTCTCCATCTGATAGAGTCAAGTGTATGCAAACAAAATATTGTCTTGGCAAATAATTACAAACTAATGAACCATTAATCTAGTTTGACTTGCACGAGCCAATGCTGATAGAGAATGTTCCTGTGCCTACTTGTGTACCCGGTTGTACAGTTTATTCTGCCTCTGATTCCTAGAAAATGAACCTACTGATGCCAACTATTCAGTCAGTTGGCTTGAAGCCGGTACTACAATTCCCATTACTGTGATAATATCTTTATTCAGTGGGCTTGTTAAAACCCATAACTAATTTGACAAGGAACATTATATGCTTTGATAGAATTATGCATTTACTCAGATTTGCCTGTATTCATATTTCTCAGATACACTTGATAAACATTTTATTATCTTATCTATATGTATAGGGTTATGATGGTATACCAGGACTGAGAGGGGCTGCTGGGCAGCAAGGAGTGCCGGTATGGTATTTATTTTATTTAAAAAAAACATTTTAAACATTGTCACCGTTAATGATCTAAAAAACAAAATATTTATACCTGTACTTCTGCTTTTTCTCCACCTAGGGAAATCCTGGCGATCCGGGTGAACCAGGGCATAAAGGAGAAAAAGGATCCCAGGTTAGTAAATAAACCAGATGGAGGTGCAAATCACCTCAATTCTGGTGATACCTGACAATAGGGAACTTGCTATGCCCCACTTTGGGTGCAAACCCTTCACTGTCCAGCACCTTGGGATATCCTCCTAATGTGAATGGTGCTACATGAACACAATTTCTTGTTGTTTTTAGACTATATGTAATGTAACCTAGTCTATTGTTAATTAATTTATTTGTGGCAGGACTCCAAACAACAATCTGGCACACAACAGTGGGCACAGAATAGTGGCCATATATCAATGGGAACATTAAAAGTAGGATTGATGCTTTTGCATATGTACACTTCTGTATTCCTTCCTGTTGAAAGCTCTATGGTGATAAGGTTGCAAAATGAAATGTGCAAACCTGCTCAGGAACAGACGGTTGAAGTATGTTATTTCTGTCTCTGTTATTTCAGAGACTGCTGACAAGCTATGTAATAGAGAAGCAGTATCAGAAATCAGCTTCTATAACTGCACTGATTTCCATACACATTTCTCACTAGATTTCAGAGTTTGTTGATAGAGTATATTCTCCAGGACGGGAACTAAACCTGTCTGTTCTACAGCTTGACTGAATGAAATTCGCTATGGTCCCAATGCAAATAATCTCTCACTTGTTCTCTCTTGCTTTCTATTTCTCTTGCTTTTGAGTTGATTGCTTGCATTTGGTAAATATTGCTCAAAGATTTTGTATTTGCTCACTGGAATTTGTATCTTTGAAATTACCCAACCAGCCTGAAAGAGCCCTGTTGTTGATAAAGGAAGAGCTAGTATTTTTACGCCTAATCACGTTGAAGTATCTCAAAGGTTTTTTTTAGCAAGTATTTTACAATCGAGTATAGTGGCAATTATAACTTGTATTTACATAGCACTCTTCACGTCAGGTTAATATCTCAGAAAGACTCACAGGGACAGTTGTTGAGCACAGGAGGAGGGGGAAAGAGAGAGATGTCCATTCAGAGAAGTTTACTACTCTGTAGGTATTCGCTCCATCCATTAATGGTATCCTTCTTGAAGAAATTATTCCTTTTTTTATGATAAGCTTTATTATATTTTTAATTAAATGGACATAAAGCCAATTCCAGCCTGATTCAGGACTCCTGCTGATTTAGTATGTCACTAATTTTGACATAAACACAAAGAGAAATGATCATAGCAAAGCATTCAGACAGAGACGGTTTATTGCTCTACCATCTGGATTCTCCAGCTGTACGCGGTGCAGTTTACATAACGTCTCATTCTTTCATACATATTGGATATTAAGACTGTATTTTTAGATCTGTCCCAGTAGACATTAAATGGGCACAAAATAAAGAAGGTTGTCTGTTAGGAACTGCATTTGATCGACCCCAGATTGTTTACAGTGTTTGTATATTACAGTGTGAATGTCCACATTGTGAGTGTTCAGATCTGTGTTTTACATCTTCTCTGAAGCTTCTTAATGCACAGCAGTATTCAGCAATTTAAAAGTGCTGAAACGATAATGGTATTGAAACTTTTGTGTTGAAATTTCCATAAACCTATGAGTCGATGTCTCCACTACAAAACAAGAAAATAGAAAAAAAATTGATCTCTATCTCTCTCTTTCTTTACTCCTAAGTTTCAGCATTTGATTAAATATAGACAGTGAATACATTTACTTTCAGAAGGACTTAATGTTCCACTTTTTATGCTTTGCCTTTTGCAGATTACTGACATTTTCTTTCATCTGTAAACACTCTTTTCACAAACCTCAAACGTCTGTTGTGGTTTGTAATTGCTGTTGTCAATAGATTCTCATCTTTTCCTAAGCAAGTGGAAGAACACCCTGATAATGTATAACGTGATCACCTCGCAGGGATAGTGATGTTTTGTACTTTATTTGATTTCTCTGATAATCAGCTGTTTTCCAGTCCCTTTTACGTACAGGATATAACAGCTTTCCACTTCATTCATTTTACCACCCTTGGTCACTTAATGCACAAGCATTGACACCCTGTGTTTTCCATAAAGATTTCTAGAGATGCCAAATAAGAACAAGCTGACACAAGACACAAAATCCTACAGTGGGAGGAAACGTCATGGGACGTGATTACGAAACGCACCTTGTCATTGCGTATTTAATATTTCATTGTAATCAGAGTTTATTTGTAACAAATTCTGAGCTCTATTTACCATTCCAGGGTCCAAAAGGGACTAAAGGAACTCGTGGTGGAGCAGGCAAAGCAGGACTCCCAGTAAGTAGCACAAATCATATTTGTACTCTCTTAACACTATTATTAGAAGCATTTTATTACTCCAAAGACGTTTCATGGAACTGTTCTACTGTTAGAATGTCAACTCGTGTCTATTAGGTACCACTCTAGAACTGTACATTGTAACTATCAGTGTCCTGAAATGATTTTCCACAGCTCACTCAATGATCACTGTTTACAAATTAAATTAAAAAGTGGGTGAGTGGAATTCATATCAGATATTAATGTAAAGAAGTGTTTATAATTTTCCAAATGCTGTGTGTTTCCTGTGTATCATAAGCCTATTACATACAAGAATATCAAGGTTCAAATTGCTTGTTGATTAATCTCACCCTGTTATAGTTGTATGCTAGTGATTTAAAAGATGACTCTTGGTGGCTCTGGAGTTGTAGCTGAACCTTGATATTCCTGTGTACGAATGCTTGGCTGGTAGCCAGGAGGCCATGTGTTTAAGTCCCAGATTTGTCTTCCTCTCTCGCCTCTAAACATTTTGGTTTGGTTCCTGTTGCCAAGGTGAGCTGTGTTCATTCACTGAGTGGGTTGCATGGAAGCAGTTTGAATTGGGACTGACTGAGTTGTTATTTTACGGCTTGTTTTGTACAATTACAAGCCATAACAAGTAACCATGCAGTGGCACCCTTGGCAACCTGCATAAAGGTAGCCCAGACTCACTAGAGGACAATCCTCATTGCTGTCCAACTTGCAGTGGAGGGGAGAGAATTGAATGAAATAGTTTAAAAACAGCAAACTTCCAAGCAGTTATTTTCTTGGTTTTCTAGGGGAGCCCTGGACTAACAGGTCAGAAAGGAGCAGCAGGTTACCCAGGACGAGAAGGCAACCCTGGAAATGTGGGAAGACCTGGCCTGCCTGGAGCGGTCGGATATCCTGTAAGTGAATAGTGCACCAGTGTTGCTGAGAAATCACACAAACTAAAAGGACAAACGAGCAGAATAAATGCACTTGTACGTTTCACGGCAGTACTTTTTGCAATGTTGATGGCAAAGAATGAGTTAGAGTAGAGGTGTCATTGTTTCTTGATTTCAACAGGTTCCAGGGAGAAAGAGCAGGTAGTACATATGTCTGAAGAGTTTCCATACAACTCCGATTTGTTCCATTTTATACAGTTCCATTTTACAAACTGGGATTACAAAGACAATGATGGATAGGCCATCCCTTGATTGTCTCTCCCTCTTATGTTTCGATATCGCCCACAAAATATCCAATCCTTTCACTTTACAGTATATTCTGTGAAGCGCTTTGAGATATCTTAACGACGTGATAAGCTGCTACATCTAATGCAACGATTATTATATGCATTGTGCAGCAGTTTTGGAACCACCTACATAGTCTGTTGCTTCTCACTGAATGAAGCTTCAACTAAAAAGCAACAGCCAGAGGTGGTGCAAGTGAATCTCCACTAAGCCAATGGCCACAAAGACGTTGCTGTTCTCTTCGTGTCAAATAGTTGTATTTTTGCCAATTATTTTAAATGGTTCATGCCTCATCCACTAGAATCTCCTTCTCCTTCTGTAAGACTGCTGCTGCCAAATCAAATATTTCATTGCCATGAAACATTGCTGTGACTGAAAGATTCTGTACATGTGAGCATTATTTTATCGCGCTTGAACTGCAGCACACAGAATGCAAGTTAAATTATTTATGCCCCATTTAACTACTATTTGCAACTGGCCAATGCAAAAATGATGTTGAACAGACCATGATATAAATATCGGTGTGGGCATGTTATTGCAGCGCAATTTGTGCTCTCTGCAGCTTGCAAAGCCACCAGCAAAGTGACATTTATCGCTGCAATGTCATTGCATATGATACAGCTCTTATCACACAGAAACATCTCAAAGCACTGTAGAGGTTTCTGTAAAGTGCAGAAACTGTATTTATAGGCAAACGCAGCAGCAAATTTGTGTACAGCAATATGTCCCCCAAATAGCCATGAAATGAATGAGCAATATTTTATCTGGAGATTGTTGGGCAAAACACCAAGGTAAACTCCCTTCTCTTTTCAAATAGTATCATGACATTTTTACCTTCCACCTGAACAAACAGACAGGACTTCAGTTAAAGTCTCATCCAAAAGATGGTACCTCTAACAATACAGCACTCACCCCAATAAATGTAGACAGTGTAAACCAATTCAGTCTGTGTTAGTCTGCCACTAAAATGGTCCCTTTGAAACTCTGAGTAAGTGCTCTTTAGCTTTACTAAGGGACTGCTTGTGTGAGCAACTCTTTAATTATATTTGAACCCAACGTGACATTTAGCACTCGTTAGCAGATTGTTCCTCAACTGGCACAAACCAATTTGGGGAAATAAATAGAAACAACTGTTTCTTGTTCCTAACCACTCCAATTACAAAGTGATTTAATAATAATAATCCTTGCATTTAACAGAGTGTCTTTCACATCAGGAATATATCTCAAGGCGCTTCACAGGATTCACTGTAAAGGGTATAGATTGGGTGTTTTAGAGACAAACGCGGCAGCAATATCCCCAACTCAGCCATGAAATGAATGACCAATTTTAACTGAGAGATTGTTGACCAGGACATAATGAAAAACTCCCTTCTCATTTCAGTTTGTTTGCAGGAGTGTAAATGGGATAGTAATTAAATCCACCATTTAGTTGCTTTAAACAAGCATTCTAGTTTATGTTTGATGCATTACTTTTGTGTAATTAATTTTACAAAATGCAAGATGCAGTCACCACATCAAACCTAAGATTCACACCAAAATAGGCTGTAGCATTACTACACACAGAACAATTCCACCCTTAGATATTATCGGGTATAATTGCTTGTAATCGGATTAAGGATTATTGTTATAAACAAATCAGTTTTTACTAAAAATCATATTGAAAAGTGTTTATATACTGCAGCTATTTCTCCTGAAAATATTTCCAGCCTGGCACTGAAATGAGAAGTTATTGGACGATGATAAAATAGCCACATTTAAAGTGAGATTCTTTTTATTTTGTGTCTTTCATGTGTTCGCCGCAGTATTTCCTTTCCTGTAAACTAAAACATTACCAGCATTCTAGGACTCCTGACTGCTTTGCACAGTCATTTCAGTGTTACAGTCATTCACTTAATACTGTTGGATTTTTCAGACAATTGCACGCATTATCTAAAGAAGTTAGGTTTGATCATAAGCAGAAATGAGTGTCAAAGATCAGCCCACCACAAATAATATGAACCTAATCCAGTCATATAAAGGCTTTGAAACTGTTATCCTTTTTGTCTGTATAACCCTACAGTGAATTTCATAGTTGCCTTTTTGAAGTTAAAGCTGTGAAATTAAGTTTGAATTTAACACACTTAATTCTGTTTGTCCTCCTGTGTACCTGCTTACACTGCCGAGTCTGAACTGAGTTAATCTGGTAATGGACAGCGTTCTTGCTTGAAATTGGTATTTCAGGGCCTTGGTTAATGACGTCTCATCCAAAGGATGGAAACTCTGATGGTGCAGCGCTCCCCAGCACTGTACTGAACAGTCAGCCTAGAGTAGGAGTTTAATTGAGTCAACCTGACATCCAAATTAATGTCTTGATGACACAAATGTGCTTATCACAGGGCAATCCAGGTGAGCCAGGATTATCAGGGCTGGCAGGGTTTCCAGGGTTACGAGGACCACCAGGAAGGCCAGGCTTACTAGGTGACCGAGGTCAACGAGGAACAAAGGTATTTAAATGTTGTTTTCCATGTTTTCTAAGCAGTAAATGGGGTTTGGATGTAATATTTGCAAACTGGATTTGGTGTGTTAAGTGTGAATTCTGGTTCATGAATATCAGATTGCAAAATTCAATGATCTGGTTCTTTAACAGTTTCCAATCACTGGATAAATTATTGTCCATATGTACACTCAAGTTATGTCAACATCAATCAAACGTTTTCACTATAATACTCAGTCATGGTCAATATTTGAATACTTTGTTATTATGCAATAGACCCTCCTTTCCATCCAATAGCATATTTAAGCCCACAGTGAAATAGACAAAATATTTCCGCTAATTTATCTTAAAGCCTTTTAATGGTGGCAATTTTTGTCAAGAAGTAATATATACCTGTCAGTCCTTGAAGTGTCAACTGATGCCTTCAGCTTCAGGCAATCTCATGACCGTGGTTATTGTCACCTACCAAGTAATATGATTCATAACAGTATCTGGGAATTGGCATAGCTCTTTGTATTTCATACCATAGTCTTGTTTGATCATGTTATAAAAAAAATTATTTTGCTATTCAAATTTTCAAATTCAACATCATGCCATTCAAATTTTCTCATGTGAGAGCAGGTAATACTAAAATATTTTATTGAGAAATTGTTACTGCTAAAAATAATTTCTTTCTTATCAGAATTTATTTAATAAAGGAACAAAACTATCAGTAATTGATTATATTGTCTGATTGTATGTTACATATGTACCTTTACATTTCATCGCTGATGTTTTCTATGTTGTGATACATTGTTATTTCATAACTTTTCCATCTCCAATATTTCCTTTCAACTGTGCTGTATAATAACATTTATACCTTGACAGGGAGAGAAAGGCTTACCTGGTGAATCTGGGCAGCCAGGTGTGAAAAGAGGTCAGATTGGAGTGCAAGGTAATCAAGGAACATTTGGTGAACCTGGTGCAAAAGGACAGCCAGTAAGTGTTCTGCAGCAACAACAGTCTAATTGAGTAAAAATATTTTATCCATAAAGGGATTACATGTATAAACATTCAACTCACAGTTTGCTATACTGTTTGTGAGATTATTAGTGAAAATATCCCTTTGGAAATTTGTGCGAAGGGTTTTGATTTCATGACATTGTTTTGTTCTTACAGGGAGAGTCTGGTGATCAAGGACTAATGGGTTTTCAGGGTTTCATGGGTCCAAAGGTACGTAGAACTGAAGCAGAGATTAATATATGAAAACTTGCAGAAGCATATCTCTGGGCTTAAAATCATGCTGACAGCAGTATTGGCATTGTCGGATACAGAAAACATGCAAAGTTACTATAACAACATGAACAGTTAAACAGGCTGCAACATAGTAAAAACTTAGAAGGTAATGCGGAACTGTCAGATTGGCGGTGAGATCATACCACATTGTTGGTTCACGTTATGATCTGCATCCAGCTCTGCCTACACCTGACTGGAGTGTCTAACACTGGCAATGGACACTCCATGTTCCAACACTGATACCACTCCCTTTGATCAGTACAAACATGCATCGTTTAGGGGGAAAATATTGGGGAAATTACCAATTTTAAGTGTTGGTATGAATTTTAAGTGATCGTTTCAGATAATGTTTAGATCAAAGCTGTGATTTTGTGTGCATAAAATAAAATGAATATCTGCATTTATTAGCTAATTAGTAGAGTATTTTTCTGATGTTTTGTTAGGGTCCTGTAGGAGACTTTGGTTATGCAGGAATTCGTGGTCCAAAGGGGCCTGCAGGACTGTTTGTGAGTAAATGTTGTCTCTTAATCATTTTAAATGCTTTTGGCGCTGCTCCTTTGCACATGATGCAATGGCAAGACAACAGTCATTAATCTCTCCTCAGTGATTTTTTATGTGTATTCCAGACAGGACACCTGGGTGGGTTGTAAGCAGAGGTTGAGAAAATGTCCATCAGTAAGGAGATAAAAATGGGAGAGTCCATCCATGGGGCTCCTGTGCCCTCTATTGCTATTGAGATCACAACAGTTTCTGAGGATGATCTCCTGCTTTCAACCTATCACCTGTTGCTTTCCTGTTATACCACCAAACTATTTCTTAAATGAGTCCAGAGTTCTGGCCTCTTCCATCCTTTTTCTGGTAACTCACAGCACTTTCCGATTACCTTATCAGTAAATTCAAGACAACCCTTTTCCTCAGCAAATGATGTATTGCCCAGGGAAACTTAAGCAGGTGGCAAACATGAGAAATATAAACCTTTAATCTATGTTTCTTCAACCCTGAAACTCAATTATCTAACAATTCTGCGTACCTGTATATGTTAATTTCTTACTCAAATTTTAATTCACATTTCTGATGTTTATTTGAAGGGATATACCGGGCCAATTGGACCAGCAGGAATAGTAGGCCCTGCAGGAAAACCCGTAAGTACAACATTTCTAACTTCTAACAGCAAACATATCTGATGCCCAATAACCTACAGCAAGAACTTGCATTTAGATCATGCGGGGTAGAGCCCGGAGCACTTGATCATTTGCTGCAGGGGAGACGAGTTTTCGAGTCTGACCAATTACAGATCTCTAGTAATTAACTTTTACTTTCTTGTTTCCTTTTCCCCATGAGAAGAAACTGATTTGAAAGTATTACCAGTAAAATTACTGATACCAATAATACTGTATGGAAGATTTAAAAAAAACACGAACACAATGAGGGGAGGGATGGGAGAAAGAAAGATAGTATTTTCAATGAAATATTCTCCTAGAGTCCAAACTATTGTTTAATACATTGCACCCCAGAAATCAAGTAGTCTGTTTGTATGTCCATCTTACTAGCCACTTATTCTTACATCCAATGGCTCTGACAAGCTGCCAGTGAGTTGACTGCACTCCATTTAATGCAGTTTTAATGACGGGCTTTATGAAGGGTTCCACTGTATTTGATTATATAATCACAATCTTTTTCTGTCTACATTTTTTTTCTATTTATTATTGAACACTCGCGATCCAAGGTCATGGGAGAGAGATGAGAGGATCTTTCATTTACTGTTCCAAGTTTATTTGAGGCTTTAATTATCTGTATAAACAGGAATGCATCAGAACACCCTCACAGCACTAAAGAACACATCAGGAAAAGACTCTCCAGAATCTCATTTACGTTATTTCCAGTGAGCTACTGATATATAAAGAGACCTGGGTTTGAACCTTGGGCAAGTTTCCTTGCTCCACTGCTTGATAATAATCCCTCAAGAAAAAAAACACAATAATATTTTGGTCACTCTTCTACGACTGTTTGTGGGACATTGCTGTGTGCAATTGGCTGCTGCGTTTCACCCACAAATATACAGTCAATTCACTTGAGAGTATATTCTGTGAAGCACTTTGAAACATCTAGAAGATGTGAAAAGAGCTATATCAAATACAATTATTATATTATTATTATATAACCTTAAGCTTCAACTTTCCTTTCTTGAACAGTTAATTTCTCTCGTAAAGAGTCTGAGAGTGCTGCTACTGCCAGGAAAACAGTTCGGATGTGGGAGATGCTAGGTCCAGTATTTGGCACAGACAGGTCCTTCTGCTCATACATTGTTTTTTTATGGAGCAAAAACTACCTCATTCCTGTGGCTGCCCTAATATGTATACCATCCATTGAATATTATAAAATGAAATATTCAAGCAAAGCAAAGTGTCTTACATTACCAGTGTTGGACAAGCTCCAAATGTAATGTTTGTAACCCTTCGCTTTCAATTAACCAGAAGCCTCAATCCTTCGTAGAGTTGCAGTAAGACTTTTAAAGTCATTTTTTGTTATGTAATTTCAAACCCACACAGTTAACTCCAAATCAGCAGACACACAATCCAAAAATAAAATTTGTCTGCCAATAATTGATTCTAAGTTGGAGCGCTTTGAAAGTTAAGATAGATATGTTATAAATTAGCCATTCATTAATGAAAAATGGTCAACAAAAGTCTTGACCCAAGGCAAATCATTTCTGATTTTATGTATCAGGATTCAGCTGTTTGAATATAATGTAACAAGTATTATTCTTCTTTCCACACAGGGTCCAAAAGGACAAAAAGGAAACAGGGGGGAAATGGTAAGGTGTTTACTTAGACATTCTGATGATATGCCTTTAACTATTGTATTACAATAGGAAAATATGCTTGAGAATGGTAATGCATGAATACTGGCACAACAGATTAAGTGTTTAATGACCTCTAAGAAAAACCTTGAGAGCTTTGTAATCCAAGCTTGAGTCTTATGCAGTTCATTAAATATGGCTGTCAATGTTGCATTCCATCAGTAGCCCGTTGTCACATGTGCTTTGAAGTTAGGGGATGACCCAATGAATCTCATAATCTTCACACATGTCTTGTTAGCTGAAGCTAGCAACCATCTTGTGCAGCCTAATTCTAACTGGACATCGTAAAATGAGCATAAATATAAAATAGTTCAAAATCACACTGCTGTGTCTAGTTATTCAGCACTCCTTGAACTGTATGCGTATAATCTCAGCTTGGTTTGGATACTCTTAAGCATGGTGATGGGTTTCCACATGTGTCAGACACCTGGCTGACTCCCAAAAATGCCATATAGCACATAGGGACAATATAATAATAATAATAATAATAATAATAATAATAATAATAATCCTTGCAGCTATGGGATACAAGGGCAAATATTTGCATAGCACATTCCCTTTGTTGAGGATTATAAGTAAGAACTTGTTCAGAAACACCAAAATCAGACTCAACAAAATTTCTCAAAAACTCTCCTGTGAAAATTATTTCTTAATGTTAACCACTAAACTGTACTGCGTTGCCACCTTATGGCAGAAGTCTGATACTACAACACTACCAGACTGACTAGTGAAGAAAAACTTGACGCGACTCCTTGACATATCAGAATATCTAAAAGCAATTCAGACAATAAGCTATGGCATCGCTTCCCTTGATAGTTCCCATCAGTTAAAACCATCAAGATCAAGATGATAAATTCCTAAAACAGATCTAAGAAGCTATGGGAGCCTTTCCACCAATTGTGTCAGATAATTAGGAATTAAGATTTATGCGCTTTTATACACAAAATTCAAATGCAGTAAAAACAACTGAAATTATATGAATCCATCTGTTATTGAATAGTTAGTTAAGCTTACAGCAAAACAGAAGTGTTGGTTTAAATGACCAATCTGTAATGCACTAATAAAGTCCTTTTTAACTGAAGGAATGACTGGAAGGCTGACCATCAACATTTTACAGCTTTTATAAATCTTTTTGTTTCTTAAACGTAACAGGAGAAGTTTCTGTGCTCCTACAGCAAGTGCCCGATGGAATAGCCGGACTATTTGAGTGTGGATTACGAAATGCTGGTCTGAACACCTTTGGGGGAAAGAGAAAAGCTGAATCAAATAATAATAGAATAATAATAATAATACTTGCATTTGATATAGCGCCTTATCACGTCTTCCAGACGTCTCAAAGCACTTTCTAGAATATACTGTAAAGTGAACTGACTGTATATTTTGTGGGCGAAACATGGCAGCCAGTTGCACACAGGACAATTTAAAGAAAATGCAGACAATGCAGAAAGTGGCTTGAAATCAACTCAGAATTTTTTCCTTTGAAGCTCAAACAAAGTGGGAGGAGGGTACTTTCTGTTTGAAGTCTAAATGTGCAGTGTTACATGTGGCCTGAGAGAAAATACAGTATAATGGAATTCCCTACTGGGAGCTGCACTTTGGCCTCCTTCCCTTCTCAGCTGCTCTGTGACGTATAAACAGGGAGCAGTTGCATGACTTCTGAAGCAGTTATGGCACTCTAGACTGGCTTGTAATCAAGCTGGAGCCATCTGACCGCAGACTAATATACCAGCAACTCCTACATGCTCAGCCAGTGGATGCTTGAACTAAATCCCCTGAATTGACAAGATTTTCTGTTTCAGTCACAGAATAGATTTTGGTGCAGTTCACATGAGTGAAATCTGTAGGTTTAGCGCAGCTGCAGCGCAGAGTTGGGCTGCATGAGATGATGTGACTAAGGGCCATCATGCAATCCATCTGTGATGCAGCTATGAGTTGGTCTGCAGAGAGCAACAAAGAAAGATGTTGTTTTATCACTCCCCCAATATTGTTTACTCTCCAATCACAGGGGCGTTCCTTAACTGGAAAATATAAATTGAGCCAAATGTAACCTAGCAACTTTAATGGTTGGCTGCCCTCAAATCAGTGCAAATGGAAAAGGTCCCTGCAGGCTTTTTACTTCTGTTTATTCAGATAATCCCCGTAAATTGCAAACGTTCTGTGGTTTCTTACATTTCTGCAATGCTACTTGGAATTGTTTTAGGCTTAGAATGTTGTGAAGTGCCGTTACAATACATTATCAAAAACATGTGGGTATTTCAAAGACTTCAAAGGAAACCTAATACTCAGTAAATATTAAACATTTCATAAGATATTGCAGAACCTTGCTCGAAAATACATAATTTATAGATTGCTAAAAAGTTAAATCGGTTCTTTTGAAAAAAAGCATTTTTTAAAATCTTTTGTGTCTCAGAACTCTGTAACCCAGAAGAGGCATATTTCACTTAAAGTATTTCGATACGATTATAATTCTGGGGCTTGTGAAAGTCCGCTAAAGAGGTGGTGAAGTTTTAATTTCATCCATTGGGCTGCAGTTAGACTGCTTAAACATGGAATTAAATGACTTACATGGAAATCAGACTTAAATTCTGTATTAATTGGAAACTGTCAAAGATGAACTCACACAACCTTTCAAAAGAGAACATTAAATTGATTCACCAAGGATTAACAATACCTACCAGTATTCATTGATGAAACTCATGAATCAGTTTGTATGCGAGGGATGCTGTGTTATTACGCATTATTTTATTTACCTCTGTTTACCTAGCAGTTATTGTTCAGCCATTATCATAGGAATCAGTGCTCATCAAGGTGAGGGATATCGGTTCTGGCACTAAATCCACCGTTTCTAGGAATGTAGCCAAGCCGAGACCCAGGCATGCTCTAAGGATCTGGCCCAAACAGCATGTCTAAACCCAAGATTAGAAGAACGTTCTACATCTCAACTGTGTAAACTTGTCCATTTCCCACAATCGGGCAACAAGTATCACTAGGGATGACTGACAGTTTAGTGTTGATTTGGGACAAAGTATTGGCAATTGGTATATTGGACTGGTTGGATCCAAACGAAGTGTATATGTCAGAGATGAAATTGTGTTTTCAGGATAAAAGGCTTTTCCTGATTCTGCAGTTGATTCTTGCTTAGTGCTGCTGTTTGGAAAGACTTTGTGTTCTCATTCTCTCCTAGGGTCCTCAAGGGCCTCGAGGACAGCCTGGTCCGCCTGTGAGTAACACATGTCATTCACTGAAGTAAGTTTATGATTCATTTTAACCTGAGTGGAACTGAAATGACTACAATGTCTTGGTGTTTAATTTTAGGGTCTACCGGGTGCAGCTGGCCTATCGGTAAGTAAAGCAGTCCTTATTTGTTGAAATTAAATGTCCTTTTGTTTGTCGTTTAAATTAGTTTTCTGATTACATTATCAGCCTGCTTTTTTAAAAAAAAACTTTTCTTTCCAATTTGAAGATGTATTTCAAGGGCATTGTTAAACAGCGCATTAACATTACACAGTCAGTATTTGTGGTTTGAAACTGACTACTATTAAACAAACAATTTGTTCTGTAGAAACATGTGGACTTTGGTGCAGCTATTCAAGCCTTGATCGCATCCAGTGAGGCTCTACAGATTGTGGTAATCATTTGCTTGAAACGTTTTTCTGCCTATTCTCATTTTTACCCAATAACTTGAAAATTCAGTAGAATAGAAAATCCGCATTATTTTTTAGGAAATGAGTGATGCATATGTGCAACATGTCTATAATTACATAATTATGGCTATCTATATTTCTCTTTGCACTCAAGTGTTAGTACATGGCTAATCCAACCTGAAAATTGTGAGCATGTATTGTTAACCCAACTCACAAATGAAGTAGCAAAAATGGTTAGCATGCTCGCCTCGCAAGCGAGAGGACCCAGGTTCGATTCCTGATCAGGACAAAACTTTAGGCAATTTTGCTTACTCCACACACCTCTTAGTAGTAAGTAGGAACCTAGTTGTTAGTCAATTAATGGATCACTTTCGAGGGGTAATAATCCGTCACAAATAAATAAATAAATAAATTTGGTCACACAATCCACAACGGTGGAACACTGCTGTGCACAATGGCCTGCCGTGCAGTCAAATACACCATCAAATCACTTTACAATATATCCTGTGAGGCACTTTGAGATGTCTCAACAATGTGATAATGCGCCAAGTCAAATCCAAGGATTATTATTATTAAGACCCCATTGTACAAAGTGCTTTGAGAGATTTTGACAGGATAACGCACTCTATCAATTGCAAGTATTACATTGTGTCATACTGCACTTAGAGCTTCTCGCCTCTGCCAAAGCATCTGGGGAGATGTGAGGTAGTGAAGGCAGAAAGATGTGTCAACGTACAGTACTCTCCTGCATGTATTGCCAACCCCCTCAAGATGCGATTGGGCAAGACATGGAAACAGGCTACATTCCTAGCATCTTAGTCAAGAAATAACGCTGAAAAATGGGCAGTTGGAGGAAATCATTTTTTAATAACACTATTTTGAAATGATTGTACACAAGATATCCTCAATTTAATCTGTTCAATAAAAAAATTACCACATCCTAAATTAAATATCAGATTGGAAAAGTGATCCTTGAGGCATTAACACACTGCATACCATATTCTAGTAGAACTTTTCTGTCTGGAAATCGTTCTGTATAACGGTATTCAACATCTTAAAACAATTTATGTTTGCCTGACTTGATGCACAACATATTTGAAGTCAAGCTTTCAAGGTATGGGTTCCCTCCCACTCAAGCAGCATGAAAGTTGCATTTTATATTTTAAAATAATAACCCAATTTTAAAAATAATACCTGGCTACAACTAGTGGTTAGGAGTTGTTAAGCATCCTCTACACGACACTCTAGTTCATTAATCATACTCCACTTCTGTACATTTACACTGAAGGACCGCATTTTCGCTCCTTCCAGTCTATGTATCTATTCCTTATGGGTAAATGCATTCCTGTGGGAATGCATAGTGACCTGCCAATGGTTCCTAGAATAGAGAAGTCTTCTTCCTGTGGGCCAAGATGCATAAATCGTAAATGCAAAGAGGTATCCACAAGTCACTGCTCTTCCTACCATTCGCTTTTCTTTGCATTTTAGTAAAATGGACAATTCCGTATGAATAGATCTACTTCTAATAAAGGAAGTACAGTGGTCAGTGCAAGAGAATCACTGATAAATATATGATAACTTAAAATAAAGAATAGATGGAATGAAGGTGGCAATTAATCAATAGGAGCTCATATTTTTCCGAGGCAATTGAATTGATGTGAATTTATTACTTTTTCAACAGTGGGTTGAATACATTCAGAAATAAAGAACATAACTGTAGAAAAGCAGACAGTTCTTTATAGCAAGCATAGAATACCGTGCTATAAATTACAATATACATGTGTATTGGCTTAGTAGTATCCATGTCAGCAAGCTGTCAGAAACTGACATTGATATTCCTAGGCCAATGGTTCAGCATAAATTTTGATATTAAATAGTAATTTACTCATTTGTCATCAGTTTATTGATTAAATTATTTTTTCTCTTTTTTTCTCTCCCAACACCACTTCTGTGCTATATCTCTGTGAATTCTGCTTTGTATTGGGGAATAATCATAATCTGAATGTGCTGTGAATTCAAATCTAATAAAATTAATTCTTCTTTTGTTGCATGCGTGGCTACAAAATTATTCTTGACCTTTGAATAATACCGACATTACCCTTGATATTAATACTAAATTATTTTGAACTTTTTGCTGTTTGAAATGCTTACTGAATTGATGAATATTTATAATTTATATTATTTTGCTGTTTTCGCTATGTCCACCTTGCTTCACTTTCTATAACCATCTTCCACTTTGGTGATAAATAACATATCCTATAGAACTACCAAAATACTGAAATACCCTTTCCAGAACAGGGTGTAGAGATATTCAAAACTCTACACTACCTGAGCAATCTAATGCACAGTATGAAGAATCCTCTAGGAACGAGAGACAATCCTGCACGCATTTGTCGTGACTTGTTGAACTGCGAACATCGATTATTAGACGGTGAGTTTTGCTAAAGATTATTATTCTGCATTTCAATATTATCAGATAGCTCCCAACTATCAGGTGCAAATAACTGATACTACTGATTCTGTTCATTCTGCCAGGGAAATACTGGATAGACCCAAATCTGGGCTGTGCTTCAGACACAATAGAAGTATTCTGCAATTTTACTAATGGTGGCCAAACCTGTTTATACCCAGTCAGTGCATCTAAGGTCAGTATTTTGTACTTGCTATAAGAATGTGTCAAGTTATGTGTTGTTTGCTGAGGGGAATTACATTTGAACTTGCTTCAATAAACTTTTTACTGTAAAGGGTCGAGCATCTTCACCAGTGGAGTCAAGATAAGCGCTCCGGGATGCTAAACCCACAAATATACAGTCAATTCACTTTACAGTCTATTCTGTGAAGCGCATTGAGATGTCGAGAAGACCTGCTATATCAAATGCAAGGATTATTATTATTTATTATTATAAACCGCTTCAAGGGCGCTATTTAAATGCAAATTGTTGTTAAAATATTTGAATTAAAATGATAACACTTTTCTTTCCCCCTCAGTTGCAATTTGGCATTGGGAAGGTCCAGATGAACTTTTTGCATTTACTGAGTTCAGAAGCTGTCCAGACCCTCACAATCCATTGTCTCAATATCCCAGTCTGGATGAACGCCACCAACACAGATCCCTACGCTAATTCTATAAGGTTCCGAGGATGGAATGGGCAGATATTTAAAGCAAACACACGATTTCAACCAATGGTGCTAAAAGACGAATGCAAGGTACATTCACGTGTATTTTGGAGTTGCTTCCGGTTCTACAGAATATCGCAAACGCTTTATTTACAGTACTTTTTAAAAAATGCAGTACCATTCTAAGATCATTTAAGCATCTTCAGTTCTGTTTTATGATTCTCAACACTAAACATTTAAAGAATACACCTTTTGCATGTATCATAGGATGTAAGCAATTCCAATGTGTATTCTGAAATCTGTAAACTGCATTCAGCACTTAATGTCAGTTATCTTAACAGTGTCAAACTAATACTTGAAGGTCAACCCCTCAGAAGCATTGAGATGAAGCTATTCAACTCATCATAGCGCTAATTCATCCTTAGCTCACTTAAAATGACAGTCATTGAAACCAGATGATGTACAGTGCTCTAGACAGATTAGAAAGCAGTCCTGAACTTTCACTTGGTCATTTTGGTTGTATGCTAAGTGTTGCCATTTGTTAATTTCAGATTCAAGACGGCAGCTGGCGACAGACACAGTTCTTTGTTCATGCTCAGGATGTGAATCAGCTTCCAATTGTTGAAATTCAGAAGCTCCCACAATTCAAGCCAGGAAAGCAGTTCCATGTAGAAGTTGGCCCTGTATGCTTTCTGTAGTGAATAATGAATTATTCCTTAGAAGCTCTGCGAGGAAACAACTACCTGAGGGTTAAATCCTTTACTTGGGTAACTGTTTTGAAGAGGAAAAGGAAGAAGTTCGTGGAAAATCTAAGAACAGTTTAGAAACAAATTACAGTGCATTTTTTAAAAGCAACTTCTCAGGAAGAATGCGTTAATGGCGTTGCTTTACGGAATTCTAAATATAAAGGGTTTGCAAGGCCAATAGATTTAAATCCTGCACAATATTTTTGGCTTCCTTTTGAAAGCTCCTTTAAATGTTGAAAGGAATAAACCGTTTCAGTAAACAATTACATTTTTGTTTTCAACTTGCTCAATTACTGTAATGCTGACCCTAAAGAAAGGGATAAATTCCTATTAGCAGGCAGCACTGATGACTATGTTGCGAAATGTGCAATCGTCTTTGGATGAGTGTGAAATCCGACTAAATAGCAGCATCCAGTTCATCAATCTTCTCTTCAATTTGATATCTTTGTTACAATTTGGATGTTTGACACTTAAGGAACAGTCCTCTACCTCCTATGTGTTGCCTGTTGTTCACCATCTGTGCTTATGTTTTTTTTAAGAAGAAAGGGTGCTATTTGTTTCATTGTGGAAAGGTTTTGAGATTATTTTTTTCAAATTGTATGTACTGGCTACATTCAGTATTTTCAGTTTTAAAAGAACTTATTTGGTCATTTATTTCTATCAAAACATTATTTATATGAACTGTGTAATTATGCCACTTAAGTCGTCTATTGGTTTACTTTGTGGATGTGCTGTACAGATTGGCACAGTTTATTTGGTGGCTGTAGATAGACCAGTAGAAGGAATGTTGTAGAACGACTACATAGTTTTTGTTCAGCTTCTAAGGTTGTAGCTTGCTATTATATTGTCATTAAATCTTTATCATTCGATGACATCAAGCAAAATGTTACTTGTGCAGATTTTGTATAGTTTATCAGGCTGTGACAATGAATCAATTTTTGAGAAAAATGAATTATTACAAGTTTCAAAAAACAATTTACTAACTTAACGGAGGCAGATCGTATTAGCGGGGTGCGGAACTGTATACCCATTTGATCATGCTTATTTGAAGGCTGCTGATATTGCTGTCATAATAAATGCTGAATATTAAATACATAATAGTTGGGGCAGAGTCATTGAAATTATAATCTGAACAAGCTGGTCTTTGCTCATTAAATATTTTATCATCAAGTCAGACTGTTCTTGGCGTAGTTTCATGTTTCCAAATAATTGTAACTGGTTGTCACAGCCCAAGCTTGTTTTAGATCATGAAATAGCAATTTGTTTTAAATTGCTGCTACTAAGTTATCATACTCACTATCTGCCTATTCCATCACGGTGGTGATTCTGCTATGCAAAAGCTAGTACTATACAGGGTTCCTTTTTTAGAATTACTGTGTTGACCATTTTTAGTTATACTTTACATTTTCCAATATCTCATTTAGTTCTTGTGCCTCTTATTACAGTGGTTGTGAGGGGAGTAGAACTAGATATTTTAATAGAGGATTGGTTCTAATCAGGAGCATTCTTCATTCAGATGGGTTGTAGCAATAAAAGTTTATTTATAATGTTAAGTACCTCTTCAATTGTTTGCATGATTTTGGGAAACAGCAACATTTTCATAATTGCTTAAACTATGTCCAATGGCTCTTTTGGATGATTAATAATCAAAAGTCATAAAGGAAAGTCGGTATTTAAATAAAATTCCTCTCAAATAGTCCAAAAAGGTCCTTATTGTAACAATTGCATTTCTACCACCATTAATACTCCAAACTAGATTGTCTGCTTGCAAGCCAGGTATTCACAATCAGTTGTCGGCTTCNAAAAAAACATGTGCCTTAAGATCACTTGAGCTTTATGCATCATGTGAAATGGTAAATTCCTACATAAATGTAGAGATCAGCCTGTTTCAGTTTATCTGAGACAGTTCGCCACCTGAGTCAAGTGGACGTTAAAGATCCCATGACCCTATTCAAAAAGTGAGGGAGTTGTTGGCTAACATCTCCCAAATATAGTCATTTATTTTATAGCAGTTTGTGGGACATTGATATGTGCAAATTGGTTGCTGCATTTGTCTATTAAATAGTCATACCCTTTACAGTAAATCCTGTGAAGTGCTTTGAGACATCCTTCCAACGTAAACAGGTGCTATTTCAAATGCAAGGATTATTATTATTAATAATAAAGACAGTTTCAGTTAAGAACTCTGTTGTTGGAGATTCTGATTTGCTTCTAAGAAGGATTAACTGTAATTGGTTCAATTATTAATTTGGAAAAGAGATAAGAGTGCATTCAGCTAAGGTGTAATGTGTTTGTGGCAGGGGCATAGCCATGGTGGGCCTGGGTGGCCCAATTAGCACCGGGGCTCACCCGTTGCTCTCCGCACTGCTTCAAAACTCCCGGGATGTTCCTGCTTTCTTCCCATTGCACATCAGCTCGACAGTCTTGGTGAGCACCTGTCGGAAGTCCAGCCTCTCCTGCACACCAATTGATGTTGCTAGAAAAGTTCGTGTGAACTGATACACTGCCTCACATGTTGATCTCCACCCTTGTGTTCTACTCTGGCTCTCATCCTGCCAGAGTGTGAAGCTATGAGGCAGCGCAGAGAGTGACGGGAAGAGAGTATGATACCTCTCACTCCAACTCTCCTCCAATGGCGTAGCTTGGAATGGAAACCTTTGGTCATTGCCTGTCCACCATAAGTTGGTGCCACCCAAATTTCCATTTCTAGCTGCACCACTGGTAAGTAGTTTTAAAACGTAATAGACATTCCGATTTGGATTTAACCAAGAAATGTGTACAGGATACAGTGCTAATGAAACCGTTTACCATCAAAGATAAATTAAATGTGTAAAAAAAAATGTATTAAAAGTGTTATTTACAGAAAACTCATCAAAACTTTATTTACCAATATTTCCATGTTACAATTAAATAAAATTCAGTAATAGCGATGTGTACACGTGGTCTTCATTCTGCTAGGAACATAATTTCTTTTGACCTGCTAGTGTTTATATTTTCAAAGGTGTAAGTGGTAGAATACCAACTGTACCATACTTCATTTCAAAAAGCTTAATTCACGAACACCATCGTGGAAACCCTCCTCCTCGCCCTCTCCATCCTCACTTTTAAAGTAAGCCTTAAGAATGGTCGTTTCGTCCAACCGTGTTTCTCTCTCTACCCTCTCACAGCTCAGGTTCCCAGTCAGCTTTGTTAAGTGCTTTGAGCGATCTACCTGACAGGAAGGGGCATATATAAGTGTAAATTGTTATTGTTAATGGAAATCAAAATAAAGATAAATTGCTAAATTATTTAAAAGTTCTGCATTCAGATATTAAGTGGGGGGGCCAAAGCTTACTCGTTTGCTGACTGAATGTCTACATCAAATTGATACAATTCTGCACATCGCTCTATGCAGTTTTGTAGCTTTCTGATTAAAAAGTGTACTATCATAGATTATCCCGGGGTTTGCCTGTCTAACGGTTATTACACTTCAGTGTAATTCATGGTGTGAACCACTTAGAGACACAATGTATCCAAGTGTCAAATGCAAGTTTTTTTTAAAAAAATTATTCAGTATTTAAGAATATCTCATCTTGTTACAAAGAGGGTTATTATCCGCTTGTCAGTAAATTTACCAAGTGGAAAATAACTATCAGCACTTATTTCCTCTTGAGACCCATCATAAAAACGAGCTCAACTTGTTAATATTTAAAGAGTAAGTCAATCATCAGGCAAACTCTCTCCTCTTGAGTCATGCAGAACCATGATTCTACATTTGGGCACACTCAATCATGTTTCTGCACTGCGTAGCCTAGTATTCAAGAAGGCGAGTGTAGTGCATTGCCCCGAGGTGAGTCTGCCATCAGCACAATATAATCCACAAACAGAAGCGTCACAATCCTACCAGAACAGCCTGGAACAGATACACCATGTTTCATACCCCATAGATGAAATATCAAATCATGCCCTATTATTAACAATTTCTTTTATGGCTGCCTCTAAAATTGTAGTAGTAGAAATAGTACTTTAACCCAGCTCCTTCCTTCCATCATCCTCACATGTATATATAAGTGGCTTTCCATCATTCGAAGGTCTACTGAATTACACTTTCTAAATGACAAACACCATATATCAAACAAAAAACAATGTGTGTTTAGGCTGTACTGTTAAATCCAGGTAATAGAAATGTCGTCATTTCTATAAATAGACTTGTACAACATTCAACTGCATGTACTAAATATACTATTTCTGAATATGACATTGATATTAAGTATTAGGTTATATCTGGCAATCTTCTAATAGATCCTTAATGCTTGAATCTAATATTCTATTGTTGCTGATCGTGGCTTTGTGTCACTCTAGCAAATTAAATGCAAACATCAGCAGTACCTTGTTAATAGGCAAATTTTCTATTGCAATACATTTAGTGTAGTAAGAGTCTCTACTAACAGTAACTACCGACATTTATTGCTGAACATTTCATCTTGAAGATTTCTTGGAAGAACCCCGACCTCACAGGAGAGAAACTGATATTTTTCTGTAAGAAGAAGCTGGCCATCAATCGGACCCCGAAAAGGAACTTGCAGCCTTTTGCATTTGGGAAGTATATCATGGGGCATTCTTCACTATATGACCAAATGCAACATGAGGCAGTATTTGGAGATATGCATGAGTCATGCTCCCTGGTGTCTCCTAGAGCTTGCAAGAGTAAAGCTGACAGTTAGCTGGAACTTGTTCTTTGCATTTATATATTTGCCAAATGTGCATATGTATGAGAACAAAATACCAAACGGATTTATATTAGAAAAGAGTGGTTTTGTGTGCAAGACTATATTTACCAAAAAAGGATGTGAATGATGTGATTCATCTTGCTTGAAACACGTGAGCAACATATTTATTTCCATCAACCCAATTTTTATGGAATTCCACTTTCTAAATGACATATACCGTACAAGGCAAATAACACTCAAATTATAAACAGAATGGAGTCTATATCTCAGGTGACAGAACACCACTGTTCTCAGTGAGATAGTATTTTCCCACTCAATTAATTCTTTGTTCAATAAATAATCTTTGGATGTATTATCTCTACCAAAAGATAGATAGATAGATAGATAGATAGATAGATAGATAGATAGATAGATAGATAGATAGATAGATAGATAGATACATACATACATACATACATACATACATACATACATACATACATACATACATACATACATACATACATACATACATACATACATACATACATACATACATACATACATACATATATTGATCATCTTGACCTCTTGAGGATTTTTAAAACTTATTTTACAAGCTGTTTTCTCAACTTTCATTCAGGACAAAATAATAAGAGTATATGAAAAGGTGATAATATGGACCACTTCCTCCAATAGGACCGGAGATGGGCTGTGTAATCTTTTAGAGACAATGCCCTCTTTTAAACTGGTGCACTTTTTTTATTGGAGCCTGCAAAAAATGTCACACATCACAAAGAGCACTAACGAAATAGATCAGGTGTATTGTATTGTCTACCAATCTACCACAACAACAAAATTACATCTGTAAAGCGCCTTTCACGTCAGGAGGACCCCATAAGACGCTGATCAAATCAGTGGAGATCATGAGAGGTTCAGATCGAGAAGCCTCTTCAGGCCATTTGAAATTCAGCCGTTCAGCTCCTCCTCTCTGGAACCCTATCCCTCGTGCCGCTTATCCCCAACCAGAAGTGGACCGGCTATCTGGGAAGTTTTCCGAGCGCCCGTCATCGGCATCTGATACGTCGCACCCCTGAGCCCCCGACCGTGGGGTGAGCGACAGCTCGGACCTGGCCATCAATGCCCAGAGCCCACCTGCAGTAATGAGTGACAGCTACAGTAGCCATAACATCTACCCAGTGTCCACCCTCTCTCCCGCTGTCCACCCTCTCTCCCTGATGACTGACAACAACAACAGCCAACCAGAGTCTGGCGCCGACCCTCAGCGCCCAAACCCCCGCCCCTCCCCACCCGCCCTCATTTTATTTGAAAAACCCTGAGCCCTTTCAGGGAGTCGGTCTGCCCCACCGCCCCCCCCTCCCCCCCCCACCCCGCGGCCTGCGTCAAGCGCTTCGAGACGTCCCCCCTCCGACGCGAAAGGCGCCGCGTTAAAAAACCACGTGGTGTCGCGCTGTCGACGGCTTGAGGGCCGCCGCCCCGGCGCTCGCACGGGCGCGGTCACCGTGAAGCTCTTCCGAGAGGTGCGTTTCCCCCCCCCCCCCCCCCCCCCACCCCCCCGCGACCACGCGTGACGGGGCCGTATCCAAAGCAAACACTGCTGTTATTATTATTATTATTATTATTATTGTCATCTTCCAAAACAACCTTTGCCCCACATCACAAGTAACAACTGCTTCAACTGTGTGTGTGTGTGGGGGGAGGAGGGAGGAGGAGGGAGGAGGAGGGGGGCAGCGAATCATTCACCGAAGACGCCCTTCACGTTCTCCCTCTCTCTCTCTCTCTTCGAACGTTTCGAGAGACGTTTTATTTACTGTTGTGACACAACACCGATCAGCTCCGACCGACACACACACACACACACAGAGCAGCAGCAGCAGCAGCAGCGACGTCTCCTCCTCTCCTCTTCCACCTCCTCCTCCGCGCTTTCCCGCCTCGGCCACCGCGGGCGCCCGCTCCCCGCCAGCGGTCGGGGAGGCCGCCGTCGATTGGATCGGGTAAAGCTCGCAAAGTGTCGCAAAGTTCCTGGCGACTTACGGCGGCGGCGGCGGAGGAGGAGGAGGAGGGGCGACGGCGGCGGTTGGGCCGCTTGGGTTTGTTCGGCGGTTTGTGAGGCTCGCGATGGAGCCGAGCGCGAGGCCGACGCCGAGGCCCGGCCCGGGCCCGGGAGCAGCGGGTGAGAGCGAGTCACCTGAACAACGGCCACGTCAGCAACACGAGCAGCCGCATGTACAGCAACAGCCACATGTACAGCAACAGCCGCATGTACAGCAACAGCCGCATGTACAGCAACAGCCGCATGTACAGCAACAGCCGCATGTACAGCAACAGCCGCATGTACAGCAAC